TATAAATCCAGGCACAGGTAACAATCCAAGGTCAATATCGCATGATAATGTATCCGGACATACAAAGACAAATGATGTAAAGGACTAAGAACAGCACATATTGTTAAGGCTGATGAACTAGCCTCCAACGTAGGTACCTGAACTTACTTCTGTGATATCCTGGCAAAAACCAAGCCAAGTTTGGGCTCTGTGAACATTACAGCATCTCTGTGATAAAGGGAGATATTGTTGAGGTTTGCCAGAACAACATTCATTAGGTATATCAAAGACTATTGGACATTCTTTATTCTAAAGAGCGTAACTTTGTAACAGAAGCCACTGGACACATGTCGATGCTTATCTGAATCTGGACCTGTTAATAAGATCAGTAGTAGAACTGTACACAATTTGTCAAACATGTTAACGCTTTGTATGGGCTAGGCATTTTGGAATATCTTTGTTATTTAGCCAAGTCTTGTATAGTTCATACAGAATTATGTGGAACCCATGGGATTAGACACAGAATATGAAGGTTTTAATTAGCATATCCAGACCGATAATGATAAGCAGCTTAAATAACTCTCATCTCCTAATGTGATAGCTCAATTAAATGGTGCAATAGCTCTTTAGTGCTTGTTCAAATATAATGGGCACAGGTTCAATTCATGGTAGTATTGATACAGTCCTTCCTTCTTCCAAAGTTAATAAGCATTGTTGAGTTAGACCTGGTATACCAGGACATACTTGGAAAAATCTAATAATAGTATCCATCTTGGCAAACACAGTCTCATTCTATGTCGTCATGGGTGTCCACAGGGGGGGGGGCAAGTGCCCCCTGGATTTTTCAGCCTGTTCTGCTAATTTTCATGTGATTGAAAATACAGTGCAATACCGGCGCCGGCACTGTGTACGGAGAGAGACAGGGATAGGAAGCTACATCTTTCCCTGCTTTTCTCTGACTGAATCCGCAGGGGAGTAACACATGCAGCCAGAGACAGCCTACAGATGAGTTAAGTGAGGGATGGGGGGCAGAGATAGCCTATAGATCAGGGAAGTGAGGCATGGGGGGAGAGCCTACAGATCAGGGAAGTGAGGGGGGCAGAGATAGCCTACAGATTAGGGAAGTGAGGCATGCGGGGGCAGAGATAGCCTACAGATCAGGGAAGTGAGGCATGGGGGGCAGAGAGAGCCTACAGATCAGGAAGTGAGGCATGGGGGGCAGAGAGAGCCTACAGATCAGGAAGTGAGACATGGGGGCAGAGATAGCCTATAGATCAGGAAGTGAGACATGGGGGTAGAGATAGCCTACAGATCAGGGAAGTGAGACATGGGGGCAGAGATAGCCTACAGATCAGGAAGTGAGACATGGGGGGCAGAGATAGCCTACAGATCAGGAGGAAGTGAGACATGGGGGCAGAGAGCCTGGGGAAGTGAGACATGGGGGCAGGGATAGCCTACAGATCAGGGAAGTGAGACATGGGGGGCAGAGAGCCTACAGATCAGGAAGTGAGACATGGGGGGCAGAGAGCCTACAGATCAGGGAAGTGAGGGTGGGCAGAGAGCCTACAGATCAGGGAAGTGAGGGGTGGGCAGAGAGGATCAGGGTGAGGGGGTGGGCAGAGAGCCTATAGATCAGGGAAGTGAGGGGTGGGCAGAGAGCCTATAGATCAGGGAAGTGAGGCATATGGGGCAGAGGCCTACAGATCAGGGAAGTGAGGCATGGGGGGGCAGAGTAGCCTACAGATCAGGGAAGTGAGGCATGGGGGGCAGAAATCGCCGACAGAATAGGTAAGTGAGGCATATGGGGGGCAGTGATAGACTGCAAATCAGGGAAGTGAGGCATATGGGGGGCAGAGATATACTGCAAATCAGGGAAGTGAGGCATATGGGGGCAGAGATATACTGCAAATCAGGGAAGTGAGGGATGGGGGGGAGACAGCCTATAGATCAGATAAGTGAGGGATGGGAGGGGGAGAGACAGCCTACAGGAAGGGTCAGCAAGTAAGAGAAGGAGCAGAAATGAGAAGGAATAGAAATGAGCAGAAAGGGGCAGCAAGGAGCTGGAAGGGACAACAAGGAGCAGGAAGGGTCAACAAGGAGAAGGAAGAGTCTGCAAGGAGCACGAAGGGTCAACAAGGAGAAGGAAGGGTCTGCAAGGAGCAGGAAGGGTCAGCAAGGAGCTGGAAGGTAAAGCAACACAAAGGTAAAGCAGAAGGAGCAGAAAGGGTCAGCAAGGAGCTGAAAATGGCAGCAAGGAGATGAAAATGGCAGCAAGGAGCAGGAAGGGACAGAAGGAGCACAAAGGTGAAGTAGGAGAAGGAACAGAAATGAGCAGGCAGGGTCTGCCAGGAGCAGGAAGGGTCTGCAAGGAGTAGGAAGTGTCTGCAAAGAGCAGAAAGGGACAGAAGGAGCACGAAGGTAAAGGAGCAGAAAGAATCAGAAGGAGCACAAAGGTAAAGTAGGAGAAGGAGCAGAAAGGGGGTAGCAAGGAGCAGAAAGGGACAGCAAGGAGCACAAAGGTAAAGTTGGAGAAGGAGCAGAAAGGGATCAGAAAGAGAAAGGAGCAGAAGGGGGAGCACAATAAGCAGAAAGTAGCAGAAAGGTAAAGGAGCAGAAGGAGCCAAGGAGGAGAGAAGACAGTGTCAGAAGAAAAAGAAGACTGTGTCAAATGAAGGAGAAGAAAAGGAGATTGGAGCAGGAAGGACAAGTGAAGTGAACCCTCCACTTTATTCTGGACACCACATCATAAGGCTTTGGTACCTAGGCCTGGCAAGGAAACTTTGGACCTTCTCATCTCCCCAGGTAAAAAAAAAATATCAGTGTTAATGTGTTCACTTTTTTTACTGAGTGTCAGAAAGCACAGAGAGCCGGCATTGGGAGGGATGTCGCTGTTTGACTAGAATGATCAGCTGGCACTCGAAGCCAATTAGTAGCTCCCCATTCACAAAAAAGTTAAATAATTTTATGAACCGGGAACTAGCGATTGGCTTAGAGCATCAACTGACCACTCTAGCCAATCTGTAGCACCCATGCCTGACATCAATCTGCACTTACTGACACTCTGTTTCAGAAGCCAAATACCACTGAGCGACCTGGAAATCTGGAGCTGGAGGAAGCCTTTGGGGTTAAACCATTTGAGAGCGATTTAACCCATTAAAGGAAAGAAAGCACACAGGAGCTTCCTGGCATCATAGCATTTTCATTTAGATGAAGTTGTTATGGTGACCAGAATGTTCCTTTAATTTGCTTAAAGGAACACTATAGTGTCAGTAATACAAACATGAAAACACTATTCATCCTGGCTTTATGTGATAATGACTATGTTCCTCCCCTTCATGACACTGTTAAAAAGGGACCAAGCATGGATGTCATTACAATTATGCCCCACCCTGGAAAAATTCCTGCAGATGCCCATGATACAGTCATAACCCAAATTAATCACATTCACCCATTCCAGTTACATACCCCAAACTAGTAATATCCATCCAATCATATACCCCAAGCTTTATATATGACAGGCTGAGGAAATTGGCCATGGGGTATTAGAGAGGATAAACCTGGCCCTGCATATATACCTGTATATGTCAAATTCATAGACATGAAAAACATGTAAAAATGGTGCAACCTTGCCACATGAAAGCGGTAAACATAGTTGTTGTTTTTTTACTGCTTTCTTGTCTTTTAGCAGTTTTAAATGAACTTTTTGGGTTCAGAGGATCCATTTGGGAATATTGCAAGTAAACAAAACCAGGCAATGGCCAAGCACCACAAAAAGAGATGATTGATGGCTATGAGGACAACCACTAAATGTTGTTTTTATTCACAGATCAGTGAGAAGTGACCAATCGAGGGAAAAAATGAAGAGCAGTAAAAACAAAAAAATTTAAATTTTGATATGATCTATTTAAAATGTAGATATTTTTTATGGCTCCTTCTCTTTTCCCTATATTGTTACTTTTTCACACTTGATCTGTGAACCAAATGGTGCGAAAATGCTCCTATCAGTGTACTGTAAAATATATACATAATATTTATAATTTGGTAATTTAAGTACACTGATTGACCCATTTTCGCGTCCATCGTTTCGCATGGACAATATTCAAACGTGTCGAACCACCAAACGCATGACAATCAGACTACCTGAATTAAAAAAAACAACCTTACAAATACTAAGTGATTTACCTGAAATAAAGTTTACCACTGTACAAAATTCTAGTTCCTGCATTTTTACTAGCCAGCTGGTCAAGTCTCTGAAGACACTGGTTGTCTCTGACAACTCCATTCTTTTGATCTGTTAAAAGTATTAGCCTTGGTAATCTATGCAAATTCTTATTTTCTTCAATCATGATCTAAGTATCACACTGTTTCTCTCACCTGGGTTGGTCCATGTGTCGTCATCTGACACCATCTATTTACATCTTAGTGGATGGTGGCGTTTTTGGTTATCACTCTTTTCAATACCCTGGTGTTATCACTATGGCTTCATGTGCATTGAATTCCAGCAAACAGTGGAAAAGTCAGTTGGCCAATTAACTTATGGCAAATGATTTGTTTTTACATAGAGCATTCCTAAATGGTTAACATTTTTTAGTTTTGGAGCCTTCAAATTCACTTGGTTTCAACAGGCAGTATGAAAACATCACAACTAATGACTCTGAAATAAAACATAAACCATTTAAGGAAGACAATCTACCGATGAATAATATGTTTAACACTGTAAAGAATAATTGTCTTTGTTTTAGACTCTATGATCTCTATTCTGGCACTCTGATTGAATGATATGATTCAACATTCTGCATTTGATCCCATTCTTTTATAAAACATAGCTTTTTGAAACAGCACAGTTCATTTATACAAACATTTATGTCTAATCTTATAACAGATCCTTAATAAAGAGCAGAGCTGAACGGAATTGACATTGCAAGCTCCAAATGTAAAACCACTGCAGCGAGTAAAGTATCTGTCCACACACGAACATGTAAGTGATTATTGATTTGTTGTGGAAGCCAATGCTTACGGAAGGGAGGTTTTAAGTTACATATTTAAAAAGAAAAACACAGCTTTTATTTTGAGAGCAATAGCACAAAGAATTGTACATAGTATCATAAACACATTTTGTATGTTCTTGTCAGAATAAACTTACATCAAGTGCTTAGATATTTGCAAAGATCACAGCCCATAGCTGGACTTGCATACATGCTTTTTTTAAAGTGTGTTTGCGTATTTTTAGCCAGTGTTAGAAATCCTTTGACAACGTCATGCCAAGCAAATGACAATGACCTCCAAATGATTTAATACATTCAGCTTTTTACATATCTCAAACCAGAACTTTAACCAACTAAAGCTGATACCAAATTGAAGCATCCAAAGTGGTGAAACCGCAAAGTCGGTGGTTGTACATAGATGTTATAGATGGTATAAAACAGTAGGTCACATGTTTCGATCACATGTTAAGTCATTTGGATGGTCTTCAAAAGTTCAAAAGATGCTATTGATTAGATCAATGGCTGTTTTACTTGCCCAGAGATGGTATTGAATCCCCATGTCCAGAGTACAAATATATATTTATAATTTGCAATAGGGTGTACCCAAGGACTGCAGTGTTTCCATGCATAGTCTCCTTCAACCTGGCATTGATAGTTCTTGCTAAATTCATATTAATCTCCGAACTTCCCAAATTCTTTGTATGCAATATATGGCCAGAGGGAGATTCTATTCAGTAACATCCAGGGGTAATAGTTTAAGATGCCTGCTTTAGACAAGTTGATTAGTTTTAATTGATATGACTGAACGCTCTGCAATCCAAACACTAACTTAGCACCGCACTTAATTAGTATTTTGGTCACCGTGCCAACCCACTTTATGCTTCCTAGGCAACTATACATGTAATCAGTGAGGCCAATGAACCCGTGCAGCACCTACCTGCCTTGTGCATGTGCAAATAAATGCAGGTATGTATATGGTGGACCATGGCAGAGAACGTAGAAAAAAAAAGTATACTTTAAACTCTAAATCCAACCATGGTATATAAACATGGTATATAAACATAATAAAATATCAAATTTCGGTTTTGCACTTTGGGAAAAGGATAATTTATTTCACAAGTTAGTGAAATCCAGATCTACATAAACTATCCTTACGATCCTCATTGCATACTTACAACGTTTTAAGAAGAATCACAATATAAATGCATATGTCATATCCATTTAAACATCTAGCACTTTATATTTGATAAAATTAAAAGAGACTCTTCAATTTGCCCAACAGGGATGCCCTTTTTAAGATGAAGATAGCTGGATATTTTCTTTGAGTGGTAATATTTTCGCTAGTTCGGTAACAATCCAGTATTGGATACAATGGTCTAATAGGTTTTATTCTTTTTTTTACCAATGACAAAAGCCAGACAGAATCAAAAGTTTGTAAAGAGGCTTATAAATTACAAGCAGGGTAACTAAAACAGTGAGCAATGGTAAATTTAAAGCCAACTTGAAAAATGTATAACAAAGCCTAGTGGAAAAAATAACTAAAGTTGCAGCAAGTGGATAATTGTTACGTGTCACTTCTTAAGCCAACAAAAAGGTTTAGTGCATGGGTAGGCAACCTTTGGCACTCCAGATGTTGTGGACTAAATCTCCCCTGAAGCTTTGTCAACATTGTGGCTGTAAGAGTATTATGGGAGATATAGTCCACAACATCTAGAGTGTTGAAGGTTGCCTATCCTGGTTGAATTACCAAAAGGAATTAATATTGGCAGCTTTCATGGACCCTACATCAACTGTTTCATACACCTTGTCACATGCATTCAAACTAAAAGGCACAAGGATTGCATAGAACCGTTTGAAAGAATGCTTTGCCATAGCATAGACAAAATATTGATCGAAAATTATATCATTTGCTGCCCCAGAAATTCTAGCTACAATCCAATCAATCAGGGACACCCTGATGTGAATAGAGAAACAGAGATATAAACGCATAGAATGGTTTCATTTTCCGAGATCTGAAGCTTAACAACCATTCGGTTTCAGATAACTAAACAGGCTCAGGGAACCTGCTAGAGACATGTGAACATTTGAGTGTTTATTGATTTTGTCCCTAATTACACATTCTTCTATTTAGAAAATAATAATAATAAAAAAGAAAAAAAATAGAATAAATAAAAACACTATAAACCATTTACTAGCAAACAAAACAGAGTTTCTTTGGTGAAACAGAAGCGAATATAAAAAGTTACAAAGATTTTAGACTTTCATTCACAAATATCCAAAGGTTCACATTATATACTATACACGTTATAATATAAATACAGGAAAAAAAGTATTATGTGCATTGTAATAATAGAAAAAAAACATACAGGTCAACACTGTGGTGCATTGTTGTCAAGTACAAAAAAGTTTCAGCAAGTTGCAGCAGCTGACGGAATGAATCAATCACTCTATTAGTAAGTAGGACGGTTTGTTAAGAAGCCATAACTGTTTTTCTTTATGGAATGTCTATGTGCCTTTAGTAAAGTCCAGATATTTTATTACAGTAGACTAATTTCAATAAATACATGTTTAGCGTTTTCATTACATTTTTTTTTTTTTTTTTTTGCTACTGAGTTCCAGGTGCATAATGCACTAACGTTTAAAAAAAAAAAGGGGAAATCAATATATTAAACAATATATATTTAGTTATTTTACATTAATGTGCTATTCTTAGGATACATTTTTCGAGGGGAAAAGAAAATTTAGGAATATAATGACAAAATATTTCACAAGAGAGTATAAATACATGGGATTATTCAAGTGTGCTTGATGAATTATGCAGCATTGTAGCTAAATTAAGTTTTATAGGCAAAAAGGTGAAAATATTTTCAGTAACAGCGTAACTGTGAGTTTTAGAAACAGAAGGTGCTAAACCATTTGTCCCATTTCCAAGTCCTGTTTTCGTGCCTACGTTTAAAGTAACAGGGAGGAAAAAATTTTTTCCAGAAAATATATTGTATCTACTACAGTGTGCAGGTTTAATATAACAATATATGTTCTTTTAATACTCTGAAATGAAATATTTGATCCCAACATGATGAGATGAGAGAAAAAAATAATAATTTTGATTTCTTGATTTTAGGTAGGGATGCATCCTAATTTTTAGATTAATAAGCTATGATGTTTGGTCATAAAAAAAAGAGATGACATTTTGATAATCAAAATAAAACGTCATATGATTTGATGACAACACATCCCATAAATTTAAGCAGTATGGCTTTGTACAATTATTTGAGTATTCTTCACAGCTGCCGCATTCATCAATAAACATTTACTATTTCATTAAAAAAGACCTAGAAATGATTATATGTACAAAATTATTTACTGTGGTTTTTTTTTTTGTTGTATTTTTTTTTTTACAAAACAATTGTAAATGCACCCTCCAGATACAATGTTAGTGTTTTCAAATACACTCAACAAAGGTCCCATATTGGTATAACAAAACGAAAAACAAAAACAAAAAAAATAATAAAAGTGGGATCTTCTCAGGTGCAAATAATTTGATGCAAATTCAAAACTGAGTCACTTCTTTTATTTTTTTTTGTTGCATCTACTTATGCAGCAGTCTTGACTCCATATAAACACTTGCATCAAAAAAAGCGATGCAGTTTTGTAAATGATAGGCGTGACGCAAATGTGGTGCATCAATGTCAGCTATTGCGTCACTGACCATTAGAAATGACTCCCTTAACTCCTTCAGGATCAGGCTTAGGCACATCCCTTGTAATCGTGAACTTCCCGACGTGTCTCTGGTCCTGAAGGGGTTAATGAGTTAGTACAGTAGTTTAACTCTTTTAGTCCAGCAACAGAACCCTCTGCCACTGAAAATGTTTCTAAAACATAAAACAAAACTACTGACTAATAGAATAAAAGATAATTCATCCAAATATTCCATTTTTAAAAAGTGGTCATGGATGATGGCAAGAAAAATTACTCCTTTATTGCAGTCAACACAGAGGCTAGATTCCGATGTACTTTCAAAGCTCAGTTTGTTTTGTTTGGGTTTTTTTCTCCGAAAACATAAAAACATTTAAATATATGGCACAATCTTTTTTTTTTAATGGTGAAAACGTCTCCTCTTCTGGCACAAATGTTTCCTCCACACCTCGAATTATTTCCAGCCTCGGTAAACGAGCATCAATTTAAATTTATGATTTGACGTTTGCACTATATAGCACTTATTAAATATGCTTGACTTTAGTGTCACTATTTTTTTTTTTTTATATATACATGATTAGAAAATGTATTTAAATCATCTTATTTACAAATGTCATCGGTGCTACTGTCAAGCTGTTTAAATATTAAAGTAAGCTTGTATTAATACAATAAAATGGTTTGCATTGGTGACATACAAAAACAAAAGATTTCTAGTAGGCTGGAAATTATTGTATGCCTACATCTGGTTTAGTTCCCTAGAATGGCTAATGTTTTAATTCAAAATGTTTGATCTTCCGATTTTTTTTTTACATTTTTTTTTTTTTATGCCATTGTCCCAAAATGTCCAAGGCCTGACGGATAACACTTCTTATTTCAAAGGCACTGTAATTTAGGACTTCGGCAATTAAAGTGTCCGCTGGTGGTGTTAAAAACTCATTCAGCGTGGGGAGTTTTGCCAAGTCCTGCTCCAACGGTGTTGATGTTTGGGGGAGTTTTGTGAGGTCCTCATCTCAGGTGGAATGAATTTGTAGTAATATTTCTTAGAATAAGTCCGTTGGTACATGGACGCTACAAAAAAAAAAAATTAATAAATTAAAACATTATTAACAAGTATACTGATTCTAATGTGCTTAATCATTTATCCAGTTTTCTTAGCTGAAAGCCCTTCAAAAGTAATTTTTAAATGGTAATTAATATTGCAGTAAGTTGTCATTTGTATTTATGTCCTTACATGGTTATTCCAAGCATCATAGCCAAAACACCCCACTGTAGTAGTTATGATGCTTGGATGTCCTAGTGCTGTTCCCCAGTAGTGGGGCAAACTTGGGTCCTGCCATTGCGAAACCGGCAAAACAGTCCTGCCAGATACTTAGTCTTCTCTCAGCCTTGTGATTGGCATTTGGCTTCTTAAGAACTAAGAATCTATCAATTATTAGTTATCTGAGAACCTTAGCTGATCACTCTCAGTCAATGAATGACCATCTGTCGATGGAATATTAGCCATTCCAGATCTCTTGCTCTGGGCTGACCGATGATACTGCCAGTGATGGAGTTACACCCCCAACAGCAATAAAACATTTCTTAGTATGTGCAATGTTTCAAACTGAAACACTGCACATACAGACTCCAAGTACCATAAACACTTCAAAACACTGAAGTGGTCAAGGTACTTGCAGTATTTATCTATTTGATTTATCATTTATGAAGAACACTTTTTCTGAAGTACTAAGAGTTGTACAAATTACAAAGACATGATCATATACAAGCTTTATTCAAGTAACATTCGTGAATAAAAGTATAACACTGTGAATCAGTCAGCTTGCTTGACCCACTTCCCAAAAAGCCCTTTTTTTGCATGTGTTGAAATAAACATTGAACCTAATCTTTCTTTGGGATCAGCACTGGATTTGTTGATGGAGTGGCATTCAATGAGGGAGGAGCTCCCTGATTTCCGAATACAATCAGATTACGATGCTTTCTTCGGTACATCTCTGTACATTTTACTGCCGATATCAAACACTGCTATTAATCCTAGTGAGTTTATTTTACGTACTAAAAATATGTAAGTAATAAAAATCTGAAAATTAAATACTTCATTATTATTCACTAGTTTCTGATTGGAAAACTGGAGACTAAAGTGTGTGTGTGTTTTTTTTTTTTAAAGATGTTAAAGGATACTTACGTTGCATACATGTAACCTTGGGCAGATCCCATCTTCCATCTCCTCGGCATCGAATAGTTGGCATGTGACGCTGGACGAATCCGTCTTTGCAGTGGTATCTTATTAGTGAATTGATCTCATAACGTGGCTTAACCTTTCCAAATGTTTTTGCATTTTCTACTAGAGGAGGCTGTCCACAAGCAACTAAAACAAAATGAATGTATGATATTAATCAGGCATTCCCAAAAATCTAATCAACTGAAATGAATGTGTATTGTGGTGTGCAGGGGTGGGCATTTCAGCAACTGATTTAATGATACGAATTGTGTGTGTGTATATATATATATATATATATATATATATATATATGTACTATGAGTATTTTTTTTTATTTAACTAAATCAACTTTAATCTTGCAAGTATTCACGCCACCACATGAACGACAATATGAATTTTAGAAAAATTAGAAAATTGTATGTCATCTATCAACCGCCAGTCTATATATTTTGTGTTTTGCACCTCTGTCCTGTCTTTTCATTATTTTCTAAATAATCAGTATATCTTTTTATTTTCCTACAAACAGCATGCTTTTTTTGTTTTTCACAAATCTGTTCTTATTGCCAGTAGCGTAAGCATCATCTCCTATATCGAAAGACTTGCAAATTACTTAAAAAAGGTGTTCTCATTACCTGTTCCCTTCTTGCAGGTGTATGTAAGGTGATAATTGCATGGTACATCATTCCATTGCCCGTTTTCATGCCAGATAATAACGACACAATCTTCTCCCGCGGAAAAGAAACTGTCAGGTTGGCTTGGCCTCCAGTTTTCATATTGCTGCGAAGGTAAAGGAAGATTGTGTTTGAATAATTGTTTTTTATATATATCTCAAGGCTAACTACCGGAAAAAAAATGCACTCTTAGAAATCAATCTAATGATATCTTTAGTTTAATAAAATAAGTAAAATACCTTTACTGTTTGAATCAGAACTATCATGGTAAAGGGAAAGTAACTACATGACCTTCTGATACAGTTTAGCTTTGAATGTGCTGAGTTTGACGATAAAGAAAGATTGTGTTATATGTAGCCCATGAGCAGGTTCTCCCATTATTTAGGTGAATATCTGGACTTGCTAGTTTGAAGGCTTTTCACTGGTCAACATGACCGTGATGAATGAATGAATAAAAAGCACCAGAACAGGATCTAAAGAACTCATTGTATATTAAAAAATTATATTATTAACTATTATCATGAACAATTTTAGGGAATCAAATCTCAAAAGGGCAAACCGAGATTTAAAAAACAAACAAACTGATTCATAAAAAATTATTCGATGCAGCTGTACTCACAACTTGGCTAGTTTAGCCTAAATTTTGTAAATCATATTTAATTGCAAGAGTTGAGAATTTAGTGAAAACCCTGTAAGAATTGTAAAAATACCTGTATTACTAGTGTTGTACCTACTGAGTTTTATTTATTTATGATTTGCATATGTTGGCATTTTTCGTGCTTTTTATGGTCATAGATCAGTCACTGGCCTTTTGTTTTTTTATTTTTATTTATTTTTTTATTATTCTTTTTCTTCTTCATTTGTAATGCTTGACATTTCCATGAGTGACATTCTATTACCTCACATCAGATTACATCACCAAACACCTTTATCTTGGCTTAACTGCTTTGGTTTAGCTCAAGGTTAAAGCCAAAAAGCTTTAGCAGAACAAGTTCGAATTATACTTTGCTTTTTTTATCTTCTCTTTTCACATTGGCAGCCTTCCCAATATGATACGTAGCCATGATTTCAAAGATAGTAATACAAATATAGGGTTTGGATGCCATTTTTTAAAAAATCAAAAAAGCTACACAGTTGCATGGTTTAGTGATTAGATCTGTGTTAGTCTTGTGACTCATGCAGAAATTCAAGTAAGCTTCTTATTTTTGTAATAATTTACATGTCATAAAATCTCTGATACCAAAATTAATTATGATGGGTTAAAAATAAACCTTAAGATGTGTGTAATGGGTTGCTAGCTCACATTTTCGTCCCTTCTGACAATCTTCAGCAACTCTAACTGGATTGATATTTTATAGCGATGGTCAATAAAATGTAAGACTCAAATATAAGTCAAATCCACAATTTAAAAGGATAATATAGCATTCAGACCACTTCATCTAAGTGAATTGTTCTAGGTGCAGTGCCCATGCCTCTTACCCTTGCATATGCAAAATTGCAGTTTCAGAGAAACTGCAATGTTTACTATGCAGGGTTAAGATAGACTCTAGTGATTCTCTACCAGACAGCCACTAGAGGTGCTAGTTGGCTTTTTACTGAGTTTGAGTCCATGAAATGATACTGGACGTCCTCACACTTAGCATAATGTCAACTATTATCTTTCAATTCTTGCAGAACATTCAAAGATCTTGTAGATCAATTAGGAGAACATTTTAAATTACCTGAAATTGTCTAATACATTCTAATATTGCTAAGTGTTTATTTATCAATTGACTTAGTTATAAGAAAACTGTTCCTAAATAGGCATTGTGCAACTGAGTATATAACTCCGAAAACTAACATTTCCCCTGATGCTGCATTTTTGGTTTCAGGCATAAAACTATTTCAGCTCCTTAAATGTCAACTGAAAAAAAAGTATATTTAATCAAACAATACAAAAATGTATTATTGAGCGGTTTCTATCCCTTTATTTGAAGAGTATGCAATATATTATGGCACTTAGAATTTACTGTTAGACATGAGATGTCAGGCTATTGTAAGGATCGATTGGAATGCTGGGTAAGTTCCAAGAACCATGGTCTTATATGTCCTTGAAATCGCTTCAAAATACAGTATATTAAACGCTGGAAAATAAAAAAGATGCTAAAAAAAATCTGTATTGAAAAAAAATCTTAACAGGAACTAAACACAAAACTAAAAAATTGGACTATACAGAATAAGGTTATTAGGTTACTAGATGTTCAGCTACAATATCTTGTTATGTATCAATAAAATCAACAAAATACTTTTACTGACAGAGTATACAACACTTCAAAAGGAGTATATTGTGTGATGCTTATTTGTGAATACATTGGACCAGCCTTGTAAGTGCCTTTCAACAGATTTAAATAATGTTGGTTGAAAAAGTCAACTATTTTATAAAAAACATAATTCGGCTGTTTAGTAGAGGCAAATCATTTACAATGTCACCTTTATAAGTCCACTATTTATTGATCAATAAGTACCCAGCTTTATTGCCTTACTGGCTCAGTTTGTTTATATCAGGTTACACTGTCCTGACTTAAAAAAAACATGAAAAGACAAACAACAAAAAAGCACTATTCCAGGGGCGGAGCCTAGCAACCAAGCAACCCAGATGTGTTTGGCACAAGCTCCCACATCTGGAGACAAAAATCGGGATGCCTTACTTGCCAACCCGCACACACAGATTGCTGTCCCCACAGCTAATAACCAGGAGAAGTAGCTGCACTCAAGAGTACCTTTTTGGGAAGTCTAGGACGCTGGATTGCTTCACTAGGGGCTTGAGGCCTACACGCGGCTGAGCCACGAGGAAGTGGCCGATCCTTTGGCTCCTAAACGTATGCTGAAACTCCTGCAAATCACTCCCCCTCCCCCTTGGACCGGTGGGGGTTATTCCAGTCCCCACTGGACTGTACTAATCGACTGCACAACACCTAACCACGCAGCAGAACCGGGCACTAGCTGCACTCCCCAAAATGGCGACGGCATCTCGGCCTACAGAGACCGCAAGTGAGCACGCTGCAATCTTCTACAGCTCAGTATACCACCTTATGCAGCGGATAGACAGGCACTTCCAATGATTCTGGAAAGCCCTGATGAAACGCTGCACAGCCTTACCAGCACAAGCTTAGGCAGAAGGACGGAGAGGCGAGTGCCGGGAGGCACGGAGGACTCCCTCGGGCCAAGCTGCATTAAAAACGCCCAGACTTCCCACTACTGGCCTACTTGGGCCGAAGGCCACCTTGGGCAAGACCCAAAGACATCACTGACAAAGATGGAGGGCCCACCGCCGCAGCCAGAGGCTGTCCGGCAAGACCCCTCGTCACTCCCACAGGGAGAGGGACCTGGCCCCTCAAGAAAACCGGGTCCATGGAACGAAGAAGTCAGCCTTTCAACCGGCCCGGGGATGGAGGTTGGACTTACCTCCCCCCACCGAACCGCACACGCTGATTCAAGCCCTGCTCCATGCGACACCGGCCATGAGTGGAGGAACATCGCACAACTGAGCCGCAACGGTGAAACAACCGGTAAATCCCCTACCACCATCAGGAACTTTCCGCACGTGGGCATCGGCTGAGCTGGGAGGGGTCGTCTGGCGCACACCACAGTAAACCATTACTGTGGCACCAAACCCCTGCAAGTTCCAACGGACTATTTCTGGCACTCTCTAAATTAGCCATTTGAGGATGAGGTATCCCTTGCATAATACATGCAACAGACTTTATTCTCCATTGTAAGCTTATATCTGACTCTAGCTAGCGGAGTGGTGGGCTGCTGGGCAGAGAAATGACTTAGCTACCAGTGGTATAACTCTCACTAACCACTCATTAATCACCTTGCAAGGTAATGGCACTGATCAGCCCGACAGTTAGACATGTTCCCCTGAGGGAGTAAGTGAATCTCTAGTTACCCATCTGTGGTATTAAACCCGCTGGATATCTCAACCTGCATATATATGTATAAATGTCACCTAAACTATGTTTGAGCCTGCTAGTTATTATACCTATATTCTTAGCTTCTCTCCAATAGGCTAGAATATATCCTTGATTTGTCTGAATGTATCTTGACACGTAAATCTTGAACAACCAGCCTGGCTAGCAGTCACCTCGATATTTATTAAGTATCCGTAATCATTTGCAAACAAACCACAACTGATTGCAAGAGAACACTAAAAAAATAAAGACAGAACTCAAATAACTTGCCTATCGGTAAATCTATAACCAGATCTTGGGCAAGTTTTACTTTACCTTTGCCATTATAGAGGGAACCTTAGAATAGAGCCACATTGCTAAATTTATAATTCCAAATGAGCAATTTTTTTACTTGTATGCAAATAATCCAAACTGCAATGTGAGCCATCTGTGCTTCCTTTAACCCCTTAATGACACGAAAATATTCTGTTATGATTCCCTTTTATTCCAGAAGTTGTATCCTTAAGGGCTTAAACATTCTATGGTTAAAAAATATATTTGTTTTTAACCTTAGTGTGTTTTTTTTTTATTTGTCTACATTATGAACCCACTTTTTAAAATTAGGAAAACATAAAATGAACTGGTGATACTGGACAGTCTACTCTCACTAACTGCCCCGCCTCTTCTGAGATCATGAGTAGCGATGAGCTCGGTCCAATCCAGTGCTCAGTTATAGAGAAGCATTTGAGACGGATAGACCATGTGCAGATATTTACACACTCCACCAATATGATGCTTCTCAAAAAAAGTACCTAATCGAATGCTTCTCTATGAGTAGTATTAACATCATTCAGAGTCATGATGATGCCAATCATGAAGACCTTCGATTTTCAAAGGTCTTTTTGAGGAAATAGATCTAGCGTCTGTCAGTTTAACATTTAATAAGGGGTTATCTCTCACAAATGTAGACAATGTTTTGTATTACAAGAAAAAAGGGACAGTATCTATGTACCAAAACCACTACATTAGGTAATAAAACCTAACATTTAGACTTATTTGAATTATTGTTCAAGTGTGCAATATAATAGTGTTAACAACCATAACGTATTTTTTTAATTAAACAAAGCCATACTTTCCTATTTGTGTGTGTGTGTGTGCCATTTCCTTGTGGATGATTCTAAAACGAATTTGTAATAATTGATAGAAAAGACTATACTGCACAGAACAATTAGATGTTTGAGTAGGCAGCGAGAGTGAGCATTAATTATTCCACATGGCTACACAAGACATTAAACTAAACTTTCCAAAGCAAAGGAAACAATCACAGGTTCTATTCCTTAAGCTCTTCTGGGAATAAAGACATAATTTGTCAAACAAGCACTGCAATTGTCTGCCCAAAAATGTGTCGTAAACTGTGGATTTAATTTTTCTTTTAAAATCTTCCAAGCATCTTTATATATCGAGCTGTTTCTTTTATGTAAAAAAAAAGTCATTAAAACAAATGTGTGGTTTGTGTTTTATGTACACTATTATTTTGTTCAAAGATGCCCCATATATTTTGGTTGTGTGGCTAATGAGCAAGAATTAAGGAAATAATATGTGTTTTTATCTTTGCATTACATTCAAATATAGAAGTAACAGGGTGAAATGTTTTTTAGGCACAGACAAAAGCCCTGAGCCATAAGTGGTCACTTATACACACAATGAAAATGGTTAATGTTGCCAATAAAACCAACATTATTGAACTAATCCAACATCATGTATAATACCTACGGAGGTGGTGGCGCCTGTGGAATGTCAAACAATATTGCCCTTAATGATTAGGCTTATGACCAAGCACTGCATTGCATGAACCATGTACAGTATTTAAAAATGTCCTACTTGACTTTATCTCCCCCTCTTACTCACACCTATTTCAGTTACTGACACTTTTTAAACTAAATAAATAACATTGATTTAATTAGCATCGGTGTCTAATTGTCATTTCTATATTAAGTAAAAGTACCTGCAGGAGTTAGCCTATCCAACGGTTCTCATTGATCAATGAAATAGTCGGATATTGGACTACAAAGACTATCAGTCTATTTCATAGATCAGTTAGTACCATTGGATAGGTTAACTCCTGCAGGTAAGTCATCTGATTTACCTTTGCAATCTCTTCTCTTACCAGAACTATATGTTACTTCCACTGTTAATTACTACAGTTTTAAATTAAACTGCAATTTTAATATACTTTTTAAGCAGTGATCAGTTTTTCCAATGTATTGTAAGAATATAATTGTCAGACATATTATCCATTATATATTGATAGAAAGGTGGTGAAGGACATTGTACATGCTGCACTGTAGCTGGAGAATCAAAGTTTTTCCTGTCCACGCACATTAGTGCTTCTGTTTGAAACCAATGTTTTCTAAATTAAATGTTACATATTACATATTTCTTTTATTGAGCAAGTCAAATCTTAGGCCATTTTATGGACTGAGGATATTCGCAACATTTCCACTTTAAGAAGACATTGAATTTAAGAGAGGAATCAGAGACCGCTTTCTTTAATTTAAAGCGTTTAAAATTCACCAGCACCACAGATGACAGAATAACTGTCTTCTTTGCAATTAATCCTGGATAATATTGCACCTGAATGCTGCTCGGTAAAACAAGGAACACACATCTTATCCTTAACCTTCTACATGCCTGGTAGCATCTCAGCTGGTTCCACAACACTACAACACCACCTGCTGGACAACACGAAACATCATATATATTTTAATAAACACAGCTTGGCTAAGCCTATTAAAACATATATTACCCTGACAGTAAATGATGAGAGAGCTTTTTTTTAATGTATAGTTGGCATTGTCAATGGAATAACTACAAGCAAATCTAGAAAAACAAACCTATAGGCTAAACTAATCTGTACTGCTTTAGGTGCCTTGATTTAAACGTATATTTAGCAAAAGTAGCAAATAGCTCACAATCCAGCGTTTTTCAAAAAAAATCTTTACATTGCTCCTTTTCCACAATGTATAAAAATATTTTGAGTGATAATTCTTTTGTGTCTCACTGTAATCCCCTGAATCCCTCTGGTTGCAAATGCCTATTTTGCTAGATTTTAACTGTGCTGTTTGTATGTATTATAGCATTTTATAGTATTAGTTTCGAGTGTGTATTTAATGTGTGAATGTTGTGATATGTGTGGAAATATTTTAAAGACTGTCCTGTGTGTGTGTGTGTGTGTATATATATATATATATATATATATATATATAAAATAGACCTGGAACAGTACATTTCGAAGTTCGTGGAAATTTGTTATCACTTTTTGATCAAATAACTTTAATAATAAATTTAAGTCCTATAATATATCTTATTGTTTGTGTTATTTAGCTCCTTTTAACTAATGACATTATTACAAAATTTTTGTACATTTTGATATACCTATATCTAATGTTTTAATATCCATCTTTATAGATGCAGTTTCATCATTCGTTCGTGTACATTATCTAATTCATTTATTTCATACAGTGACAAACTAAATATATATATGAAGTACAAAATCCTACCAGTTGGTGGCGCTGTGTGATCAATACTGAAGTCATGTTAGTTTTTTTTTTTTGTTTTAGCATGTTTTTGTAGGTTTATTTTTAAACGTTTGAGAAATATCTCTGAAAATAGATTATTTTCCGATCCATTTTAAATAGACAGATGCTTAAAATAACAATACTTTGTGGTAATTAATATCATTTGGGCAGCATTATATTTAGAAGTGTATTTTAAAGACTTTTAGTAAAAGTCTTTTTGTATTATGTGATATTTTATAAATCAGTTTATAAATCAGTTTAACAAATTATTTTAAGATTTGTTTTACCTTTTCCTGGTATGTGTTCATTTTTTAATATTTTATATATATAAATGTCATGGGATGTTGGCAGCAGTCTGAAGACCTGGTGCCTTATTTTGCACCAGTACTCCTCTATATTTAGCTTCTAAGGGCTGAACTTGTTTTATTTTGAAACTGATTTTAAAGGAACCTCTATGACCACCATTACCACTACAGAGGTCTGTAGTGGTTATGGTGCCACCATTTCCCTGTCGCCTCCCCCATTGTAACCGGTAAACCATTTTAGAATTGACTTCCTACCTGAGGTCTGACAGGCAGTTCCCCCTGTCTCCATTACTTCTGACGGAGAGCTATAAGCTCTCTGACTGAGCTAAGCCCAGTTTAGCTTGTTGGCTGAGAAGGATGCTCTCAGCCATTAAGATAGCCCTACTTAGGAGCTTCCAGCTCTCCATACGTAGTAGTGAAGCTGGTGAAGGTCACACACCATTCAGATACCTAATCGTTCCAAACTAAAAATATGTATTTACTGAAATAATTATTAGCACAAATAAACACCAAAGTCCTAAAAACTTAATTGCTTCTGCAGCTAAAGAAGATCCTCCCCTTTTTGCCTAGCACTTTCTTCCTTGTTAGTGTTTTTCATGCAAATCAAATGCCTTTTATAGAGAAGCAATGAGGACACATCTCCAGTCCAAAGCTCCTCCTATTACTGAGATTACTGAGATTTAGGAATTTGCATTAAATAAAGCATACTTTATAGCTGGATTAGTTCAATTGCTATTTTTACATATTACTTTTTATGCGTCCTTTAACATAGACTTGCTATATATGCTCATCAGGCTCAGATCACTGGATAAGAATGAGTCCAGTTATATTCCACATAAGCTGTTTAGAAAGTGGTCACTTCAGTACCCCATTACATCAGCTATATATTTTAACTCCCACCAGTCTCAGACAGAATATCATTGTGCTAGACAGAAGTTGTAGTCTAGAAGGGGCAAACAACTTTGTTGGAACATAAATTCTCAAATAGCCCGGCGCGTGGGTGTTTTCTTCTCTGATCTCTGGACCTGGTAAGGCGTAGAGGCCAAAAAACAGAACTGATTTATGTTTTTCTATATCTGGGAATTAGAATTGTGTGTGTAAATAATCCAGCCATGGCTACACTGCCCAAAAGTTGCACAAAACTGACATCATCTGCCAGGAAGGGCTTATACAAGCTTGCTGAATGACAGTCCAAGCCCTGCACACAAAAAGGATATTTATCTCCAGATAAAACAGTTTAAAAAGAGAGGCTTCAGTGGTAGGATTGTTTCACCATAACCATTTTTCAGAAATATGAAGTGTTTCTGGTGCTAAGAGTGACCCTTTAAGAATGAACTATAAGTAACAAAGTAAAAAAGCAATTGGCATGGGAAAAACAAAAGATAACGGTACTTTAAATATGTCCAAACAAAACTCTTGTCTCAGCAGCAGCTGCTAGAGATTGGAAGCAGTCCCATAAAATATAACTATAATGATTAGGAAAGCAAAACACCTTGTAAGAGCATAATGTGTTATCACACACACATGTATCTGTGCATAACCACTCCCAAGCACTTCTAATCTGGTAAGAATTTTAAATAACAGCCCGAGAGTATGAAAGTATCCCACTTACACAGATACATAAAGGCAGAATCACTCAATCAATGTGTATATCTAGAGCACATGGCATTCACACAGCCTCCGTATCACTGTTCATGCCTGCATGCCTTTTATCTCTGGCAAAATAAAACTATATAAATCGGTTATTAATAACCGACTTTGCCCCCTTTCCATGCCCTGACTTGCTGCATTTAAGACTCATTCTACAGTGAACCTGGTTTAGCTACCTTATCATTGGCCCCATTCACACTTCCTTCCTATAAGCATTCTTTAATCCACAGACAATGCTTCCAGAGACAATAACCAGTGCTGTGACATGGTGCTAATCTTGCACTAAGGCAATGAGTTCACTGCTTTACAAAGTGACAATTATCAACAGCTTTTTTCCAAAGAATATGAATAGCTCTCTGTCAGACAGGGTGTGATGTAGTAAAGTGACATATCTTTCATACATACGCAATGGCACAGACCATTTCTAGTACTGAAATAGCATGCCCATGGCAACAGCAGGTCAACAGACTTTCATGACCGTCCAGCGATTTAAGGAACCTGAAAGCAAGTTTGGCCATTGAGAAGGTCACAAAGAATATTTGATGAATTTTCTCATAAGTTTGTGATTGATCCAGACTTTTTTCACATACATGCTAATAAATAGGAGACATTATCATTGTATGTGTTGTCAGATGGCAAGGCTTTTCTCTTAAAAAATGGATATAGAGTAATACAAGGAAGAAAATATTATTTTTCGTCTTCATAAATAGTTTAGTTCATATTATCTTTGGCGTGCAAAGTACTTAAAATGTAATTAAAAAACATGAAGTTTTCATAAAACAGCTATATGGGATTGATGGCTGTCATTGTGGCCTAACAAATCTCAGTTTATTTGGACTGTGCTAGCATTGAGAATGACAGAGATAGTGGAACCAGTCTATGAGATTTTAGGTAAATGCCCTGTGGGTCCCCATGTTCATAGGCTGAAGGCATATCGGAAATATCGGGGGAGCACAACAAGTGGCCCAGTAAGTCAAAGAATTATGGAACTTGACTGACTGGAATATGTCAGTTTTGTAACAGAACTGAATTAACAGAGGCTAATGCAGAAACTTGTGCAGGCCTACAGAACCCCACTCATCATGGCCAACACATTCCAGAATAAGGTATGAGAAAGAGCCAAGGAACCACTAAGGTAAGTTAGCGGAGCCAAGCTAGGCTAGGACAGTCTGACCTAAGATGTGACCATGTGGTATGGTAAATGTGCTGAAAACAATTAAGTGGCTTTGATTGTTGACAAGAATACATTTCTTGAAATTAATAATCAGTTTAAGATGAAGATGCCAAATTTCAATGTTAAAGAAGCATCTTAGTGGACATCCAGCATTTTTTCACATTTGTTTTCTTGGCTTTCTTCTTACAAGTAGGTAAGTATTTTTCTATATATACACGCATACCTACTTTATAATTGCTTTTTGATGTTTAGATTAAATTTCTTTTTATGCCAGATTTTATTATTATATTGGAGTGCAGAGTACTTGAAGACAGTTGTGTCACTGTAATGTGGGTTTCCAGAACCTCTCAAAGAAGTCTATACTGTTTATTATTTGAATGGGCGATGTTTGTTCTATTTGCATTTGTTATTATGTTTTAATTAAGTAAAGGATTAACAAGTCAAAAGCATTAAATCTCATGACTGCACTTCTTATTATATGTGTATTACATACTACAATATTATATATTATATATATAATATACATATACATCTATACGCACTTCTGATGTCATCATTTCAGGTAGTCAAGTTTTCAGTATTTCGAACACACCATATGTTATGTAGTGATGTTAAAGAACTTTAGCTGTAGCTAGGCAAGTAATTAAACTGAACAATCTCCAATCCCAGCTCTGTGTCTTTTCCAAATTCCTAGTTTTGTTTCTAAGTGAGTATGACAAAATGGCAAAACGCCTGAGAATATTACTAACAGTGAACTCTAAACTGCTCTGCTAAACTGTGCAGATGAATCTTTTAGAGCAGAGCCGAGCAGTTTGGCTGCCAACTTCCCGTGTGTTGGCACCTCTGTGATCATATCCAAAGCCCTGTAAAATTGTAGGATAATTAAATAATCAGGATAAGGATTGGAGCTTGTTTATGGAAAGTGCCACTTGGCTCCCCAGCAGCTATAACAACAGCACAGATTTAGTGATCTCACTGAAAGATTTTATGGCAGTCCTCTTGAGGGTTTCCAGCTGGGATATTGTCCGTTTTACCATAAAATATATACTCATAAAAAATCATTTTGCTAGATAAAGTAAGTACAAATCTACTGAAGGGATACCCATTAGAAATATACAGTCAGGTCCATAAATATTGGGACACCTACACAATTCTAATCCTTTTGGCTCTATACACCACCACAATGTATTTGAAATGAAATGAACAAGATGTGCTTTAACTGCAGACTCTCGGCTTTAATTTGAGGGTATTTACATCCAAATCAGGTGAACGGTGTAGGAATTACAACAGTTTGTATATGTGCCTCCCACTTTTCAAGGGACCAAAAGTAATGGGACAATTGACTGCTCAGCTGTTCCATGGCCAGGTGTGTGTTATTCCATCATTATCACATTTACAAGGAGCAGATAAAAGGTCCAGAGTTCATTTCAAGTGTGCTATTTGCATTTGGAATCTGTTGCTGTCAACTCTCAATATGAGATCCAAAGAGCTGTCACTATCAGTGAAGCAAGCCATCATTAGGCTGAAAAAACTAAATAAACCCATCAGAGAGATGGCAAAAACATTAGGTGTGGCCAAATCAACTGTTTGGAACATCCTTAAAAAGAAAGGATGAGCTCCGGTGAGCTCAGCAACACCAAAAGACCCGGAATTGTGTCAAAGTCAACAATCAAGAGAAGACTTCACCAGAGTGAATACAGAGGGTTCACCACAAGATGTAAACCATTGGTGAGCCTCAAAAACAGGAAGGCCAGATTAGAGTTTGCCAAACAACATCTAAAAAAGCCTTCACAGTTCTGGAACAACATCCTATGGACAGATGAGACCAAGATCAACTTGTACCATATTGATGGGAAGAGAAGAGTATGGAGAAGGAAAGGAACTGCTCATGATGCAAAGCATACCACCTCATCAGTGAAGCATGGTGGTGGTAGTGGCATGGCGTGGGCATGTATGGCTGCCAATGGAACTGGTTCTCTTGTATTTATTGATGATGTGACTGCTGACAAAAGCAGCATGATGAAGTGTTTCGGGCAATATTATCTGCTCATATTCAGCCAAATTTTTCAGAACTCATTGTACGGTGCTTCACAGTGCAGATGGACAATGACCCGAAGCATACTGCAAAAGCAACCAAAGAGTTTTTTAAGGGAAAGAAGTGGAATATTATGCAATGGCCAAGTCAATCACCTGACCTGAATCCGATTGAGCATGCATTTCACTTGATGAAGACAAAACTGAAGGGAAAATGCCCCAAGAACAAGAAGGAACTGAAGACAGTTGTAGTAGAGGCCTGGCAGAGCATCACCAGGGATGAAACCAAGCGTCTGGTGATGTCTATGCGTTCCAGACTTCAGGCTGTAATTGACTGCAAAGGATTTGCAACCATGTATTAAAAAGTGAAAGTTTGATTTATGACTGTTAATCTGTCCCATTACTTTTGGTCCTTTGAAAAGTGGGAGGCACATATACAAACTGTTGTAATTGTACGGTGCTTCACAGTGCAGATGGACAATGACCCGAAGCATACTGCAAAAGCAACCAAAGAGTTTTTTAAGGGAAAGAAGTGGAATATTATGCAATGGCCAAGTCAATCACCTGACCTGAATCCGATTGAGCATGCATTTCACTTGATGAAGACAAAACTGAAGGGAAAATGCCCCAAGAACAAGAAGGAACTGAAGACAGTTGTAGTAGAGGCCTGGCAGAGCATCACCAGGGATGAAACCAAGCGTCTGGTGATGTCTATGCGTTCCAGACTTCAGGCTGTAATTGACTGCAAAGGATTTGCAACCATGTATTAAAAAGTGAAAGTTTGATTTATGACTGTTAATCTGTCCCATTACTTTTGGTCCTTTGAAAAGTGGGAGGCACATATACAAACTGTTGTAATTCCTACACCGTTCACCTGATTTGGATGTAAATACCCTCCAATTAAAGCTGAAAGTCTGCAGTTAAAGCACATCTTGTTCATTTCATTTCAAATCCATTGTGGTGGTGTATAGAGCCAAAACGATTAGAATTGTGTCGATGTTCCAATATTTATGGACCTGACTGTACATGAAGTATAGCATGTGATATATGAGGACATCATCTGGATTCTATATAAAAGATGTTGTTATTGTAGGAAATGTTAATGGATCCCGAAAGTATAAAGGTTAAATTCACTACCGGTTAAATTTCTGCCTAGATCGTTAAGTTTTGACCGAGTTTTGACTTTTGCTGTTCTCTGAAACCCGTTTAACGGTTATGAGTTAATTAATACATTATAGTTGATTAGAGTGATTGGGTTATAATTCAGGAGTTGATGAAATTGCGTTTTTCTTCACTATTGACAAACCAAATTTGACAGATTTAAAATCATTAACCAAAAATGAATGAACTTGGAGGTTAAAGATAGCAGCAGAACATAACAAGTACACATACATAGCTAAACGAACTGTTAATTCCATGGAGAGAAGATTTTGATGGTTAACCAACACTGTTAACAAAATTGCCAATTTATATGCCAATTTTCCTACTGTCTTTGACATTACTCATAAATTACTCATAAATATAACATTTCACCTGCAGCAATATATAAAATTAAGTTTTACTGAATGCTCCAAATGGTTGATTTTAATCTGAAGAATTAAATCAAACTAAAATTTAATTTTGTTGGCAACACTTAGAACTTTATTGCTAAAATGTTGTTTTAATGCCAGTTATTAGGTATTTGCTGCTGCATGGTTTGCACTCTTTGTTGATTCTCTTCCTTTTACCTAAATCTAGAAGGGAAATTACTTCACAGCATAAATATAACTCTCTCTCTCTCTCTCTCTCTCTCTCTCTTTCTCTCTCTTTCTCTCTCTCTCTCTCTCTCTCTCTCTCTCTCTATATATATATATATATATATATATAAAACTTAGTTTGAGTCCATTTTTAACATTGTGTGCACACTTAGCACGCTACTATTAGCTGAAAATACAGAGTGATAACTGAGGTGTTGTGCATTATTTATTGAGAAGTACTAAAAAGAAAGAGCATAAGAAAATAAATGATTTACTTGTGAAATTAACAATTTGTTGACATCCAAGATGGATTTAAATATGATGAAATGTTTGATGTGGCTCAATGATTATTGGAGTACTTTAGGACAAGATTAGCAAGGTGAGCTAGAAATAGTACTCTTGTTTTTGGACTCCTGGGTCCTTCATCTTGGTTTGCACGTATTGAATGTTGACAGTCTGTTCTTGTTTGTCTACACATTTACAGTAAATTCTTATATGTGCATCATATATTCTAATTACACAAATTGAAGAACACATTCATAGTTTTAACTATACTGTTATTAACCAGGACTAAGGCTAGACAATACCCATTATCATAGTTACCAAGGTGCCCATAACCCATGAAAAGAAGCTAAATAATTAGACTTTTTCTTTATAAACCTCAAAGTATGCAAATGCTAAATTTCTAGAATGCTACATTATACGTACTATAAGGTCCATATCAGTTTATGTATAACTGCTAAAAATTTGAACAGTGAAGCAAAGTCTTACCAGAGTACTCCCATCAGACCAGCGGAAATCATTCTCGAACATCTTATCATTAAGACCAATCCACTGATAATCATGACCCAATCCTTTTAAAAGAAAATCAGAAAAAATATTTTTATATTAAGTACTAGCACAATAAAAGAAGTGTAATGTATACGGTAAACAAACTTTTTGCAAAATGCAGTAGTTTTCAGTTAAGAAGAACTTACGGTTGACAAATGACTGCTCTTCTTGTGACAGAACGCTCGTCAAATGTCCTCCCTGAACACGGCATTCTCTCTCAGCTGCATCCCAGGTGCGACGATGAGCAAAGTATTTGTAGCAATGACCTTGAAACTTGTGCCATCCATAATCACAGACTTCCGTATCTAAAAGTAAACAAAATAAAACAAACAACGTTATTACTGACACCTGGTAGTTCTTAAAAAAAAAATGCATGTGCACTGTAAAAGAAAATATGCATTTCTTCTGTGGTTCTGACTTATATTTGAAAATCCATACATTGCTTGTACAATCTATTATTAGACATTAAATGTTCCATCCAAACTGTGCCAAGCAATTATACTGTCTAGTCTCAGACTGTTAAAAAACAGGAATCATTTTTTTCATTTTATTTTTAAATATTACAGAGACTTAAAGTGAACCTGTCATGACGGATATAGGTTTGCAGTTTTCAAACGACCTTGTTTGACTCTTATTATACATCTTTGGTTTTCTTCACTTAATACAATCAAAAGGTTATATTTTAGTTTATTTCTATGTTCCATGTCTCCTGCTGTGAGTTTTCAGTCAGTGTTACACTGCTGCATTACACACCTCTCCTGCATACCACTATTTGGGAAGCACAGACTTGGTTCTATTAACAAGTTCAAAGTATTTAACACTTTATGATAGCTTTGTGTAACTAAAACTTATCTGTTTTCTCTTTTTCCATTCTTTATCCAAGGCTGATGCAATATATTATTTTGTCTGTTTCTCTCCTCTCACAGTGCTGCTGCTGCAGCAGCTCTCACACAGAGCCTGACGCTCCTCTTGACTTCCCCTTGTAGGCATTGCTTTCCCTTAATTCAAGTAGCAGAGACTCCCAAAGGGGGCATTTCCCTGATAACAGACATGATGCCTCATAACAGACAAACAGAGAACATATTTCGTATCTATGTACTAATTGGAACTGGTTCGCACAGGTTCGCGCATACTGAACTGTCTGAGTGGAAGAGCTGTTTTTATTCTCTGATTTTAGAGATATCTAGACATTTGCTAGCAATTCTGTTTGCACAATGTATAGATAAAATTTGATTCTCTATCATTTAAGATTAAGTTGTATTTGTCAGATACCCTTTATTATTAAATGCCATCTTTTAAAGTCATTTCTGTAAAGCCTTTCTTGTTATTCATGCTAATGTATGAAGATGAAGTAATGGTTTCATGAACCTTGCCGAACATGTTCAGAGAAAAAATAATTGTTGGTGAAGTTATATTGTGCCATTTGTTAGTAAAATCTATTAAGATTAAAAATGTTAAGCCGAATGTTTATCTGAGACTGAAAGTTTGTCAAAGCATTTTGGCATTGCCTTTCTACAACAGTTTGGGGATTTTTGTCCACCCCTGTGAGAACTTTAAACATATCCATATGGTTTTGAATATGGATTGTAATATCCTCAGTGCTTTTAAAATATGCATATTTTTTTTGTTTTTTTTTAATTGACTTTAATGTCCTTGATCCTCGCATATGTTCATGTAAGAGTTGGAATAAAAGTGATGAGTCCTATTACAAGCACATTCTAATTCTAGAAGCAGATGTCAGCTGGTTAAACGACTTCCTGCTTCATATCACACATCACACTGGCCTGTCATAAACACAGCAAATCGTTATTTGCATTATTCCAGTTAGCATTTGTGTTAGGGGACTGTAGACTTACAAGGGAATAACACATGGTGAGCTAATTCAGCCATTCTAGAGACATTTGTCCAATTCAGCTATTTCTTTCCAGGTTGACTACTCCATCATAAATAGTGTGATTCCCTTGCCCAAACACTGTAATTCACTGCTTTGTGCATAAATTCTAATAGAATGGGAAAGTGTCTAATAGAATGGGAAATTGCACATTGTAAGCTAAACTAGCTGAACTGAAAAAAACATCTCAAGCCCCTGCTGTGTGTCCAGCTCAGCTATTGTGACTTCAGCTTACAATTCCCTAGCCAGTTCTGATTATTTCAACTTTTGCGACCAGTCATGAATCTGATTTTGTCTTACTTTCCCTTACTCTAGCAGGATGACGAGTAAAATGAAAAAAAAGGACAAGTACATCTCTGCCTGCAAACAAGGCTGCCTGTTGTTTGTCTACTGTAATTTCTGCAGGTACACGGGAAATAAATACTTATGGTACACCAGGGATTGCTGCTCCAGCTGTTTGGACTTGCAAAGCATCATAGGTTATGACGTTCTACAAGATTTGAAGAATACCTTTTGTCCACCATTGTTCTAAACCTGGGCTACCTAATAGGTAGATCCCCAGGTGTTGTAGAACTACAACTCCTGTGATGCTTTGTATGCCTTTAGAATGCCAAAGCATCATGGGAGTTGTAGTTTTACATCATCTGGAAATCTACCTATTGATTAGCCCTGTTCTAAACCATCCCTGATGTAAGGATACAGCGAATGTCCCTTTTTTGCAACCATAGCAGTGGAATAATGTATCATACATTTGAATGGCAGAATTAAGTCATTGGGTTTACCAGCATTTCAATATTTCCAATAAATTTGGTCATAATGTAATTAAATGTTTTAACATATTAGCTCACTCAAGAAGTTTATAGGTGTGAGCACAATTCATAATGTTAAGAGACATATTGTTTTATGTAAAATATAGAATTAGACCAATGTTAAGCTATAAAACTTAATCTAAGCAATAACCCACACCCATCCTGTGGTACAACATGGTACATGATCAGTCTGCTTGGCAGATCTCTGACTGCGTTGCATTTAAGACTGACGCGGCAAAATTTAGGCTCCTGCCAGACGAGTGTGTCTGCATCTCTAATACAGTTTTATTTTGTCTGGCAGAATGGAGATTTGGCTGAGGACACTTTTCCCAGTTCCCAAACCACTGCAGAGCCCTCAGCTAAGAAAAAATGAGATCCAGAATAGAAAAAAATGAACCAAAAGTCTATTACGTACAGATAGTCTGAATCTTTTTTAACCATTTAAGGAAGCATTGTATCACATAAATACTTTGCGTGTGTGCAAAACTAATTGATTGCCACATTTGGCACAAAGAAACTTCAGTTTATTTCTTACACCTCTGTTAGGGAATTATGTGTCAGATAGACAGTGATAACCTCGAATATTATGACAAAGAGATTTCTAAATATATTCAATATAGGGTGTCACCAACATGCTCCTGTCATCATTTATACTCTATTTCTTTGACCAGCTTGATGAAACCTAAATCATGGGCACAGCTGACTTAACGCCCTGAGGTTCCTGTTGCCATGTCTGCAGTTGATTTCGGGACACCTTCATAAATGTAATCCTGCGGACTTCTAATTTAACCACCAAAAGCCATAATATACACATTTTCATAGATGTTCCTAATTCAAATTGTGATCTGGCAACCGTATCGAGAGGACAGTAAGCCGAGTAGCAAACTGATGAACATATGCACTCAATTTACAATAGTGGGGATCTGCTTTGACTATTGCTTTTTTGTTGAAAGTGGCAGGGCCCGGCAGAAGGCCACAGGCACTTAGCAGGAGCTCATGTTGTTTACTGGCCAAACCCCCTCTGAGCATGCAGTACATTTTTAAGAATAAGAAAAAAGCACAGACCACTAACACAATTTTCTGTCACCTCTTATTAAAATTTTCTCTTCCTAATTTTCTACTTACTTATGTGCCTATTTTTTACTATTTTTTATTTTCCTTGTGCAAGAAACTTCAAGCATAATATGGTAGAAATAAGTTGTAGTTAAGCATACTCATAACATCAGCGTTCCTTGAAGCAGGATACTAGTGGCAGCAGGTAAAGGTGGTGGGCCAGTGGCATGTTCGAGTCACTGGCTCTGTCCAAAGGAAGCTGATCCAATCAGAAAGGTGCCGGGTCTACCAAAATTACTGGATGGGCAACCTAGCATGAATGCATGCCAGGATGCCTGCCAAGCAAGCAGGGCACCTACATAGGGCAGACCATGCATGGAGCACTATTTCTGTGGTCCTAGTGCTCTAAGTGCAGTGTAAGCGCATCTAATGAGCTTGCAGTAAACTTTTTTTTGGGGACAGTTTTCTGGTGTTCCCAAAAGCAGGACACTATGGAACAAAAGAGTGATGGCAGGATAGGACCTAAAAAGGATTGTTCTGCCGAAATTGAGACAGTTCAGATATTTCAGTCATTTTCAGAAATGTTATTTCTGTATAATAAAACATTGTAGACTATTTTTCAATTTTTCAACAGTGGAAGGATACTATAGAAATCCACAGCTCTTTCAGAAAAAAAAATGATCCTCTTTATATACAGTTATACCTCCTGACATGCATTTTCACACAAAAAAAAAACTAATTTGAATTTAGTCCCAGCCCAAAAACAAGTGTTTTTAAACTCTATGCATACATATTTGGATGGGACGTAACTCCAGTGATAACTGATCCTACCTTGCTCACAAAGTGCTCCGGCATAACTTGGAAGACAGATACATGTGAAAGTGTTAATCCCATCGATGCAACCTGCACCATTTCGACAGAGATTTGACTGGCATTCATCTATGTCTGCGGGAAACAAAACAAGGAAGTATGTTTTTAAAATAACACCAAGACAATTGATATCACTCACTATTACAAATTAGCATTTGGTATTAACGATAAGCAGTTATCATGTGGGATGTAAGTGAAGGATATATTGTATATAACAGTATCAGTAATCAGAAGAATGTGTATAGATCACCAAATGAGTGAAGATCCTGGCACAGAACATCTTCATATTGGAAGCAATATCACTACCACATACATAGACAAACCCAGGACTATTCTCAATTACTTGATTGCCATTCCCTTGGTTTCGTTTAAATCAATGCTACCGGCAAGACTAACTAAGCTTAGCAGGAAAATCGAATTGTACCTCTCCCTCAACTAGATTAGTTTTCAGTTGAGAATTCCCTTCTTAAACGGGCACTAAAATTAATTTGAAAATGTTACAAAATGCAATATGTGAATAAAAGGGCATACATTTTAGTGAAAATCCCTCACTAAAAGCATACGTAGGTGACAATAACATTTCGCGTGTTCCATTCCCCAGAAAATATTGCAATAGCTTAATGTCCAATAAAAAAAAAAAAAAACAGTACGTCAGACTAGACATTCACTAGTATGGACCTTTCATTAATTATTATGAATCCATTGATTCTAATATTTTTCTGACATTTATTGAACATAATCAACTTAGCAATAATCAATAATAATCTGAAACCCAAAAAAATTAAATATGCAGTAATAACTAGACTTATGTAAAAATTGATTTTCTGCCTGTTCTTCTGAATCCCATAATTTTCAATCCACATCCAATGAATCAATTCATCCAGGATTTACCTAATGAATAAGACCATACAGGTGAATCACAGATGCATCGATTTTTTCAGGTGTGATTTAAAAAAAAATAATTGGTTTAAACGAATCGGCTAAAATAAAATTTTGCACAACTCTAGTGACAACATTAATTTCAATTTTTATAAATCATCTTTATTTACCAATTTCACAAAGTTCTCCACTGTAACCAGGCATACAAGTGCAGACGAAAGAAGTGCCCCCTCGACGATAACATGTGCCACCCTGTTGGCAAGGATTCAGTTTGCATGGGTCTTGAGCTAAAATTAAATAAACGGAAAAAAAATTTTTGTGAAATTGATCGCTGATATTCTTTAGCATATTACACTTTATTTTACTTTTCTTTCTACCTAGCTATGTATCATGTACATTTAGGTTTTTTTTTTAATTCTGGCACTCAAATCCTACAAGTAAGCGTTACAGTGATAATAGTGAATATCCCTTTTGATTGCTGGACAACAGTTAGGTTATTCAGTGCTTTTTTAACTCATATTCTGATACAGTTTAATATTTAAATCTATATATTAAAAACTTGGGATATATAAATGATGTTCTGCCTGTTTATTTTGTTTTCTACACTGCTATTTAACAGGATCACACAGGAAATCACATTTCCATTGCAGCTCAAACATATTCACTAAAGCAGGGGTTCCCACAAGGTAGATTCCCCAGGTTTTGCAGAACTACAACTTCCATGATGCTTTGCATGCCTTTACAATGACAAAGCATCATGAAAGCTGTAGTTTTAAAACATCTGGGGATCTACCTTTTGGGCACCCTTGCACTAAAGGGTGAATTGTTGGGAATTCAAAGTGAATTTCACAAGTCAGGCCACAATAGTCGAACTGGAAAAAAATCTCCAAGTAAGCTGTACGTTTCTGTTCAGCAATCTTGGCCTATAATTTGATATTCACTTTCACAAATAATTTTAAATTCCCAGCAATCCACCCATTAGTGGATGACCCTGCACGCGATCCCTTTTTTTACAGAACAAACAATACAGAGAATGGCAGAGAGGGAAATAGAATCTGAAAACTTTTATCTTATATTCTATTTTTTTTATAATGAATACGTCAAGGCTTTCATGAGCAGATTCTTGCACATTTTGTTTCATTTTTGCATGCTTTGAGGTTTGCCTTTCATCATTGCCAGTCCTTTGTTTATTGTGATATGTTCACCTGGTTAGCATTACTGCAACATTTCAGAAATATCATGCATTTAGTTTCTTTGGTGACTTTAATTAGAAGAATATGTCTATTTTCTCAGAATGAAAGCATTGGGTCTTTAAAGATGAATTAATTGAAGTGTTGAAGACTGATTTTGAATTGATGCTAAAATAGTTCTAAAATTAATAATACTAATCACCTTAAATATAATGATTTTCTTCTTACATAAATTCAGTCAAGTTTTAACCGAATGAGTGGCTGATTAATGGATTTTACTGTTCCCTATTTCAAAACAAATTATTTTATTGACTTCAGAAGGGTTAAATGTTGTGTTGGCCCAGAGGGAGACTACTCATAACTGGGTGCCAGCTAAATTTACTGTACTCTCTAGGTGGTACATATGCACACATCTCAGAATGATTAGGATAGTCTAATGCAATGGTAGGTAACCTTTGGAACTCGAGATGTTGTGGACTTTATCTTTAATAGTGTTCTTACAGCCAAAATGCTGGCAAAGCATCAGGGGAGATGTAGTCCACAACATCTGGAGTGCTGAAGGCTGACTACCTGTGGTCTAATGAATTGTAAATGTCCTCGAAGCTTCAAAGCATCGATTCGATTTTGTCAGTATGCAAAAAGATAGAATATGTTATTAGATTGCAGTGACCAAAGGGTTATGCGATTGTTTTAAGAGGGGAAAGCCCGTGGAACAATGGCCTGACTTTAATAAGCTGTCTTAACAATTCAATACTGTTAAAAAAAACTTTTCAAATTATTTATCTACAGAAGTCCCGATTAACATCTATGGGAATTTTTAGTAGATAAATAATTTGCAATGTTTTTCCAGCAGTATTTAATCACTTGGAAAGCTTATTAAATCAAGGCCAATGAGAGATCTTTACATCAAGGTTGTGGATGCAAAGACAGATTTTGAAAGAAGTAGAGAGGAGAAAGACAGTGTGATTGTGGGAGAGATATCAAGTAGAAAAAAAGAGATCTAATGAAAGACACATGAAGAGGTGGTTCACGTGACAAACTCAAATATTAAAACAAAGAAAAAATAAGAAAATAGGGACAAGAATAAAATATATTGTCTAGTGTGTGTGACCGATGGATGAAAAGATGAGAAAATACACAAAAAGTGTAAATAGTAAGTGACATACCCTAAGAGAACAGGTTAGAAATGAGATTGAGTGATAAAGCAAAAGGGGTTGATACTACAGGAGAGGAGTTGGGGAAAAAGAGAGATGGTCACCAAACTGAAAATTGGCGATACAGTGCTCAAACAAGAAAAGATTGAGAGAGAAGAGCTGAAAGTGAGAGGACTCCGTGAGCTTTAAATATACGTCAAACCTACTTAGCTTTAATAATTTCATATATTTATAGCAAACATGCATGTGTAGTGTTAGACTCCCAAAAGTAATTTTTATAAGGACTAGGGATAGAATATTCTCAGTTATGTACAGTTTATATTACATAAAGGTTGTACTTGAGTCTTTGTTCAACCTGGACTATTACATAACTATGTAACATGTATTAATGTCAAACAACACATCATGAGTACAGGGAAACAGCCAATTAGATTGTTAGCAGTGCCAAGCAGTGTCAAAGAACTGATAATAGTCTGGCAGCAGTAACCAACCATGCATGAACAAGACGTGAAGTCATTAAAAAGTGATTTTATATGAGATTCAGCATTGCAGAGACACATATGGTGATGAAAGATGGACAGGTCATTTAGATACATGTTGGAAATAAGTGATAAGTGATAGATAAATAGATAGATAGATAGATAGATAGATAGATCGATCGATAGATAGATAGACTTGTAGATAGCTAGATAGATAGATAGATAGCTAGCTAGATAGATAGATAGATAGATCGATAGATAGATCTATAGATAGATAGATAGATCTATAGATAGATAGATAGATCAGACAGACAAAGAAAAACAGACAGTGATTAGATATCTAGTGACATGAACAATAATTACTTTTATCATGGCTAGAGACTGAAACACTGACATCATTATTGTTTTGCCTTGTGCCTTGCTTTAGGAAAGAAATAACCAGTGATCAACTTTTTTTAATATGAATTTCAGTTTTTGTCTATAGACTGCACTGTGATCCCGTAGTCTGCAGCCGGTTATTGGATTTGCTGTTACACTTTTATAAATAATGTATAATAGAGGGGCTTAAACTTTCAAGTCATACCCTACTAGCCAGACCTTAAAGGTTACTTTCCACTGATAACAGGATATAAAATGGATTTGTATTTTGGTCTTACTTGTCATGTGAAGTTCAGTTCCTTCAACATTATTACTAGTTGAAATGTGGATGTCAATTTCATTGGTCACTGCAACAAGGCCAGGTAAAGACGTTATATCCTCATCAGCAGGGCCTTCTGTTGTGGAAGCATCAGGAATTATTGCACTGTCTTCTGTGGTCTCAGCAATATTGGTAGACACAGTTGATAACTCTTTCTCAACTGCTAAAACAGTCTGGGAGTATATATCTTCTGGTTCTTGCACTGTGTAAGTAATAGGTGGATTGGTACTTGATCCGACATCCGAAGTGGAATAAATCAACAGTAATGGATTATCCGTAGTTTCATCCTGTCTGACTTCCTCGGTACTTTGTTCCTCTGTGACTGCTGCATGTTCAGGTTTTTCACTCTTGGCAACAACATAAGAAGAAGCTGAGGTAGAAGTAGGTGATAAATCTTTTTTAAGGTCATCTAAGTCATTCACATTTTCATCTTCTTCTGTGTTTATTAAAGTTCCCTCTGAAATGTCAACATCTTTTACAGTATGATCTAAGGGAGATTCTGAGGTATCAATATGATCTATGCCCGGTGGCTTGTAGGTGACTGTGTCATCTGCACTAACTTCTTGTTCTGAGACAACATGATCGGTTTTTGATCCAGCAGAAGGCAAAGTGCTTGGCATAAGTACTCCAGTTAAATCAGATACACCATTAACAAGTATAACAGTCACAGGAGACGTTGGTTCTGGCTCTTGGGTTACGAATGTGGTAGACTCCTCATCAACTATGTCAATACTAGCAGTTGGATCAATTGGTTCAAATGTATCAGAGAATGCAAGTTTACTTGAAATTTCTGTTGTAACAGTAAAATGTTTAATTTCACTATCAGTTTCTTGTTGTTTCTGGCTAGTTACATCGCTAATGACATCAGTTTCTCTGGATATATCTTCTGTGTCAATTGGCAGTGCAGTTGATATCATACTGCTATATTTGGGAGTAGCTGAAGAAGATATCAACAGCCCATCTACTTCAAGATCCTGTAGTTGGGGCCTTGTGGTAAATGGTATAGTGTCTACTTGGAGTGTAAATGGGAGATCCTGAGATTTCCCAGTTGGAGAGGCACTGGACAAGTGGAGAGTTTTTATGGAGTCATATTCTGTACTTTCTGTAATTACTACATCAGTGATTACTTCACTTGGTATACTGGTTGCTCTTAAAACAGATTCCTTTTCTGGTAGCACAGTATCAAAAGTGCTGGAAATTATTTCTGTACCAGACCCCTCTTCTGAACCTTGGAATATTTCAGTGAATACTGTTGAAAATTCCTCTTTAATCAAGCTAGTGGTTACAAGAGGTATGTCAGGTCTGGAACTGGAAGTTCCCTTCGTTGTTATCTTTGATGACTCCTGTGTAGTAACCATATCACTTGCAACTGACACTGTTTGGGTTTCTATTATAGAAATTATATCTTCTGTATCATCTGATGGTGCAGTAGACTCACCAAGTGACTCTTCTTCAGAAGGATGACCGGAAAATATCTCATCGGTAAGATCTTTTCCATCAGGTTCTGCCGTGAATGTGGTTGTAATATAACTATATACCTTTTCAGTATCTGGTATTTTATGTGTTTCTTCTGTACTAGGAACCAGTGCAGTGATTTCTTTTTCTTTACCACTTGATGTAAAGGGTAATGTTTTAATTATCAAAGGTTCGCTGGAACTTAGTTCAGTTTGCTGTGTGGTGGATATATCCAATGGTGTTACCTTAACAGTTGAAGATACATCTCCAGATCCTTCTTCAGAAATGGATGTATTTACTGTGAATATAATTTGCTCTATATACTGGGGTGTAACAGTTCTCAACTTTAATTCTTCACTTGTATCTTGATCTGCAGTTGATGTTTTAAGCTCATCTCTAATTGTTGTGCCTGGTTTGTAATCCAAAATAAATTCTGTTGCTAAAGATGAAGCACTAATGGCTTCACTTATGGTTTCTTTTGGTTCAGTCTCAATCCATGCACTACTGACAGTGCTTTCTTCCATAACCTCCAACTGAGGTGTTTTACCTGTGCCTATTAAATATTCATTTTCATCTTCAAAGCTTATGGTAGTAGTGGGAACCACTTTTTTTCTTGAAAATTCTTCTGTGTGAGATGTTACTTCTTGTCTTATTTCAGGTGCAATTGTGTGGAATCTTATCTTAGGTTCTAGGGTTGATGACTTTTGTGTGATGCTTTCTAAGCTAGTAGCAGTTTCCGGTTTTTCTGCAGTTTGAGGGGATGTGCTAATTTGTTCATGTTGTTCTTCAATTTTCACATCGATTGTTGGAACAGGAATCTTTATAGATGAACTGGTAGAAATTGTATCTTCATCTCCAGAACCTTCTTCTGGAGCTATAAAATCAGTGCTACTTAGTTTCTTTGATTGGGCTTCTGTAATTCCTTCTGTGCTGCTTGGCTGCCCTTTAATAATATCAGTAGAATCTTCTATAGCAATTGGAGATTCTGTTGTAAGGAATGTTTTGGTTTGCTCTTCTGACTTTGTAACAATGCTTGATGCAAGTGTTGTTACAAATAAATCAGTGAGCAAGTCTTCTCCTGAGCCTTCTGTAGGTACCAGTTCATCGACAGTAAGTTTTTGTGGTTGAGTTTCCATGATGAACTCTGTAGGTCTAATAGACTGTGCTGTAACTTCTTCTGTTCCTTTTACTTCAGGCTTTGTTGTTTCAGATGTTTCTTGTTCCACCCTCTCTGATTGTGGGGTACTTGGTAAAAGTGTGCTTGTATAGAAACTTTCTTTGACTTTAGTTTCACCACTTGACACAGTTGTTGAGACCAAAGTTTCTACCATCACGTCATCATCACCTCCTGAACTTTCAGTAGGTGATAGTTTAGTGGCAGTGACTGCTGAAGAAATAATGTTTGTGAAGGGTTCTGTAGAAGTTATAGACTGCAATGTAACGTCATCTATTATTTTCAGATCAGTTTGTGTTGTTTCTAATATTTCTACTTCTGTACCCTCTGTTTGATCTGTGATTGGTGGAATTGTGCTTATATACAAGCTTTCTCTGGATTTTGTTTCAATAGTTGAATGAGGCTTTGAAACAACAATTGATGTAACTTCATAATCTTCAGTTCCTGAGCCTTCAATAGGATGCAGCTCAGTAATAGTTATTTTCTCTGTTTGTGTTACTATAATAGGTTTTGTAGGACTGCTAGACTCAATTGTGATCTCATCTGCTTTGAGTTCAGCTTGTGTTATTTCTGATTTTTGTTCTTCCACACTTTTAGTTTGTTCTGTAACTGCTAGAATTGTGCTTGTATGCAGACTTATCTCTGATTTTGTTTCAACACTTAGACTAGGTGTTGTAAAAAAAAATGTTTCAACTAAGTCCTCTACTACTCCTGATCCTTCAACAGATGGCAGTTCAGTAATAATGAGTTTCTGTGGTTGCGTTTTTGTAAGAGGTTCTGTAGTACTAATAGACTGCATTGTGATCTCATCTGGTGCTTTTACTTTAGATTTTTCATCTTCCACTCCTTCTGTTTTGTCTGTGAAGGGTAGAGTTGTGCTTCCATAAAGACTTTCTTCAGTTTTTTCATCAACACTTGGCTGAGATGTTGTAGGCAAAAATGTTTTAACCAAGTCACCTTCATCCCCCGAGGCTTCAATAGGTTCAGTAATGGTGATTGTCTGTGGTTGTGTTTCTGTAGACTGTATTGGGATTACATCTGTTGTTTTTAGCTCAGCTTGTGTTATTTCTGATGTTTCTTCTTCCACCTTTTCCATTTGCTCTGTGATTGGCAGAATTGTGCTTATATAGAGTCTTTCGTCTGATTTTGTTTCAACACTTGGCTGAGGTGATGTCACCGAAATAAACAAGCTGTCTTCACTCCCTGAGCCTTCTGTAGGTTGCAGTTCAGTAATAATGAGTTTCTTTGGTGGTTCTGTAATGGGTTCTGTAGGACTGATAGGTTTTAATGTAATTTCATCTGATGCCTTTAGTTCAAATGTTTCAGCTTTTGTGCCCTCAGTTTGCTCTGTGATTGGTAGAATTGTGCTTATATATGTAATATCTTTTGATATGGTTTCAACACTTGGATGAGATGTGGTAACCAAAACTTTTTGAAACATGTCCTCTTCAGTTCCTGAGCCTTCGATCGGTTGCAATTCAGTAATGGTGATTTTGTGAGGTGGAGTTTCTGTAAGAGATTCTTTAGAACTGGTAGGTTTTATTGTGATTTCATCTGTTGCTTTTAGCTCAAATGTTTCAAGTTCTGTGCCCTCTGTTTGCTCTGTGATTGGTTGAGTAGTACTTATATACAGACTTTCAATACTTGGATGAGATGTTGTAACCAAAACTTTTTCAAATATGTCCTCTTCAGTTCCTGAGCCTTCGATCGGTTGCAATTCAGTAATAGTGATTTTGTGAGGTGGAGTTTCTGTAAGAGATTCTTTAGAACTGGTAGGTTTTATTGTGATTTCATCTGTTGCTTTTAGCTCAAATGTTTCAAGTTCTGTGCCCTCTGTTTGCTCTGTGATTGGTTGAGTAGTACTTATATACAGACTTTCAATACTTGGATGAGATGTTGTAACCAAAACTTTTTCAAATATGTCCTCTTCAGTTCCTGAGCCTTCAATTGGTTGCAGTTCAGTAAAAGGGATTTTTTGAGATGGAGTTGCTGTAAGAGATCCTGTAGAAGTTATAGATTTTATTGTGATTTCCTCTGTTGCTTTTACCTCAACTGTTTCTGTGCCCTCTGTTTGCTCTGCGATTGGTTGCATAGTACTTGTATACAGACTTTCTTCTGATTTTGATTCAATACTTAGATGAGTTGTTGTGGACAAAAACTCAACCATGTCATCTCCTGATCCTTCAGAAAGTGGCAGTTCAGTAATAGTCAGCTTTTGTGGTTGGGTTTCTGTAACAGATTCTGTAGGACTGAAAGACTGGATTGTGTTCAGTTCTGTTACTTTATGTTCAGTATGTGTTATTTCTGATTTTAATTCTTCTACACTCTGTGCTTGTTCTGTGATTGGATGAATTGTGCTAGCAAGCAGACTTTTTTCTGTTTGTGATTCATCACTTGGATGAGGCGTTGAAACCAAAAATCCAATTGAGTCATCTCCCGATCCTTCAGTAGGTTGCAGTTCAGTTATAGTCAGTTGCTTTGGTTCTGTTTCTGTAACAGGTTCTTCAGGACTGACAGATGGCATTGTGATCTCAACTGTTGCTTTTAACTCAGATGTGACTTCTTCCACACTCTCTCTTTGCTCTGAGATTGGTAGAATTGTGCTTGTAAGTAATTGTTTTTCTGTTTTTGATTCAACACTTGGACTAGGTGTTGTAATAATTTTTTTTTCAAGTAAGTCATCTTCAGTCCCTGATCCTTCTGAAGATTGTAGTTCTGTAGCAGTGAGTGTCTGTGAATCTGTTTCTGTACTTGGTTCTACATGAGAACCCTCTGTTTGCACTATTATTGGTAGAATTGTGCTTGTATAAATTATTTCTTCTGATTTTGTTTCAACACTTGGCTGAGGCGTGGTAGCTAAAAATGATGTAAACAAATCACCTTCATTTCCTGAACTTTTACTTGGTTCCAGTTCGGTAATAGTGAGTTTTTGTGATGCGGTTTCTGTAATAGATTGTGTGGGACTGATAGATTGTATTGTGATCTCATCTGTTGCTTTTATTTCAGATATTTCTTTTTCACTCTCTGTTTGTTCTTTGAATGGTAGAATTGTGCTTATATAAAGATTTTTGTCTGATTTGGTTTCATCACTTGGTCGATGTGTTCTAGCGAACAATTTGTCAACTAAGTGCTGTTCTTCTCCTGAGCCTTCATCAGTAGGTTGCACTTCAGTAATAGTGAGCTGCTTTGGTTGTGTTTCTGTAGTAGATTCTGTAGCACTGTATTGTGTTGTGATTGCAACAAGATCACCAGATCCCTCTTCTATTAAAGATGAAAAAGTGCTCATTGTTTCAGAGTGTTTATATGAAGTATGATCTTTTAATATGCTCGGTACTGTAAAGGTTTTTACTGAAGAGATAGGTAGTGAAGATGATTTTTCTTCATCAGTTGTGAGTTCCACTGTTGAAGAAATGTGGGCTGAATGGACAATTTCAGTTTTTTCTGTAGATGATTCAGAACTAATGACTGGGCTTACCGTTATAGTTTCTCCAGTTAGCTCACCATCACCAGATCCAGTTGCAATGTATGCATCAACTTTCTCTGTTGTTGTATATTTAAAAGAAGTAGCAACTGCTGGTTCCTGTGAGGTAGGAAAAATATCTGATTTAATCTCTGCAGTATGTGCATCAAATTTATCAATAATTGTTATTTTTTCTTCATCCTTTGGTCTCTCTGATGTGAAAGAAGTGTGTGGTTCTTTGGTGGCATCAGCTTTCAAATCTGTGGTAAGATCCAGCTGAGCTTGTGATGTAGGGCTTGAAATTTCAGAATCTCCAGAACTCTCTTGAGTGAAAAATTCGCCTATAGTAATCTCATCAGCTGTTTGAGGTTGTGGTAAATATTCTGTTGCATTTTTTATAAATTCTGTGTGAACAAGGGGTGCTTCCACAGTAGAAACAGGAAGTGGGCTGATCTCCTTCAACTGTGAGGGTTCTGATGCTGTTTGCAGAACACTGCCCTGTGTTGTTATATCCTTACTTTCTGTAAATGTTTGCTTTGTGGTTTCAAAACTAATAATTTTTACAGTTTCTGGCTGCCCAGATATTTCGGAAATCAAAAATGTACTCAGAGTTGAAACGCTTATGAGTGTATCATGTTCTCCAAGTGGCGTTTCGCTTCCTTCATCTGTGTCATTTGCAAGTGTTAGGCGACGTGGTGGTGTTGTCAAATCACCATAGGTTTCACTGGCTGGCTTAGGGCTTTCTGTAAAGCTGGTTACAAACGCTGGCACAACACTTGTTAGTTTATCATCAGAGTCATCATCTCCTGAAGATTCAATGGTAAATAAAGGAATAGTTTCTCTAGGCTGAGCTTCACTTGGCTTTTCTGATGTAGATATGACATCTCTAGGAGTTGGTGATATAGTAGATTTTTTTTCATCACCAACGATTTCTAAATCACCACTATATTCTGGATCTTGTTTTTTAATGTCACTTAAGGGCTCTTCTGTTCCTAATGGTGGTTGTGTATCATTAGACTGAAGTGAATGGACCTCAACTGGTGCTTCTGTTTGTGATGTGCCTTGCTCTGTTACTTCACTTATTTGAGTGACTGATGCATTTTCTGAAGGTGTAACACTCTCGATTTGGTCCCTCCTAGCTTCCTCGGCCTTGGGATCTTTAGGTTCATTAGTAATCTCTTGCTTTCCATTAATGAATTGTACTGATGGGGATGTTGGTACAACCGTAGAATTGTCACAGTCAGTGGTCTCCTCAGATGATGAACCAAATGGCAAACCAATTTCATTAATGAGAATATGCACTTGGTCTGCTAAAAAAACAAATAGGCATTTGATATTTTTAGTATGCAAACAGGTTAATGTTGAACAAATAAGTCAATATGAATGACAATAATTAATGTAAATGATAATGAATGATATATACAATGGATTGAACATCAAGAATAAGCAAGCATTGTAGTTAATGTAGCTATTAAAATACTGTGAATAAACACAATGGATAAAAACAATGTAAGCCAATAGACAATATTATAAAACAAAATATGTTTTTTTTTTTATATGGCTCTCCTGTATATATTATTGTTATAGGCATTCACATAAAAATAGTACATTTATTTTTACTTTAAAGTTATTGTACAACGTTTACTATGAAAGTAAAGAAAAAAAAGGGAATTGTGGCACACCTGGAACATTCATTTCTCAGCAACAGTGCTGCCATAGAGACCAACATTTATGCAATATACAGATTAAGGAACAACGAACTCATAAAAAAATATTTTTACAAAGCTACTTAAAATCACCTTTTTCAACAAAGAAATATGGGGATTCGGTTCCACCATATTGACATATTGTGTTAGTGGTGGGCTTAACACAATAGCTCCATATGGTGGAACTGAATCCCCATATTTTGTGTGTGATTTTACAAAGCCTTGTAAAATTTTTACATTTTTTATGTGTGTGTTGTTCCTTAATCTGTATAGTGCGCAAGTTTATTTTGAAGGCAATAGAATGTCATAACTTTATATCAACCTGTTTTATGAAGAAGTACCACCATGTCAACTGTCAAACTTACAATGTATTTGTACTCCACTCAGGAAAACATGTAAAGCACTCTTCATTACATACAAAGCAGGTGCTTAAAGGAACATTTAAAGCATCATAAGGATGTGGTTATGATGGCTGGAGCGTCCTATCATTGTTCTTTGGTAACTATTTACTTACCATTTAATTGTGAGCTTGGGTCCCCTGCCATTCTTGGTGCCTCTGACGAATGCTGACTAATGTCTTCTTGTTAACCCAAGTATCATTGGGGCAGTGACAGATTGAGAGTGTCACGTGAATGCTCTGTACAAGTAATACCAGTCAGTGATAGCCTGAGAGCACTCCTGTAACACTTACAGACTATCACTGCTCCCCATCTCTGCTTAGGTTAACAAGAAAATTTTAGCTAGAGTAGAAATGGGGGGATGTGCAACTGGTGGTTTGAGACCCTAGATCACAGTTATACTGTAAGAAAATAATTTAACAGTGACCCAATGGACAGCACCAGAACACTTCACCAATCATAACCAATTAAAAGAGAGAAAATCATTATAATGTCTGAAATGTTCTTTTAAGAGATGAAATAAACACTTTGGGATTTATTCATAGAACTGTGACTTCAGGCAGCTAAAGAACTGACTTGCAAAAGATCAAAAATAGACATGCTGAAAAAAACAAATATCTGTTTCAATAGAACCGGACAGTTACTTTGTTTTCATCTACTTTTGTCTCAATAAATCACTTTGTTTTTCATGTTGGCATCTCAAATCATTGTATCATAAATAGACCCATAAATAATTTTACCTTCAGTAATACTAATATATTCTTTTAGCTGGTTACAGTCCAGGCAAAACCCATATATTAAGAGCAATAGAAAAAAATAGCTGTTCATAAATAAAGTGGCATCTTAAGTGCAGATATATATTTTTAAAATATTGAACGTTCTCGCATGAAAAATATTGAAATGTGCAGTAAAGTGATGTTGTCTTGTAAACCCTCGTACCATTATTTTCACCTTCACACATGCTACACATACATGACAGGGGTTGTCCCCTTTCCCCTCTATTGTATGTACTAGCACTGAAACCACTTATTGAGTAGACAATAAGATTAAACACAAACATACACCGACACATGAGAATACAAAATAAATCTGTTTGCAGATGATGTCCTCCTAACCCTTACACAACCTTTAATATCCCTACCCTACCTTAAAACTAAACTGGAAGAATATTGCAATCATTCATATTATAAACTAAATGTCTCCAAGACACAAGCAATGGGCATGGGATTAGAAGAATCTGTATTGACCTTACTAAAATCCTCCTAAAAATTCAATTGGAGAACAGACTTTCTGACCTTTTCATCATCCGTTTAATCAAAAATTACTTATAGAGATGATTCTGGCCGGGTGAGACAACAAGTTCCAATCGTGGGTCAGATGAATTGCAGCCAATAAGATGTTATTACTGGAACTGCAGTACCTGTTTAGAACACTCTACATACCACGTCCGGCAAAATTCCTAAAACATGTGAAGTCCCTATTTTTCATATTAGTATGGCATAAAAGGAAACCATGTGTAGCTATACATATCTTGTCTAGACCTGCAAAAGGGGGGGGGGGGTGGAGACGGGCTGGGATTTCCATAAGGCAAATCTTATTATAATGCAGCCATTTGAACATGCATTGTCACCACACCTTGCAGATCACTCCCCAGAAGAGGTACAGATTGAATCATATTGGGCAAAATGCCACCATATCTAGCACCTATTCTGGATCTCAGACTCTGACAGATTTATTCCAGACACAATACTTACTACGATTAAACTAAAGTGTACTTCAAAGGCAGGCTGTATGGGTTCACGCCATGGTCAGTGGCAAAACCTTTAAAAAAAAAACACATTTTGTCTATAGGCTTTGGTCACAGTGAGAGTGATTCATATTTATCAACTATTCCAAAAAGATATTATAAAAACATTCCCTGAATTACAGCTCACATTCAGTCTAAATTCGGGCACACAGTTCTCCTATCTTCAAGTGAAATCACTGGTGAAGACACAAGAGGTCTCTGGAGCAATACAGAGAGACGACACTGTACTAGTTGGGAAAAGTTTTGCAAGCAGGTAACTCCATCAACAAAGCTTATCAGTGTGTTCTTCTACAGTGTGCTTTTCTACAACAAATGATCCCAGAAACCAGCTGGAGATTTGTCCCTGCCTGGCATGCAGATCCGGGACACACTTTAGATTCAAATCAATTGATAAGAGTGTAAAACATACATAAGGAACTTACAACATGTGACACATATAAAAAATCATCTATAGGTGGTACCTAGTTCCAGAGAGACTAGCACGCATCCACCCAACGTCCAGCAAGTGCTGGCAATGCAACACGGAAGTGGGGATCATGCTCCATGTTTGGTTGACATACCCAGAGATTTTAGTCTACTGTTTCTCTAGCAAAAGATTTTCCCTTACAATCAACCATTAACATTCTTTACTTTTCATTTTGCTTGAGAACGTGCCCAAAGTAATATTAAAACTAATGTTCTTCTAGTGTTTACAATTTTACCAGTTGCCAAAAAATGCAATATCTCAAACACCCATGAATTGTATGCTCAGATATCCCTAAATTTAAAATATGATATTTAGCCTTACCACAGCTCCAGTTGGGGCAGGTAACTCGGGAGGTCTATAATCGATGGGAATAGTTTCTCAGAAAAGAGTTGGGGCAGCATGCAAAATGAAACAAGCGTATACAGAAATTATTCTTGAGGCGTGCCACTGCGGTGCTTACTGTAGCCCATTTGTGGCTCACTATTAAGGAATAATAGCTGAGAGATCATTGAAAATGTGTAGGCTATACCTATAAGATCCACCTGAGACAAAGTATAAGAAGAAAATAGCTGTGATTTGAATAAGCACTCCCCTTGATTACCCATTTTAAGTTTAAGTTACCCATTTTGGTCAAATGTTCTGTTTTCTTTTATTCTATTACATGTTATTTATTTGTTTGTACACCAGACGATGTATATTTGAAAAAATAGTGAGAGAACCAGTTCCATATGTGTATGCATGTTAAACAGAAAATGTATTGTATGCTTGAATTCTGCAGAGCATCTTCTCTCTTTGTACTGTAAATGGTTGGTTATGCGGAATTAAAAACTGAATAAAAATCACAAATGAAAAAAAGAGAAACATGGTACACACGTCAATTTCGAGAAAAGATTTTGCTTTGTCATACAAGCCTCATTTTACTGTATTTTTATTTTTTTTTGCAGTTCTTATTTCTCTCTCCAGAGCACTTTTGAAAATATAGCAATTAGTCATAGGTTGGGTTACAGATACAGTGATATGTAATTAGATGTAAGTAGATCATGCCTTTGGGCTTTAATCTTCCATTTGTAGCAAGTTTATACAAAGGTCTATGAAATAAAGTTGGTTAACTTCATGATCTGTTTTTAACATGAAACATAAAGAAGGCTTTATATTTTCTTTTATTTTAAATCAGGACATTTCTTCATGTTTAAAAGACCACTATAGTGCCAGGTAAACATACTCGTTTTCCTGGCACTATAGTGCCCTGAGAGTGCCCCCACCCTCAGGGTCCCACTCCCGCCGGGCTGGATGGCAAGGAAAGGGGTTAAACGTACCTTTTTCCATCGCCGGGCGGGGAGCTGCTCTCCTCCTCTCTGCCTCCGATCCTCCTCTTCGGCTGAATGCGCTTGCGCGGCAGGAGCTGTGCGCACATTCAGCCAGTCTCATAGGAAAGCATTCATAATGCACGCAAACGCCTCTAGCGGCTGTCAATGAGACAGCCACTAGAGGCTTTAGAGGCTGGATTAACCCATTTATAAACATAGCAGTTTCTCTGAAACTGCTATGTTTATGAAAAAAAGGGTTAATCCTAGAGGGACCTGGCACGCAGACCACTTCATTAAGCTGAAGTGGTCTTGGTGCCTAGAGTGGTCCTTTAATTGTCTGGTAGCCACTCACAGTAGCCAAAGCTTGAGAATGTCACAAGAATTAGCAAGTTAAGAACTACAAATCTTCAGTGTCACTCACTCCGTACCACTAATCAATTTGAGATTGTGCCCTTTACCATTCATTTTGAGCTGCTTTTACTCTGCAAACAGACAACTATAAAAGCAAAATTAAAATAATAATAATTTTAAAAAATTATAATTTTCCTTCCCTAATGATCCTCCATTGCTTCTCCCTTGTGCAGAAACAGATTGCTTCTGCAATGCTCAATGCTTTTTTAGCTTACCTTGTTTTGCTTGTTTAAGTTAGAAGTTTGTATCTCTTGCTCTGCTAATTGCCTTTTAGAGCCTTAAGGAGCTTCCTGTGTGAGTAAAGTTCAAGTACCTAAGCACAAGATAACAACTTCTAAAGAAAACACAGTGTGCTATAACATGCTATAATATAATATTGCAGTACACCGATAGGAGCATTTTCCTGGCATTTGGTTACCAAACCTCTGACGAAACCAAACTGGCATTCGGCTGAAATGAGAAAAAGTAACCAATAAAGGGGAAAACTGGAGGAGAATTTAAAAAAAAGGACAAACATATATATAATTAAGACCATATGTGTATCAGTGCGTAGCCCCTCCCTAAACAACAGGGAGAGCGCACCTATACAGTAGAGTCTTAAATACCGCCAAGAGACTCCAGGTGTCTCCACGGGGCTTAACCCCAAATAGAAAATACCACAAAAGAATAGAACAAATGCAGGCAGGCTTAGGATATCTAACGAATCCCAATCTGACTACATTACCTGGAAATATTACATAGAAGTATAGCGTGAAGTTATATTAACTAGGGATAATCTCCAATGTCAGATAAGAAATAGAGTAGATATAACATTAATACTAATATTCCTATGCTCACTAAGGGGAATGCACCAAATGCCACAGCTAGGATCTGGCAGTATGTATTAATAAAGAACCTTAACACCTATATGACAGCTTTAATAGAGTACATATGCTAAATAGGAAAAAGTATTCATATATCTATCTAATTGCCAGTGACTAGCTTCCTGAGTGCAGAATCCCACAAATTCCTTGTGTCCATATATATATTGTATAGGACCATGGAGTAAATGTCTGCTGATAATATATACTAATGCAAAATTAGTTTGTATTGAGTCTAGCCATATGTAGAAAAAATGTTCCAAACAGCAGACCTTACCAATATATAGGAAAAAGTCTAGAATAGTCAACACTAGAGAGAGACTTAGATGTAAAAATAGAGAAAAGTTTGTAGAAACTAATGGTCAGTCAAAATCAAACTGCCATATATATTAAAGTTATTAAAGCCTCTCTCCCTGGTAAACTAGCTCTTGTCTCCCACTCACACCTGCATCCTCTCAGAAGAATACACAAGCCCTCTGCCATTTTAAAAGGATTTTACAAAACAAATGGTGGTGTGTTTTTTTAGTTTTATAGTTGCTGAATACATTTCAGCCAACATTTTAAATTGCCACAAACATGCATCATTCTATACAACTGGAGGTGTGACTAGAGGTGCGGCTCTTCCGTTACATTTTTGGTGACTTTAAGATTTACTACTTTTTATTATACTGAAAATGTAATTCAAGACAAAAGTATCTTACTGACATGTTTTATAATAGTTTAACCAGATGGATTACGTTAAGTTTTATTGCTGCAAAGCACCGTTATACACTGTAGTGTACATCACAAGCACTAATATAGATAATAATCAAGCCCCTTAAAGTGCCACCGTAAGCACCATGACAGCTTCAGCTTAATGAAGTGGTTTTAGTGTATAAACCAGGCCCCTACAGTCTCACTGCTAAATTCTCTGCCATTTAGGCAGTGAACCACTTTGCCTATGCAATGGTAGCCATACCTTCCCTAGCTGTGACTCACACAGTCTCCCTATGGTAGTGGTACCCTAACCAGTCCTCATGGTTCAGCAACAGTCCAGGATTGATGTATTTATTTCCATTTTCTATTCCAATAAATATACTGAAAAAAAACCTGGACTGTTGCTTGGTCACGAGAACTGATTTTGGGAACTACAACTCCCATGATGCTTTGCATGCCTTCGCAGTTACAAAGATAAACTAAATTAATACTTCTGTGTAATATGTACTTCAATCATTTTTTGGCGATATCTGTAATATTACTGTTATTCCACAAGCAATCATGTGCATATTATCTTCTATGGGGCTTTCAGTTAAATTTAAAGAAAGTATGTCATTAGTAACTATGCCCTCGAACTGTGAGGACTAGCAGCAAATTGTTTATGTCTTGCTGTAAATGTTGGTGTTTTAGCAAAGCACAAAGAAAACCCCAATTTAAAAACTGTCATATTATAGCTATCTTATTTCAAAGCAAATCTCCCATCTGTATTTCCTTGCTTCAGGCAAACGATGCGCTAATTGCTTATAGGATGCTTTCCTTAAAATCACCTGGGCATGACCAATAAGTGAAGCATTTGAAGCTTTACTGAAACAACAGCTACTGTGGGAAAATTAAGATCAAGTCGAAGAATTTATGAGTGTATTACTAACTTAAAGACGATAATGTCAAAATACGGCGAATCTTTTTTTATTATTTTGATATGTACTGTTACAAAGCAGTTTATTTAACTCTTTAACAGAAAAAGTTTCACTGAATTTTAATATGTAACATTTACGTAAAGGAACACTACTCCAAACACCATAACCACTACAGCTCACTGTAGTGGTTAGAGTACGAGGAGTGCCACGACGCCACCCCCAATATTTGCAAGCTGTTAAGAGGCAGGGAGCAGCATCCTGCAAGAAGTGAAACTGTTAAAAATGGTTTGATTCCTTACAATGTGAGGGAAGAGCACTATGTCAGTCGTAATACCATAACCAACACAGCAAGCTGTAGTGGTTATGGTGCCTGGCATGTTTTTTTGTTTAAAATTTTTTAAAAAATCATGTTTTGGCCTGTAGAAAGTACATCAGGAATGTAAATACAATAGAAGTATATAATTAATATATATATTTCTGTCAGTGGCCTATCTCTGCTTTGAGTAAGAGTAATCTGTATCTGTAAAGGTGTATACCGTGTGATTTTAAACTTTTTAAATGCCATCCTTCTGCTACAACATTTTTTACTGATTAATTAAAATATGTTTCTATCGGGAGAATAAGTTACATAGTTACATAGCTGAAAAGAGACTTGCGTCCATTAAGTTCATACTTCCTCACATTTGTTTTTTGCTGTTAATCCAAAAGGCAAAAAACCCAGTTTGAAGCACTTCCAATTTTGCAACAAGCTAGGAAAAAAATTCCTTCTTGACCCCAAAATGGTAGTCAGATTTATCCTTGGATCAAGCAGTTATTACCCTACATTGAAAGATTATATCCTTGAATATTCTGTTTTAGCATTATGCATTTAGTAGCTGTTTGAACATCTGTATGGACTCTGATAAAACCACTTCTTCAGGCAGAGAATTCCACATCCTTACTGTTATTCTCTAAAAACATAGTGCTAAGATTAAAGAAACACTATAGGCACCCAGATCACTTTATTACATTGAAGTGGTCTGTGAACACGGTCCTCTTAACCCAGAAGCTTTTAGAGAAACTGCAATGTTTATCTTGCAGGGTTAGAACTGCCTCTGGTGGCACTACCAAACAGCCACTAGAGGCGCTTCCTGACGTTTTCACAGAGTTTGACTCCATGAAACAACGCTGGACGTCTCACGCTTTGCATGAGGACATCCAGAGTCACATAATACCCCAAAAGAAAGCATTGAGTCGATGCCTAATGCACGCGCAGTGCTCGCCACAAATGCGCATTAGGTTCCCCTACCAGCTCACGTCAGCGGAGGAGGAGCCCGACATCGGCACAGGAATCAGGAAAATGTAAACATTTTTTAACCCTTTCATGGACATGGGGGAACCAGTGAGGTCCAGGGGAGGGGCTGCAGGAGCAGAGGGACACTATAATGTTAGGAATACATCTTTGTAATCAGAAAACCAATGTCTTTCTTTAAGAATCATCTGAAATAAATGCATTTTCCTTTTGAGCATGTTTTTTTAGCAATCTCCCTACAATTTAGTACTTTTTTACACACAAAAAAAATATTAACAAATCATGTACTAGCCTTCATATCATTAATACCTGCAATCTGTCACAGGATGAAAGCATCTGTTTTACTCTAAGTTAGAGAATTGTAGCAAGAGGTTTTTTTTAATTGCATTTCCACATGGGATCATGTCAATTATGTAACATTAATTTTAAGGACTAGATGCTTCTGTATTAGGAGAATTTAAGAACCAGGACTTCAGCTGACTGCAAGACCTATTAACCTTTGCAAGCCAAGTATCCAGAAGGTAGCTCGCACATGTGTATAGCAAGTGTGGTTGTTTAGAAATATCTGTCTGCCATCCCTGTGGATCTCTGTTAGCGGTTTATTGGACTGGTCCACTTGTGTTGTTATTTACTGTTTGTGACAAAGGGCACCATGTTTCTAAGTTATTGTGTAAATCTACCCACTTACCTGACTGTAATTTACCGCACTACCCTGGTACTTCTGGCATTGAGATTAGAATGAGAATGTCATATAAATGCACTGACTGACACGGATTTGTCATAAACACCCTTTTCTTAGTGGAGTGCCTCAAATGGATAGCAGAGGAAGTTTTGCTGAAACAGAAAACTCTAAAGTAATAGTCATTTCTGTGCGCGCTGAATATACAATGAACTAAAGAATACTTCAAGTGTGTAATTTTTTTGTTTAACGCTGTGGTGTTCCCTTGACAACAAACAAAAGACAGAAGAGAATGCTGGACATGTTTCCATAGAACTGTATGTAATATGATGAAAACACATCCCTGTAACTAAGGAAGCCCACAAAAGATGTTAGAAGGTGGGGAACCATTTAAATAAAACCCTTAAATTGTGTGAATGGATATGGCCAGTCTTGTAACAGAGGATTCAGCTAGTCAGACTCTCACATTCCTACAACACAGAGAATAGAATTTAGCCCATTCAGTCCATTATAAAGATGTTTTTTTTGTGAATTGCAAATCTTTAAGAGTCTACCATTGAACGGCAGTTCTTAGAAAGTTCATAAAATCTATTGCGGACAGGTTTCCATATACTTTTCGTAGACACTACAAGTATCTCTATAAAATTATTTGTAAGTCTTGTAAAATGTCCTCTTTCATTATAAAAGGCCAAAGGTTGACACATATGCTGGCTTTTTGGCCCCTAGCAACCCAAATAATCTGTTTTAACACATGCATGAATGTCCATGAAATGTTACTTTATGCCTATCTAAAATGATAATGGGCAGTAGTGAGTGGTGTGCGGAGTGCGTGGGGACCCAGTGGCAGTTGAAATGACTCCAATAGTCTAAATGTTACATATGTTCAGCTCATATGTACAGTACATTAGCTAACGTCTGGTCATGGGAGCAAAAGGTAAAAAGGGCTAGATTAATTCAGTGGGTCACTAGAGAGACTAGATTGATTAAGTGGGTCACTAGAGAGGAAACCCAGATCAGGATTCCAAACTGTGATTCGCATGTGAATTGATATTCCCGTATGACTAAAATAGTTACAGTAATATTTAATAAATGTTTCCATATGTCAATGTACTAAAGTACAGAATAGGCACTTATGATATTAAAGGATGGTCTAGTTAACTCACATATATAGATGCACAAGGGCTAATATTTGCATATATTCAGGCCGGAATAGACTAGTTTAGAGAAAGTAAGCTATACACAGTCTCTCCTAGAAGTCCAACATACAGAACTAGAATGGTAGAAAGCACTACAAAAACATTAGCAGAGGCTTCAAAGACTCTGGTTCCACCAAACTGTCAAATAATATACAAAAGAGAAATTGATCGAAAACTAGTCTTAGAAACAAATAGTAATCTTTTACCATGCTTTAACTACAGCAAGCACCACATGGCCAATGAATTTTAATCATTAGTTGTAGTCAGTAGATGACACTTACTCTATAGCTTTAGAAGTAGGTTATATTACTACACCATTTTATGAAGCGATTCAGTCTCCAAACTCTATCCTATGCCATGTAAAATTTCTTTGCATCTATTTTCTTAAATGGTAAGGAGTTTGTGCGTGTGTGTGCATGTGTGTGTGTTTTTGTTGTACTTTTTTACTTTCTATTTAAATTAACAAGGAGTTGTCTTGTTAGTTCTTCTAACTGCTATTAATCATTGCTGATAACGAGCACCAGCTTATCATTAATACGTTATATAATGCATTTTGCCGCTTTGTACGCTTTGATATTTAGCATACTGCACTACAAAAATAAAGTGGCTCGATCCTCCTTTTCCTACAGAGCACCGCAATTATGGAATAACCCCAAGGACACAGTTAAATCTTTATTAAATCTAAAATCTTTCAAGAGATCTTAAATACAGAATGCACCTGTCAAGGTTGAATATATTTATTACCTGTTATTACCTGTTATGTATTACATTTATATATGTGTGTATATGTATATATATATATTGTATATTGTATTTTTGTAACATTGTATCCTATTGTAACAATGCAATGTTTTGTGGACCCAAGACATACTTGAAAACGAGAGAAATCTCAATGTATCCTTCCTGGTAAAATATTTTATAAATAAATAAATTATCACATGAAATAAAGCTACTTTATTTTTGCTACTTTATAACATATTTATTTTTACTTATTGAAAGCTTGCTTAGAACCCTATATTAAATGTACAAGCACAGCTATTTCACACAAAGCCAGGTGCATAAACTGCTGTTGGCTAGACAGCAGACTGTGGCTATTCAGAAACCTCTTTTAACCCTACATTTGTAGCTTATAAAAATTTTACAAGCAAATAATTCCCTGCTGTAGTATTTTCAATGCTTCAATATATAGTCCAGTCTATAGACTGCAGCAACAATTGCTAACATAAACCATGTTTTTATGCCGCTGTGATTTTTATTCTCTTTTTAGAATTATTAGCAAAATTATAGTTTAAACTCTTTGCATAGCCAAGCTTGTTATACAATACTTAGGGAGTTTTGTGAAAGGCAGCAATTTTTTTTTAACTATGCCCATTTAACTATATTTTATTAATTTGCACACCTGCATTAAGCATGTTCCTGCCACTCTGGAAACGTTGTGTCATTTATTTTGCTTTGTTTATATTCTCATCTGCGTACACGGCCTCAGTCAGGGTGCTATAGCAAGACTATAAAGGTGTATGATGAAAAATAATGGACTTTTTTTGTGAGGGAAAAGTACCTTTTTATTTAATATATATCTTTTAATAGTTCAAATGACAATAAATAAATTACTTTATTTAGGGGAAATGTCATGTATCTTCTATGTTTATTACAACATTGTCTCTGACATCTGCAGAGAAATATCATACAAGCCCTTCCCTCCTTGTGAATGGCACTGTGAGGGTCAAGTTATTTGACATGGAACATTATTGGCAAATAATGTTGCCATGAGACATAGCATCATATATTCAAGCTTCAAGCAAAATCCATCAGTAAGATCTTCGTAGCTTGACAGAGCACAATGATCTGTGCATGTCTAAGATTTGCAGACTTTTTTTATCCCATGACTCACTTGTCACCAGTAGCAACCAGCATGTAGCTGAATGTCTAGAGCAATCAGTCTCATTTCACCCTGTGGCCACTTGCAAACACTTCCATAATAATCATAGTCTACAAATCTGGTCAGCCCGATATGGCACTGTCCTGGGCAATATCCCAAGGGGCAAGTCCAGGCATGGATAGCAGTGATCTCACAGGGCATCAGCCCAAACACAAAGCCACACAGATCTGGTATGCAAAAACCATGCATATACCAAAAGACAATAGCCAACTTTGACGCTATTGCCAGCCCTTTCCTGCTATGTGGTCTCTGACTAATGTCAATTACACCCATAATTCACCAATTTTAAGTATAAATTTAAAAAAGCACAGTGTATATATAATTGCAACATTTTTATTTTTTACATTACTTTGTTGATATTCTATACACTGTTTAATTGACAGATTCCAAGACAGCTAGATATCTTCCGATATAACGATTCTACATATTTCAGTGTTGGGGATACAGTAGAGAAAGATAGAACTTGGTATGGTTATTACTTTGTGAAATTCAGCTAGAAACCTCTTCCAAATATCTACAACCCATTCTGTAAACCAGTTATTTAACAACTTACCCGCAATCACACATATTCATGTTATACTCTCTACTTCTCTTTTTATATATATATATATACAGTTAATACAATGTTAAACAAAAATCTGCACACGAGTCAAACCATAAGACTTGCTTTTCCCACAGAATTCACAAATTTGCAGTGATGTTACTACCGCAAAGGATTCTGGGTGGGTATATGCAAATTAGTTCAACAAAGAATCACATTTTTGCCTCAATTCCATTTTAAACATGGATTCCTTTGAGTCTGTGTTTGCTGTATACAACAGCTTTGAAAAACAACTTAGGAAAAGATGCGAAGCCAGTTTACCATGTGTGTGTATATTTGTAGCTATGTAAATGAACTTGAACGTTCTCGAACCACTTAGAATGTTTATAGGTAAATGCCATGAATGTAACCAGCCAAGAGAGGAAGTCTTTCTACCAACAGCAAAATAATTAAAATAACATAAAAAAAGTCTAAAGAAAAATCACATCTTTATACAAGCTTACATTTTCCATGTGTCCATCCCTCATTTCTGCAAGCACCCTTAGCAATGACATGTTTTAAAACCCAAATTTTACATCAATGGAATCATCAATCACTGATAGCACAGTTTCATACTTTGGAACTTTTCAGGCCTACACAGTTTGGGTCTGATAATGGAAATCTGTCCAGTTTGTGGCTTAGCATTATTAAAGGACCACTCTAGGCACCCAGACCACTTCATCTTAATGGATTAACCCTTTTTTTTATAAAGATAGCAGTTTCAGAGAAACTTCTATGTTTATAAATGGGTTAATCGAGCCTCTAAAGCCTCTAGTGGCTGTCTCATTGACAGCCGCTAGAGGCGTTTGCGTGCTTCTCACTGTGAAAATTACAGTGAGAAGACGCCAGCGTCCATAGGAAAGCATTATGACTGCTTTCCTATGAGACTGGCTGAATGTGCGCGCAGCTCCTGGAAAAAAGGTACGTTTAACCCCTTTCCTTGCCATCCAGCCTGGCGGGAGGAGGACCCTGAGGGCACTATAGGGTCAGGATTACGAGTATGTTTTCCTGGCACTATAGTGGTCCTTTAAGGTTGTCATGAGATCACAAAGTGATGGGCAGTCTGAAAAAGTGAATCTGTGTTTGCTTATTACATATCTAGTGTCTAGCATTGTGAAAACATGGTTTTCTCAGGCATACCTTTTATATGGTTTGCCTTGGTATATGCAGGTGATGCACAATAGTATATTTCGGAGAGCACTTAAATCAGTGCAGAGTTTTTAATTACTTTTTTTTTATGTTTCATTTTCATTGGTTTTCAATAAGAGAAAAGCATAAACAGGTGATATGTTTTTAATCACTTTTGATCTCACTGCTAGGTTGATAATGCATAGCCTACTGTCACAAGTAAATCTCAAACACTGAAAAAATCTACCTGAATTTGTAGCTTAATATTAATTACCACAATTTCTTAAATCATCAAAAATACAGATTATAGAATAGAATAAATACAGATTAAACCCACCATCACCCCCCACCCCCTCAAAAAAAAATAGAAGACAGAAGAACATACCTGTTTCGTTTTCATTAAGCTCAATAACAATTAGGTTGATGGTGTCAATGTGTGATGGAATCTCTGGGCTATGTTCTCCTTCACTTACTTCAGTTGAGTCCTTTGTTAGTTCATAACTTTTACTAGCATCATCACACTCGGTGGATGATGTTGGTGGTACCTCAGATGTTCCACTAGTGAAATATTCAGAATCAATCTCTGCTTCTACAGGTTTGCTTGTCAAGTCAAGTTCAGTAGTGACTTTCACAGGAGAAATAGATTCATCAATTACAATAGTCGATTGACTTGGTTCCTCTTCACGCTCTATATCAATTAAGTCTGGTTTTCTCACAGGAGGTGATACTGTTGTGTGCTGTTTTACTATCTCTTTGGAAATGGTTATTGCATCATCAGTACTTAGTGCAACAGTTTCCCCTCTCTCAGTGGGTACATGAGTGTCAGGACTTTCAGATGAAGATAATGGAACATATTCTGTGACTGTGGGTTTCAGTTCACTTGGTAATATTTCACTTGTAGAATGCTCACTGGCTACAGTTCCTTCAGTTTTTGTTGTCTCTGTTGAGTCAAAATCTGCAGAACCCTCACTTTCTGGCTCTAATTCTGTAGAAATCTTTTCAGTTTCCAATGTTTCCCCATCTGTGATACTTTGCAGTGTGGTTAAAGTTTTTCCGGTTACTTCTTTTATGTAAACTGTATCCACATCAGTTACTGAACTTGTGGATGTTGTGAACAAAACTGGACTTTCAACATCAGAACTCGTTACATCCTCTTGACTTAAAGGAGCAATTGTTGTTTCAGACGATAGTTGCATGATTCCTTCAGTGGGTGACAAAGTGGTCTCCTGCTTGCTTTCTGTTGATACTAAACTTTCCTCATGTTTCTCTGGGGCAACAGAAGCAACTGTCTTTAGTTCCACTTCTTGGTCTAAGCCACTTCCTTCAGTAACAAGATCTGCTTCTTTATCTACTACTGTGCTAACCACAAAACTGGCTTCTGTAACTGGCATTGGCTGTGTGTCCTCTTCAGATGTTAAAATCAACTGCTTGGTATCTGTAGACAATGGTGTAGGCATGACAGTGATATCTACAATTTCCTCTAATAATTGTTCAGAATCTTCATCGGTACCAGGCGTTGGCACTGTTTCAGTTGTCTCTTCTTCTATTTCCTTTGCAGAAATGCTCCATTGCTCAGTGCTTGGTATATCAGTTGGTACGAAACGTACATCTTTCCCTTCTGAAGTCACTGTTGCATCACCATATGTCTTGTCAAAAGATACGTGTGTTGTAAAATCTTTGGGCGGTAATGTAAAAGTTTTCTCTGTTTTATCCTCAGTCAGCATTCCAGAACCCTCTGTTTTATCAGCTGGATAAATAGATTCAGTAATTGATGATTGTGTCAAAATTATTGCAGGAATGGCAGAGGTGGATGACAATACTTTCTCAATGCCATCATCTGATATTCCAGGTTGATCTGATATGGACGATGTAATTGGTTTAGTGGCTGCTGTTGACTCATCCACTTCCTGTGTTGTGTCTTCTATAACTCTTATATCTTGCTGGCCCACGGTTGACCCGACTTCACTAGCTGAAATGTCAGTCACTGCTGGACCTGAAACTGCAGCTGTGAGTAATTTTACAGTTACAGTGCTTTCATCTAAGAGTTGCTTTGATGAGGTAACAACTTCTAGACCTGCAATTTCTGTACTTTTATCCACAGCTGTGTCAGTATGATATATCATGGATGTGCTATCTTGTGAATCAAATCCAGTCACGCTGCTCGCATCCAGCAGAGTTTTAAAAACTGTGACCACTTCAATTTTTACAGATTCAGAAACTGTCTCGGGGACTTTTTGTGTCAATATTTCTTTAACAGTTACACTTTCTTCAGATGGAATGAGCACTTCTGGTTCACTAGTAAGTCCATCCATTGAAGTGATGGCAACAACATCTTTTGGACTTGTAACGTCTTGTGAAATTATAACTGTGGGGATAATTTCTGCACTTTTAGCTTCCATCGTTTCCCTTGGTGATTGAGAACTTAGCTGCAACTCCTCTTTTCTTAGAGTAATTGAACTTTGTGTTTCAAGTAATTCTTGTTCTGATGGTAGTATTTTTGCTGGGGATTCGGTTGAGACTTCTGGTGTCCTTTCACTTACTTTTTCTATCTCTTGAGAAGGCACTGCTTGGTGATCAGTAGGTATGGCAACCTCATCTGGGGTAGTTTTACTTATGAATGGGGTTTGTGATGGTGAAAGTTCCTCTATAATATCTTTTGGTAATGAAGTAATAGCAATCGACTGCTGAATTCCATCTTGCTCTGACGTTGTTACACCAGATACTGTACTTTCTTCTTGCACTAATAAGTGTGGTAACACTGCTGTAGTTTCTTCTATATCCTTTGAAACAGCTTGTGTTTCAGGCTGAGGAGTGGTGGGTAAAACAGGCTTTGGTGTAAGTTTTACAGGCAAGATTTCCAATTTCTTTATGACACTTGGAGTCGCAACTTCTGTTGGTAGTATCAGTCTAACAGACACAGATTCTGTTATATTCTTTTTATCTGTGAAATAAAAATGGGGAACAAAAATTAATTCTATTCAAGATGACATTTCTATTATATTATTTTCCAGTCAACGATTAATAAAAACAAAAATGTTTTTCATGAAAAGTAATACAAAATTAAAATTTTATTTTGTTGTTACAGTAAATTTTAAAAAGCACTGCCAAGCTATTAAGAATAGCACATTCAATGTTCAATAGTTTTCTTTATAATAAGAAATTAGGTACCAAGCATTAATTTCCTGTTCTTGTAAATTGTCTAATAGAGAGTAGCAAATAACTTTGGATGCGCACATTACATTTTATCTTCAAACTTGTTTTTTTTCCCTCTTTGCAACATGCTTTAAATTAGGTATACAATAAAAGTAATGGCATATTTCCAGGGTTACATACCATACCATTCAAACTACATTGGAAAATAAAATAAAAGTTTGACGTATACTTCACATCTAAGTATAGTTAGGAAAGTTCTCAAACTGCTTTGTTTAGTGTTGTTGAAAAGCAATGTGTAATGCTATTAATATAGTTGACATAGCTGGCGCATTAAATATGGACAGTGCAATACTAGAATGCTACTGTTAATGTAGCATATAATATATATATATAATGATTTTAAAAAATTAATTTTTAGTTAAATACATTTACCAAAAATAAATTAGATAAATTTACCAAACATGCATTCGTTCGTGGTATTTAACAATCCTTTGCTGATGGTTATGTGTTTTATCATTATACAGTATCCCTTACTTATTAAGTCTTTATAAAAGTGACAAACATTTTGTGCAGAAAGACGAATGGCACCGTTAAGGCATGCATACAGTTATAAAATATATAAAATAGCACAACATTCAGTCTTTTTTTATAATGTTGAATTTATACTGCAGAATGCAAAATAAATGTTTCTTATTATGCAACAAATAGCTCTATAACCTACATTGAAGGTGCCTTTATGGGAGCCTTTCCCACTAAAGTTAAAGTAATTAGACATGATTTTGTAAAATACAATGGGTTAAAGAATATTTGGGAAAAAAATTTCAGTAAAGATACTGGCAATATTTCATTATTCCACTTTACAGCCTGTTAGTGACTTTAAAAGGCAGGTGGTTTGTGTTAATGTTCTTCACAAAAAAAAATTAAGCCTGTTTCATTCTTGGACCAGGATTAAAGTTGATACTTGTACTTTATTTGTTTTTCATGCATATATTTATGCATTTCTAAAGAATTCAGGGCATGGTGGCAAATAATGTTTGACTAGAAAGACAGTTCTAGAGGGTACTTTGCAGCTCTCTTTGTAGATCTTTGGGCCACACGTAAAGCTCAGAAAGTTCTTCTTGACTTGTTTTATGTAAATTAAGATAAGCAATGACAACAGTGTAGTCCATGTGCAGGCTTAGACATAATGTAACTGTTGATAAGACATGGTAACAAGCTTTAGGTCTTTAAAGGACCACTATAGGGCCAGGAAAACAAAACAAACTCTGGAGAAAGGTAAGTGGCTGAAGGGGTTTTAACCCATTCAGCCCAGCAGGAGGGGGGCCCCCCCACCCTCATGGCCACCCTCCCAACCCTCATGGCCATCCTCCCGCTGGGCTGAAGGGGTTAAAACCCCTTCAGCCACTTACCTTTCTCCAGTGCTGGGCACTCTCAGTGCTAGTAACCTCTCCTCCTCCTGCCGACGTCAGCGCCAAATGCGCATTCGCGGCAAGAGCCGCACGCGCATTCAGTCCGCCCATAGGAAAGCATTTCTCAATGCTTTCCTATAGACATCCAGCATCTTCACCCTGTGATTTTCACAGTGAGAATTGCGGAAACGCCTCTAGCGGCTGTCAGTGAGACAGCCACTAGAGGCTGGATTAACCCTCAATGTAAACATAGCAGTTTCTCTGAAACTGCTATGTTTTCAGCTGCAGGGTTAAAACTAGGGGGACCTTTCATCAAGACCACTTTATGAAGTGATCTGGGTGCCTATAGTGGTCCTTTAAGCTCAATGGGACTTTGCTTCATTCAGATGCCCAGGAAAAAATGAATACGAATTATAGGTATCCATATAGACAATGAGCTCCACCATAGACCACTGGGGATAAAGCCACCAATGTGGCTCAATTATTAGTTACTAAGCAACTCCATAGCACAAGAGATACAAGTTTTTATACTCATTGGATTGTTGTCTTTTTAGATTATCATGCAGATGGAATGCTATAATGGATTTTCATGTAATATTTGAGTATTTGCGTATTCAGAGTCACCTAAAAGATTCCACCCATTTAATATGAAAGCAACCAAATGAGATCTTTTTTAAAAAGTGAGAGTCTGTGCAAAATGTTTTGCTTTGTTTTTGTTTGGCTTTTCAAAAATAATTACTAACATTGAAAATCATCAAAAATAAAAACACTCATAAAAAAGTGCATTTGGCTTGACGGTATGCCCTGGACCCAAAGTTTCAGACAGAAATCCAGATGTTTCAAATTTCATGTAGTGTCTTTAATGTATTATTCATTGCACAGTGGGTTTGTAACTGTTACAAAGGAAACACTTCAAAAAGTCACAGTTATTGGTACAAGGAATGTGGAGGTAGCTAAAGGCGATGTAATGAGTAATATTTCTCTGATTCTTTTCAAATTCCTTGTGTCTATATAAAAAGAATAAAGTATTACGGAAAAAAATGGTATGTTCGATTCAAGGGTGTGGTAATTGATTTGTATCCTTTATTTATGGTTAAAAGTTTTTTGGTTTTTTTCAAAGCAACATCTTCAACATATGTTTCTGTTTGGAGATACATATATTCTGCAGCTTTGTTACCTTCAGACTTTTCCCAGAGACTGAAATAACAGCTGCAATTCAGGCACATAGTGATTCACTCAAAATAATTTAAAGAGCAAATGTCTCAAACTTCAGGAATTTTAATGCAATAGATCATTCTGATGCAATTGCCAATTATGGAGCTTCTTTTATATCATGTATAGGTTTGTAGTTAAGTTGCTATGCTTTGAAAATTCAACAATTTAGTTTACAAACTGCTCACTTCATAGATGCTTCATACCTATTCTTTCATTCCCTGGATGTTGGGCAAAGGTAACATCCCCAGGATGTAGTTGGAGACCAGAGAATTTGAATGTACCTTTTCTGGTTAAATACTTTGTTATTATTATTATTATTTTTCCCTTTCCGCTCCAAGTATTTCCCAGTTCATTTTTTATTACTCTAAGCCATGATGTATCTACAGAAGAAATGAAGGTGGGAAATTCTCACGCCCTTAAGATGATTATCACTGTCCATGTTGGGTAGAACTGATATTGGCAATGTGAAATTGCAGATGTATCAGTTCAGAAGACAAAGGGAACAACCCAAGCTACAAAACACCTTTTTTTTTTTTTTTGTCAAACCACCCCAAATTGACAAAAAATATAGAACTATACCTGTAGCCTCGTTGCAAAATAGACACTAAACTGATCTGTAGAAATTAGAGATTTGTTGCCACAGTTATAACCAAAGAGAGGTGATTCTTATTTGTAAATTTTAAAGAAGAAAACAAATGTTTATGTCCCATGAGGAGTCGAATTTTCAGAATTGGTTTAGGAGCAAGCAAGAAGTGAGATGGCCATTGGGTGTGTTATGTTCTGCTTACCAGCTGTATAGACGAGATTGACTGAATATGTAGGCACTTATATGGTTGATGAATACTGTTACCATATTTGTCTTTAGAAAGTCAGTCAAATTGAATTTAAGAAACTACTACCATAAGTTTGGGAATTTTTTAGGTCTCCATGTGTTGAAGATTTATATAATTTTTCCTTTGGGGTTATTGATATAATATATGATGTGCTTTTTCTGAGGTTGTGAACATATGTTACACAGACCTCAGTTATTCAAATACCACATTACGAGAAAATACTGTGACTTTTTTAAGGGTGTGCACTCTATGTGTTTATATTCCAAAAGGAAATCAAAGATTCGCACAATATCCATCATGTAATGAAGCGGATATATTGTATACATATCAGTAAGCTTAGTCATGGCAAACATTTGATAAGCATAGATTTTCTGCATACGATGAAGTAGGATCAAAGAGAATCTTAAAAGATGTGAGGTGATGTAGACTTTACATTGTGGCATATGGATGCAATGTGGTTAAAATCTTTGATCGAGCATCTTTTTATCATGTGTTCTGCTGTCGGAAATATGTTCACTATTTGTTGGGATTATGTTGTGATTCTCCCTCAAATTTTCCCACAGGCTACAAGATTATTGTGAGTACCACTTACTAGTTTTCTTAAATGTTTCTGTCTGTATTGGAATATGTTGTGTTTTTAGGGTACAAATCCTAAAAGTAGGGGTAAGTAAAAACTAAACCAAAAAGAAAATTGCCATTCTTCACCTCAAGCAGAACAAGCTGCCAAAAAGTCGAAAGTTTCCAAAATTCTTTTTAGTATTTGATAGCTATTTCATATTTGTCTTGAGAACTGAAATGTGTGCTCTAATTTGAAAGTGAAATAATAAAGTAAGCTTATGCATATGTGGGAAGAAATTAGCATGCTAAAAAAAAAAGAAAAAAGTTTTTTAAAAGTTTTAAAGGGTTACATTTAGACAACAAACTCTAAGGGGCTAGTGGAGCTAAAGCTCCAGGCTCATGCCCATGTATGGAATAGGCCCATTGTTAAATATTTTTTTTTTTTTTTTTAAACTACTCTTCATGTTTTGCTCTATAGTACTTGTGTGAACTGTCTGACTATAAAATTGTTAATGCAAAGCTAACTTTGCACACTGTTTAGGATCTATGAATGGCTGCACATTTATAGCATGCTGTTATTTAAAGCTGTTAATTTACAGTTATAACAATATTGTTGTACTCCCACTAGACTCCCCTTTATTGTGTGTTATTATTTAAGTTATGCTAAGTTTAATAAACAGCTGGCATTTTCCAAATAAGCTCCTTTGTATGGTCTCTCATTGAGTGTCTCTAAGTACTTGGGGATCTTTAAGTCCAAGGCAGTCTGGTGATCACCTAGAAGTAGTTCCAACAGAGCTCCTATTGCAATATAAATGCAGTCATGGCAATAAGATTTCTCTTGAGTCAAATTAGGGGTATATTTTACTTACAATTATCTGCATTTTATTTCCCTAGCCTACACATTTCAAAGGTCAATATCTGTATTTTCATATTATTATTATTATTATTAAGTTATTATTTATATAACGCCAACAAATTCCGCAGCGCTTTACAGTGGTTGGACGAACAGACATGTAGTTGTAACCAGACAAGTTGGACACACAGGAACAGAGTGGTTGAGGGCCCTGCTCAATGAGCTTACATGCTAGAGGGAGTGGGGTATAGTGACACAAAAAGGTAAGGATAGTATTAGACTAATGACAGTTGCAGAAGAGGAATCAGTCAGGAGCTATTAACAGTTTAATTGATACGCTTTTAAGTGGGTTTTTAATGATTTTTTGAAGGAGTAGGGACTGGGTGAGCATCTAACGGAGGAGGGAAGTGAGTTCCACAGGAACGGTGCAGCCCTAGAGAAATCTTGAAGGCGAGCATCACAGGTGGAAGTATGGACAGAAGATAAACGTAAGTCTTCAGCAGAGCATAAAGGCCTAGACGGGACATACTTGTGTATTTGGGAGGATAGAGAGGATAGTGAGAGCAGCATTATGTAGAGATTTGAAAGCAAGAACCAGAATTTTAAATTGAGCCCTATATCTTACAGAAAGCCAATGTAGGGACTGACAGAAGGATGAGGAGTGGGAGGTGCGGGCGGACAGGAAGAGGAGCCTCACTGCCGTATTCATTATGAACTGTAACGGCGCAAGTTGGGAGCATGTAAGACCACTGAGAAGCGGATTACAGTAGTCAAGGCGAGAAAGGACAGTGGAATGGACCAAAATCTTAGTCGCATCTGGCGTTAAGTAGGGTCGGATGCGTGCAATGTTTTTGAGATGAAAGCAGCAGGATTTGGTGATAGACTGAACATGAGGTGTGAAGGAGAGTTCGGAGTCAAAGAGAACACCTAGGCAGCGAGCCTGCGTGGTTGAGCTGATGATAGCACCGTTAACTTGGATGGAGAAAGACACAGGAGTAGCAACACTTGAGGGAAGAAAGACCAGAATTTTTGTTTTGGTCAAGTTGAGTTTAAGGAAGTGGGCAGCCATCCAGTTAGAAATAGCAGAGAGGCAGTCAGAGACACTAGTCAAGAGGAACGGGGAGAGATCAGGAGAAGACCGATAGATTTCCATGTCATCAGCATAGAAATGATATTAGATGCCAAAGGAGCTAATGAGTTTACCAAGGGAGGCAGTATAGATGGAGAACAGTAGGGGACCAAGGACTGAACCATAGGGGACACCAACGGAGAGGAGTTGGGGAGAATAAGCAAAGCCAGAGAAAGAAAAACTGAAAGAGCACTGGGAGAGGTCGGAGGAGCACCAGGAGAGAGCAATATCTTGTAGACCGATATTGCGGAGGATGAGAAGAAGCTGTTGATGATCAAAAGCAGAAAGGTCAATGAGAATTAGGATAGAGTAGTGACCATGAGATTTTGCAGCGAGTAGATCATTGAATACTTTGGTCAGTACCATTTCCACAGAGTGCTTAGCACGGAAACCAGACTGAAGCGGGTCTAGCAGAGAGTTGGACTCGAGGAAGTCTGTCAATCTCTTCTTCAAGGAGTAGGTTTAAATAGGCAGACAGTGTGAACTTCAAAAGAAGAAAAGGATAGGACAGATGCAGTTATGATTGGTTGAGAGGTACGTTGAGGGGAGAGAAGGATGTCTACACCACCTCCTTTACAGTTGAGTCTGGGAGTGTGAGAGAATTGTAGCCCACCAAAATATAAAGAGGCAGGAGTAGCACTATCAGAGGGGGACAGCCAGGTCTCTGTAAGTGCAAGTAGTGTGAGTGAGTTTGAGATGAAAAAGTCATGTATGGCTGTTGATTTTAAATTACTGCAGAAGGAGCAGGCATTCCAGAGTGCACACTGAATGTTGGTAAGTGAGGGTAAAGGCCAGGGTATTGTGATGATGTTTGTGGGGTTTCTGGTTTTCTTAGTGTGTGTAGGGAAGATGAAGGGCCCTGGATTGGGAGAGACATCTCCAGCTGCCAGAAGCAGGAGGAGAGAAAGTGACAGGAGGTGTGAACGGGTTTTATATGCATGGGGTCTAGGATGAGATCGATTGTGGGTAGGAGTGAAAGAGAAAAATTAGTGCAGGTCGTGAGATGAGATAAGGGAGGAGTGTAGCAGAGAGGGGCATATGTAAAAGTGGTTGGGTGAGGGAGAAGGAGAAAATAAAGAGGAGGAGAAGACAGATCATTGCTAAAAAGGGAAAATGTCAATTGGAAATAATTGGAATATCAAGAGCAGGTGAAGGTAGAGTAAATATTAAGTTATATGGATTAAGAAAGTGCAGGCGTGTACTAAAAAGAGGCAGTGTGTACACCTGTTATTTTTACTTATCTAAAATTTGGCAAGCTATAAATGTAATAATGGGGGAAGGGGAGGAGAGGGCAGGTATCAGGCTTTCTTACAGCAGTACTGGGGCTTGAGTTTTGAAATCAGGCTGTTGAATAAAGATATGTAAGGGTTAGATAGGCTTGCTGAGGGGATATGTATCTAGGCACAGAGATGAAGGGATGGTTATTCAAATAAAACCAAACATATCAGTAAAAGAAAGGAGGGATCAGAGGTCAGTCAAAAATCAGAGGGGAAATAGAGGAATGCATATAGGTAAATAAAACAATTACATACAGGGCTAGCAAAACTACACTTTAGCATGACAGACAAGATATAAAGGCAAGAAAATATACAATGCACACAGGATATATAAAATAAAATAAATGTACAGGGTGGTTAAATTAAATAAATTATATTGTGCAGAATAGAGTCTTAGTGTGGTCTTCCAGAAGGCTACCTTGCGTATTGCAGCTGATCAGCTGATGGAGCACTGACTTTCTTACAGCAGTATTGGGGCTTGATAGTTTTGAAATCAGGCTTGCTTATTGCAGACAATCAGCTGATATTTTTATAGCCTTTATCATGTGAACCAACCAGCTACCAGCGTATGCATCGAACAAGAGCAAGAAAAATTAGTTCTATCTGCTCCCCACTCTAGGCCACTAAGGTTTGAGATTACAATGATGCAGTAGCTCAAAATGTAATAATGTAAGTTTGGTAAAAATAGTTTAGGGGATTTACAGTTCATAGCAGCAAAGTTAAGTAACAATGTAACAGCATATTGGAATATTTTTAACTAGCTGTGGCATAGGCTAAGCATGATATGACCATCTAAGGTTATTTTATCGTGTAAATAGGTAACGGGAGACAGGTTTTGGCTTAGTATGTTGGTTTTCATAAATATTCTAATAAAAGTTCTAATTATTAAAACAACAATCACTTTTAACATTAATAACCTTTTCTTTTTCAGTTGAGTTTTTTGGGATAACCCCCCGCTTATGAATGGGGTCTAGCTCATCTGTCTCGATTTTGTTTTTAAAAAAATATTTTTTATATGTTTAACTTACCTTGAACGCAGTAGACATTAAATTTGTTTTGTGGTTGTGGAAAGAATGTCTGGTTACTGAAGCGGTATTTGGTCCTCACCCCAAGCAAACCACCTCCACACTGGGGTCTAGCCACAGACACAGGATAACGAACACTTCCATCAGCAAGCCAACCATAGTCACACTGGTCAAAACCTCTCCTCCATGCTGCATAGAGATCTCCGACTGTAGCAAGAACTGCGTCTCTATTCTTACATTCAGCTTTAGCCTCTTCAAATGTCAGTTTTTTTGGAACATGGAACAAGTCACCTGGAAAATAATATATTACATGTGTGTTTACTGTTTAATATTATAAAGATGTATTTCTTTTTCTCAAACTGTTAAGCTTTAATCATTCTACTTGAATTAATATTGTGGTTAATTATATTTCCTTCTACTATCTATATGATCCTCTGCTATCTATGTATCTATCTATCTATCTATACTAACGTAAAGATAAAATTTAATTTTTTTCTTTAAAAAAATTAAATGTTATCTTGGACCACCCCATGTAGGTTCTATTACATTTTTCTAATGTACATTTTCTACATATAGTCTTTTTTATTTTTTTTATCCACTGCCTCAACCATATCATTTAGTCTCTTGATAAACCAATGCTTTTAGACAGTAGTGAAATCACAGCTCTCACATCTCTTGATAAACCAATGCTTTTAGACAGTAGTGAAATCACAGCTCTCACCACCCAAACACCAACAATGTTTAGACTCTGAAGAATTCTCTCAGCTAGCTGCCAGTTGTTATGACCAGGGCCCCCATGTGTAAATTCTAGGTTGCACCTTAATCTCAAAAAATAAATAGTCTAACAAAGAGATTTGGGCGATGACAACAAGGCAATATAAGTAGAAGCAGCCCTCTTTTTGAAATTTCAAAAGAACTAAATAGCATTGGGATGTTTCTGTAAAAATAACAAATTTCCTCTGTAAAGTCCAGCTTTTAATGGCTTAACTCAAGTCAGTAGCATCGGTGCATGACAGACTCTGGAAACAATTGACAAAGCAGAGACATGGACGGGTTTTCCAAAAGTTTAAATGAAAGCAGCCCGTTGTGAATTAATGGAAATGCATCTGGACTAGAAATGTTATTAAAGGGATATGGTGTAAATGTTTGAATTATTTTACTGATTTTCAAATATTGTAATTTTAAATATGTCCTCCCTTTCTTTAGACTGTACGTGTAAGCAATGTATTGTTTATCAGTCACAAACACACTTAGAGGGTAATTCAGGGGGAATATTTCTTCAATTAAGTCTTTACGTAAATAAAATAAACTGATTAGACAGAGCTCCCCTGACTTAAATAACTGATTTATCTAAAAGCAAACACAAAGTCAGAAGAATAGAAAATCTCCCCTCCCCCGAGGATCTAAAGAGCATTGTAACACTGTAGCTGATTAGTGTGCATGTAATGTGAGTGTTATGTTTTATTTATTTTTAGTTTATTAAATAGTGAGCCCTTACTTTGAGTATTGTACACAGTACTGGAGACTGTATCTTCAGAAGGATATTGATACCTTAGAGAGAGTTCAGAGAAGGGCTACTAAACTGGTTCATGGATTGCGGGATAAAACATATCAGGAAAGGTTAAAGGATCTTAACATGTATAGCTTGGAGGAAAGACGAGACAGGGGGGATATGATAGAAACATCTAAATACATAAAGGGAATCAACACAGTAAAGGAGGAGACTAGATTAAAGAAAAGAAAAACTACCACAACAAGAGGACATAGTCATAAGAGGGGCAGAGGTTTAAAAATAATATCAGGAAGCATTACTTTACTGAGAGGGTAGTGGATGCATGGAATAGCCTTCCATCTGAAGTGGTAGAGGTTAACACAGTGAAGGAGTTTATGTGTGGGATAAGCATAAGGCTATCCTAGCTATCAGATAAGACCAGGGACTAATGAGAGAAGATTGGGCGGACTAGATGGGCCGAATGGTTCTTATGCCCTCCACCTCTATGTTCCTGTAAGGCCAGTTGTCTGGTTACAATTACATGTCTGTTAGTCCACCCATTGTACAGCGCTACGGAATCTGATGGCGCTATATAAATAATAAAATAATAATAATAGATATTGTGTAGAGATATATAAAGCCTAGTGTTTACTAAAGTGTCGAAAATTACCATGGCCCAGTCTGTAGATACAGATCAATCAGTAGATTATTTTTATCGATGACACTTTACACTAGTTTTCTGATTACTTATCCCCCGTTTTCTTTTTGCGCATGTTGGCCAAGCGTTAAGGATATTAAAAAGAGCATATTTAAATGCAAAGTGCAAGTTTCCTTTCAGGTTTACGTTTTTTCATTGAGCAAGTTGGAAAAAGATTGCTACGCACTGCACATCAATATATTAAAACGAAGGAAAGGGGTTATGAAAAAGAGGGGGTGAAGGGGGGGGCTCTATAAGCTTATCCCAATGTTTTCATAGCTGGAGCTACATTGAGAGGTTACCGAGCAAAATCATTGAGGCACAATAAAGTTTGGAGCACACATTGTAAGGAACCTCACGTTGTAACTCTGTCATTGCGAGTCTTTAAATGTAAACCATGACAGTGTTTATGTTACATACAATAAAGAAGTGTGTGTTACCATTGGCAGCCTTTTTTAACCAAAAGCAAGTTAAAGTCAGCAGTAAGAAGGGCCCAAAGAATTGCTAGGATTTTCCTGTTCACGTGCATCAGAACAGAAAGAAAAACACCTGACTATTTAAGGTTTCTTTTTTATGGCTGTTAAATACCACAGACTAGACTTATGAGCCAGACTTTTGGTTCCAGACAAAAGACTGTTTTAAAATCATCTTTTCGGAAAACTCTAGACACTGTCTTATTAGCGTGTTCTTGAAAAGCCTGTAAAACGAAACTTTAATCTTACGTTATTAATATCATCCCTTTTATGCCACTTAATTCTTTCTTTATTTCATAATTCACGTGCCTGTGTTGTATCGTAAAAATTTGTTAACCCCTTCAGTAACACATTTTTTTGGCTTAAAAAAAAAATAAACAACTTTATCATAGGATTTATTTGAAATGGAAATGCATTGCTAGTAACAAAAAAAATGATTTTTTTTTTTTTTATGCAGACTGTAATTCACCGAAATCTAGAAAACTGGCTAAAGCATTTTTTTTATTATTATTTATTTGTTTGTGCTTTATAGATATATTTAAGTTAAAAGAGGGTCCTCTTTCTTTTAAGTTTTCAGGTAGGGTCTGATGCATCTGATATATAGGCACGTAAGAAACAACATACAAAAACAATAGTGCCCCTGTCCCCTTAATCCTGCAATTGTAATTATTGCAGTTATTTAGAAACCTTGAGGTGGTTAACTCCACCTCAAGTGGAGAGCCACTAGAGTCCTCTAGAGGCACTTTTAGGTCAAGGCTTTAAATTGAAGGGGACCAGTCATGCCCCAAACAACATTTCAACGTTTGCTCATTAAACTGAGCATAAGATTTAATCTACACAGTTTTGCTAGCAAATGTATAGATTAGGAGAGAGACCTATTTAAAAATGTGTTTTTCTAACACTGTCCGTTAATGCCTCAGCGTGTCGAGGCATAGACTGACAAGGGAGAACAGAAAAGACAGAAGGTCCCTCAGCTCTCCACCCATAGCATCCACAGTGCATAAGCTGTGGCCGGTATGGAATATGGAAACTCCCTAAATGGCTCTTCTAGCACTGGCTAGGGAGTATAGAAATGCAGTAACGTGACAAAGCCAGGGTGCTGACATCACTGAGGATATTTGCCCTGCATGGGAATGCACCAAAAGCAGGCAAATCGAAGAAGACTGCAGACAGAACGGAGGAAGAGCAGACAACAGTCCTGAAGTTGTTACAAGAGTAACACCCACTAAGTGGCGCTGTAATTGAGGAAAGACAAGTAAATATCTGTATTTTACACTGAATACGCCATGTATCTTTGTGATGTATGGTGTATTCAATGTATATGGGAGCAATTTTAGATAAATTCATTTTTCATTACAGGTTCACTTTAATTTGATAGAAAGGCATAAGATTATCGATTGCCTGTGTTTAGAATAGATTACAAGCCTGGATGTGACAAAACCTCACCTTATCCATCCTGGCAGCAAATACTGTAAATATTATCAATAATGAAAGAGTAGCCACCAGTTTATCATCCACCCTCCCCTATTCTCCCGTACAAATGCAACGAAGGATCTATTACACCTTATGTCATTACAGGGCTAATGTGTATGTTAGCACACTAATAACTTGAAATTGGAGGTTTATTGCCCCTCCTTCGTAAGTTTAATCTGATACAAAGTCCTTTTGTGAGCTGTCAGCAGTAACGTAAACTCTGCCTCTAAAATCCCGTGTTTCTAAATCCTTTGTTATTGCCATTATGAGTTTTATTTGATTTTCAGCTATAAAACCTTACTTAACCTCATGCTTTTGTTTTAAAACGTATTTTTAGACACAGTGTTCTTCCAGGGCAATTAATCAGAGCACTAATCCCATGGGTGCCAATAAGTGCTGTTTAATTATGTGCTAACTTCACACTAACATATTTAAGCTTAACCTAATGTCCGCCATTGTGTTTCTAGTGAGGGTCATCTAATCTGTGTGAGCTGCTAAAGCTATATAAAACACTAAATCCGAATATCCTATCCAAATCCAACTGCCTCCACATTCAGATTGAATTGAGACCTATGTTACCACATAAATATAGGTTTGGTTTTTCGTACAACATTAAATTATTGCACTGAAAAGTACTGTCTTCCTGACTCTTTGCTATATTCCAGAAACAAGGCACTCAATGTTAGAAACTTACCAAGTATATCATCCATAAAACAGTATACATCATATTTCTCGTCTGTAGGGCGTAGTCCGTAGGTCCGAATCCCTTCTTTACCCTTTTTATCACCAAAGCAGTTAGCTCTTGGGTTCCGGATTGGATATCTATCAAAACATACAGTTTGTGTTACATCTCATGTCATCACTGATACATAGACAAATATACAGCCCTTCAGCTTCATGACAATATTTCCTAAAAATATCTGAGAGGCTTTAGTTCTTGGCATATGATGGACTATATATCTCTGAGAGATGGACAGCCTTTGTATAGCAGCATAAAAAAAAGGTGATAAAGTATATATTTTTATTTGAAAACCTATCTTGCTGAATGGAATGAGTCATTGGAAGGGTTAGCCAATGGAGAAATTAATTTGAGCTTCCATTAATACCATAAAATGTTTGTAGCATTCACAGTTTCAACAAAATGTACCTAACAGTTTGATCAGCCAACCAGCCAGCATCACATTGTTCAAATCCGTCTTCATATGCAGCTCTCAGTTGTCCCGGAGTCGCAATCTTGGCACCATTGTCCAAACAAGCTTTCTGAGCACCCTCAAAATTCAAGGAGTACTTGTCAGTAGATGCGCGGTAGTGAAACACAACACCTATAAAATCAAAAACACCCTGTTAAAAACAGCACTTACATACTGTGGTTAGGTTAATTCCATATACTGATATTACATACATTTTTACACACAATTACAGCAGTTTATACATTCTTTAATGCTAGCATTGCTATGGATCTTAGCTATCAAACTTTCTGTTCTTATAGCTAAGAGGGACACCAAAATAGAAAAGACAACACATCTAATCCCATAACTATTTTATCATTTACTCAGAAGAATATAGAAGAAATGTGATAGATTTATAAAATCCAGTATAAGACTAAATATGCAAAAGAACAGATTTCTCTAAAAAAAAAAAAAAACAACAACTTATTATTAACACCTAAAATTTATCTTTTTTCTTTTCAGAGATTAAACTTTTATTACTGTGCACATTGTCTGCCCTTATCAAGTCAGAGACATGCACTAACAAGCAGAGGTTAAGTGGTCATACATTTCTTTTACAACATTTACAGGAAAAAGAAAGTATATGGCACATTTCAACACTCAAGAGTCAAAGGAAATCTATTTTACAGACATCGTCTGGGAGTTCATTTGTAAAGGTCTGAGTCCTGAGCTAGCTTACACAGAGTTAGTTACTAAGGTGAGAATTCAAAGTAAATTTCAAATGTAAGGTCAATATAGCTGAATTGCAAAAATATTCTGTTTTCAGATCACATATTGTAGCCTTAAATTTGAATTTCACTTTGAATTCACTTTAAATTCTTACTTAGACTCATAGACCATCAGGTACTGTGTGTGGTACAACGTGAATTCAATCTTTGTTTTGTACTTTTAAACATGAATTACTCATACTTTGCTGATTAATGTGAATAGTGTGTAATCCTGGGTTCAGTAGGGGTTCACAGTTTGTGATTGTCATTAAGAAAATATTTGAGTGATTCACCAATGTTGAAAATGAAATATCCTCAATCCATCCAGTACCAAGGTGACTGCAGTACATCCCTAACCTTTTAAACCTGGATTGTTTAATGTTGTACTGACTAATAAAAGAGGTGGGTAACACATGGTTCAAAGTGGGTTTTCTGTCTGTAAATGTCATTAGGTAAATATTGGAAAGATTTACCACTTCTAGGAAATAGATAACCTTCACTGAATGAGTCCCAGTGCGAGAATGGTTTCATCAGCTCTTCACAGATGACATGGTTTATGAAAACATTGTTTTTGGTTTATCAAACCTTTCTGGTATGAGAAAGAATGAAAGAAATAAAGAAAGAAAGAAAGAAAGAAAGAAAGAAAGAGAAGCGAGAGAGAGAGAGAGACAGAGAGAGAGGGAAAGGAAGGAAGGAAGGATGGAAGGAAATCCTGCACACACAGACTCCAAGCACCTTGACCATTTCAAATCAAATCAAATTATTGAAGTGGTCATGTTGCTCAGAGTAACCCTTTAAGGCACAGAGAATATATTTCAATCACATAAAATGTTTGTGCTCTGCTCTCATCATATTTCTATATGTTGATTTAGAAAGGTAAAATACCTACTAGAAACAGTTATTATTAGGAAAGCTGCACAATAAAACTGATGTTTATTGATACATTGGGAATGGTCCACCCTGGTCTTGGGGCACTACGGATGGAAATTTTAGCGAGTGCTACCACACTTTAAGCATATTGAATTGGATTTTCTGTGTCGGCACTGTTATACATCTCAGAATTACAAGATATCAGCTTTGTTTGGAGAAAATACTCATATAACTACTGTATGAGCATATAAAGCACTTGATTCTCTTGAAACAATTATTAATTATGAATTACACATTATGTAATTCTGGGTTTAATACAGTTCTATTAAAAACACTTTTAATTTGGTTGTGTCTATATATATATATATATATATATATGTATATATATATATATGTATATATATGTATATATATATGTTTTTCTCTCTGGAGATCTTTTCTATAAACCCATGTTCTAGTTATAAAATTAGAACATTGTGCCATCATGTTTACTATGACAGCTCACAGCATTGCAGTTTGAAAAAGTAGTCCTAGATAATGTATGCAGTTGTACCCAGAAAACCATAAACTGGGATGGCAGGTAATAACCAATTAGGCCTTCTAGGTCCTTTATATTAAGTATTTTTCCTTCAGATCCCCTTTAACCTTACTGGCTAAGGTGTTCATCTAGATTAAGTTAGAACTTTCACTTTGACATTTCCAAATTTCTTTTACGTTACTTTGAACTCAGATGCTCACCACATGGGCAGCATCAAACTGTTGAATCCAGTAAAAATCACATGCATGAAAACCCATTTTAGTAATTATGGGATTCTTTTCCACAATTATCAAAGCATTAGAATCTTGGATGTAGTAATAGGCCTGCTTGTTATATCCTTGGTAACCAAGTAATTATATTCACTGCTATTGGTTTTGCTGTAATGTAGGGTACTAACCCCCTGAAATTTCATGTAGTCATTTGGCAGTAGTGTGACAAAACCCAGAGTTCCCATCCACTTTAGACAACTTATGCAGAATTTATACTTCCATAATATAAAATATCAATCCTTCCAAACCTGGATAGCAGTGGTAGGCTAAGGAAGCTGCAGTGGTTATGTTGCTTTGACTGCCACTAATTACTGTTATGAATAACAGATGTAAATTATTATTATTAGAAGCTAGGCAGATTGCATAGAGTCAGTTACCAAATGGTTTAAACATCAAAAGTTCACAAGAAAAAAGTCATTGTGGACAACACTTTTTTAGCATTGTCTGAAAATAGGTCACCTATATTAGAACCTGTCTTCAATACAACAAAGATGGCAAATCAACGAGAGCTGAAAAAGATTATTTTCCTTATTAGAACATAAAATACATACTACAAACCTTACCAGATACATCCAAGGAAATGGTATCCTGAGTATCTTCAATTCCAAACAGGACCTCACAACGATAAACTCCTGCATCGCTGGCCCGTAATTTAACCATGGTTAAGGAGGCATCTCCAATATCTTCAGGATGACTTGGTACAGATACTCTCCCTCTGTAATGTTGGCCTATTTTAATACCTCCACTTTGGGCAACTAGAACGGTTGTTTCCTTTGGATCCTTTCCATCTCTACTTTGTTCAATTTTTGTCCACTTAATTCGCAGAATTTCACTTGTTATATTATAGCTTGGTGGTAACGTAGGCATTGTTGAGAAAAAGCATGGCAGAGTTACTCTTCCAGATAGTGAACCCTTCACAGGAGGACTTTTTTGTACTGTAACTGTGGAAGAAAAACAGAAATGCTAATTATTTTGAGATATTGTTGTCATACAAATTAAAAGGCTGCCATATAAATGGAAGATATATAGGGGGGAAAAAACAGGTCAATCATTTCTTATATATCCAATTGATACAGACACTTGTGGATGTATTGTATTTCTAATGTATAGTTCACATGTCAATTTATATCTACCATAAGCTCACTGAATCCTTAGCAGAAACATGAAGTGCTAGATCTGAAAAGTGTTGAACTGCTAGATCAGAAAAGTGTTTAGAGATATGATATACATGTACTCAAATTTTCTTGTGACAATGTAAATGCAAATGAGAAAAATGAAAGAATTTCAATAGTGATAATTTTGTCTAAGTTTGTCAATGGAAAGGGTTCTTTAAAGTAAAAACAATAAGGATGTGGAATTCTTTGCCTGTATGGGTGGTTTTATCAGAGTTTATACAGATGTTTAAACATCAACTGAATACTTACGAAAAACATAATATTTAGGTATATAATTTTTAATATGTGGAGTAATAACTTCTTGATATAGTGAGAGATCTGACTGCCATTTTGGGGTCGAGAATGAACTGTTTTCCTAGTTTGTTGCAAAATTGGGAAGTGTTTCAATCTGGGTTATTTGCCTTCTTTTGGATCACGTTTTGTGAAAAAGGCTGAACATGATGGATGCAAGTCTTTTTTTAGTCTATGTAACAATGTAACTATAATTTTTTTTATTTCCAGTCCAACAGATATATGAATTTTACCACCACTGTAAATTTACTGGTCTTCTGAAATGGAAATTTCTGCAAACACTGGAGAAATTTACTATCGAGAAAATTGTCACATTTTAGATCACTTTAATAAATACGATTAATAAATAATGATGGAATTTAACCTCCACCTTTCATAAAACTTGATAAATATCCCCCAGTATGCCTGTTTGGAAATACCTTCATAACTGCATTGAACATATATTTCAGAACTGCAGTATAAAAAAGAAAAAAAAAAAGGAAAAAAAAACAGGCTATTCATCAGCCTACACTTTCCTGATTCCAGAAAAACAAGGGGAAGCTGTATAGATATATCCTGGAACTGATATTATTTTATCTATTCTATTTTTGATACAAAGGTTCGTTTTAGCATGAAACATCTGCACTTGTCTCCATATGAACATCTGCGTACCATCAGCCCGGTTAGAAGTCACGGTCTCACAAATACTTCAACACATGTACAGTGGCTACAGAGATCATGAGTTTACTGTTACTTTATTTCCTTTTCTTAATGAAGTTAATGAAATGTGTCTTTATTGTAGCATGTCAAATGACGAAACTGGACTCAATTCAGCGTAGGGAAGAGATCTGCTATAAATATTTACTAATGTTGTTCGTCCTAAATATTTCATCACAACCTTGTTAAAGGTGAATATAAGCACTACATAAGAACATTCTCAAAAAATATATATATATAAATGAAAAGCAACCTAAAGAGAAGTAATCAACGTTCTTGCTTAATTGCTGTTGTAGTGCAATTGATTTAGCACGGTATGTGATGTTGTGTCCAAAGTAAGGAAAAAAGCCTTTGAGTGCCAAGTCATTTGGGTAATGATTTGATTACCCTTCACTGTGCAAGTAAGTTAAACAATAATCCTTATTGTTGTCTATCCATACCTTTGTTGAAATGATTTCCTTTGTAGCCTCGGGGTGTAGAGTAGTCTTTAAAGAGAACAATGGACCTACAAATACTTCAAGCACACTTGCTCTCCTCGTCCAACTAAAACTTGTATTAACAAGGCTTTTATCAGTCTGCAGATTTAGCCAGCTGCAAGCAGTTAATTGGAAACTATTCTCATATCCTTAGGTGCACTCTATATATGATTCATACACATTTTCCATACTTTATAAAGTACATTTCCACCATAGTATGATATTAGCTTGAAACTGATCTCTTTCAGAATATGATTTTGTTAGTGGTTGCTATGCTGCAGAGTAAGTATGCTATGGAAATTCAAATTATATCACATTTCAAATTTGTTGCATAAAGTGTTTAGGAATATGTTGACGCTATATAAATGCAATATAAAAGTTCATAACCAAAATAATAGGTTACGATACTTTGCTTTAACAAACAACGCAATTGAAAAAAATCTCCAGAAATATATTCCAGATATGACTGGATTTAAATCAATGAATGTCAAAGATCTTTGTATAACTTGATAGAAATTAATTTTAGTGATTTACTTGAATTTCTTCTGTTGAGTGTAAGGTAGTTTTAGGCACCTTGGGATTAGAGATGTCGCGAACCGTCCGCGAACTTCTCGCGAACGGTTCGCCACAAACCGTATGCGGCGAACTCCGGTCAGCTGACACATCCCGGCCAATCTCCAGCAGACCCTCCCTGCCTTCAACATGGATGCTGTCCAGGAAGTAGGAGGGTCTGGGAGGGAGGGTCTGCCGGAGATTGGCCGGGATGTGTCAGCTGACCGGAGTTCGCCACGAATGGTTTGTGGCGAACCGTTCGCGAGAAGTTCGCGGACGGTTCGCGACATCTCTACTTGGGATCACAAAGTAGTCTACTATATTTAGTCACGTAGGATAATGCACATTGGGCAAACATTTAGGTTTGCCTAGAATTACAAACTCTTCTTCATGCAGACCATAACATGGACCCATACAGTCTTATTTTTTGGAATTACCCTTTGAAATGTATTTATGTTTTAATTTCTCTCCTTTTCTTCAAATTGTTGCTGTTTTTCATTCTATGAATTCCAATTTTTTTTTCTATAGTATGATTATGTTCTTCATTAATGTTATTTGAATTTAGCAAATATTACTAAATGTTTTTCTTTTTCATAAACCAAAACAAAAATGATATATTTGTGGTATTGTATTTTAGTGGAATTCTGTCCAATAGCATTAGCGCTCACAGTTTTAGTTTTCAACTAAGGACTCCTAAAATGATTTGGCCTGGGATATTAAAAGGTGCCTTTAGTAAAGGTATAATGGCGTGACAGACGAAGATGTTATTTTATCATTTGATGATTTCCTATCTGTATGTTCAGTATGCCAGTTTTAGCTTTGGATAGAAATCAACATTTGAGCAATGTATACACATTTATTATTTTTTTCCATTTTGCCCTCCTCCCATCCTCCCTAACCACCACACACCCACATTTTGTAACTGGCAGACAAAATGCCATTTACAAAGTCCTGACATAATGTACTAGAGGATCGACACACAGACTGTAGTTACATCTGTGTGGCAAATAATCCAAAAAGAACATGTGTTTTTTATTCAGCAATATACTTAATGAAGCAGTATCTTAGAAAAATGTTGGGATAAATCAGAGATTCGTAAGCAGAAACCCACAATGTTATGTTCACATTACATACACGTTCACTAATGTCCTGGGAAACTGGAATTTCAAAAGAGAAACCGAATTGTTTCCAAAGCAAATATTACACAGCTTTAGCATAATGTATGTAATGTCTCAGTTTATTCTTTATTTGTTAGGAAAGCAATAAATCATTTTAATAGGTTGTGCTTTTTTCACAAAAAAAAAAAAAAAATTATCAAATAAACAGCCTTAACACTGGAAGGTAAATGACTATATCCAGTTGTTGCTAAAATTCAATTCCCATAATTCCCTGATAGCCATTTTGTTCAAAGGACTAACCTGGTCTGGTTGAACAAGAGTTAGAACAGGCAGAAGTTGTTACCACGTCTTGCAATCATTCTATTCCCATGAGGACAAAAAAATTCAGTCCAAAGAGAAAGGGGTTTACTAATTCCAAATTATGGATACATCTTGATAAAAAAAGGTTAATTTTCACTTTAAAATAGACAAAGATTCCATTTTGTTGAAGGGGGGTCTTCACTAAGTGAATCCATTTAAATGGCACTCCACCACCTCTGACTATAGAGTTTTGCAATCTTGGTTCCAGATTCCAAACCCAGCAGCTCTCAATGAAAATAAGCATGTATCAAGATATATGTACTACAAGCAAAACGTGATTTAGTACAAATTAACTGCATATGTTGTCAATGTATTTATCATAGCTGTTCTAGCAGATTTATGTACACCCATTAGATTAATCATGTCAAAGGGTGAATGCGTTCACAAAGGTTCCTTCTTATTTCTTCTTAATTTTTTTACAGCTGATATTTCAGATATAAAATACACAGTCTCCGGGGATAAATATCAATCTGATGTACCCAGTGTGCAAGTCAAACCAATCATTACCTGGCTTATCATGCAGTGAATCTATTTACTAAATCCAAATTTGGAGGAAAATCAGTCTAAAAGAGGATTGCTGCTACATACAAATCCAACAACTTAGATGTTCACTAAAGTTGTCCAGGTCCCACCAAGTGGACTTGTTATGATCCTCTATCACCTCAGATCCTATTAAGATCAATGTTTACATTAGGAGAGAGCTGACAAATTTATCTGAATCAGCTATGAACGTGCCAAGTTCCAGCTAAGTTTACCTTATATGAGTTGTGTTAACTTGGCAGCTGGCTTGGCGTAGCCTGGTCTTTGTAAAACCACAGTGTCAGCCACGACCAAGCTGCTAAAACTTAGGAGGTTATTCATTCAAACCGGAAGTGTGGAGTTTTGACAACAGGATGTGAATTCTATGTCAACATGGACAATCTGAAAACAAAATCTAAAATTTATTGTATATTAGCTGAAAATCTTAAACTTCGTTATTTTTCCAGCTGAGGTATTTTGGCATTAAATTTTAAATGTATCTATACATATTTATTTTATTTTTAAAATTTAAGTTTTCAGCAGATCTGTTAGTTCTCCAAGTATATTGTATGTTCTAAAACTGCGAGGGGTAAGCTTTGGGTTATCAGGTTGCATTCCTATAAGAGATGCAGAGCAACCAGTTGTCCTGCCCCAACGCAGAGCAAAAGTGTCAAGAAAATTAAATAGCCATTTCCAGCCTATCAGTCACATCACTTGGCAATAATGACATAGTCGAGAAAATCTGCACATAATCACTGATGATGGAGTCTGTCAACAATGTACTTAACCAGTAACAATGGTGGAGAATCTTGTGCCCTAATGTAACCTTTTCATCTAAAGGGGGCTTAAAAAAATAATGCTTTGCATATTTATAGGATGATTTAGAACCAAACTCGAGGATGAAATACCGGTATACTCTTTCAAAATAATCTACAGTACAACAGACAAAGCCACAAAAAAGGGAATTTGTTTCAAACTGTTATTATCATTAGGGTGATCTGCAAAGCCATCCCCTGTAATTTTACTATCCACAGAATTTTTAAACAAAATGAAACATGTTTTATACAGTGATCTAGGCTGAGGTCTCTTTTTAATAATTTAAAGGAATTTGGCATAAAAACTCTGCTATTGTTAGATAAAGCTGACGAAACACTAAATTCTTTTTAAATGAGAGGGTTGCATTTTTTTGTAACAAACCCAGCTTGTAAATCAATTTTTAGTCACAGTTGTCTCCTTACAATTCCCAGGCATTAGAGGCATTCACTGGCAATGGATGCCTTAATTGGACTTCCCAGGAGACAGCAAACAATGCTGGTATGGACTGGGGAAATACACTGTTACTGCCATAAAAAGTCAAATTTGTGACTATGATATCGATGAGAAGTGAATTAAGTTCATAGCATGTTTAATGGAGCAGATCCACAAACAATACATAATACTTTCAAGAACAATGACATGTAACTCTAATGCTTTGGAGAAAAATCTAAGGGGAAAAAAAAGCTGAATTCATAGTTACGTCCCGACAATCGTGAATATGTAAAATAGCACAGTATAATATAGGTTATTACAAATCTCCCAGATCAAAGAGAAAAACCACCAAAAAAATTTTGCAAACTTATTGTATGTATTGTGACTGTCAGAACATGTGGTTTTGGGTTTTTTTAAAGAAAAAATTAGCAACTCGATCCTAGTTGTGGACAACTCACCTAAATAGGGGTTAATGAGTATTATAATATATTATACTATCAAATATTTCCTAAAGTTGTGCTTGTTAGTAAATGAACTGGTAAGTGTGGAAAGTTGACAAGGAAAATTTGAATTTTGGGCAAAAGTAGCCAAGTTAGAAAATAGCTTACTTTCATAGCAGCATTTTCCAATATGGCTATTTTGGCCTTAAATGTGAAATTCTTTTTCAATTCCTCAAGATTCTAGATTTAATTAATAACTCCAACTGGTTTGTTTTATGATTGTATGAGGACCTGGATTGATCTTGAGTTATAGATTCTAGATTTAATTAATAACCCCAACTGGTTTGTTTTATGATTGTATGAGGCCCTGGATTGATCTCGAGTTATTTTATCCCATCTAATGGTTTGAAAAAAGCTTGTTCTTTTGCCAGAAACAAACCGAATGTAATTACGCATTACAAAACTAGTCTGTCACCAATTACATAAACTTAAACATTCTGTCTGATACATATAGAGTCTCCAATCATGCTGCAGGTGTCACTGTACTGTCGACATAGATGTCACCAAGACACATCAACTTGGGGTATTTGGATCACAGGTGTTCTCTACATAAGCTCTAGTGTTTTCGCAGCTATTTAAGGTCCTGTCTGTCACTTTTTTTTATTTAAAGAAAAACTGAAGAAGAAAGTCGATGGAAAATGTGTAGCACAAACATGGGCATTTGCTCTTTAAATCACCAGATAAGCAATGTTTTCCCACCTGCTCACATATTACAGCATGGGAATGTGTGGATCGGAATTTCTCCCTTTCTACATAGTTGCTACATTCGGCCATGTTGGTGCACTAAAAGGGTATTACCACCTAAATGAGTAAAAATTACATGCCATGAAATCTCTGGTGTTTTATCAGCGTAAACATAATTTAAAAGTGAATCTAAACGCAATTACTATAAAATTTTTCCTGTTTTACATCTATGTAAAAAGATGGAAAAGAAATGCATGCCATTAAATGTAACGTTTCCAAACAAGCATATCGAACATGATATATCATAAACAGTGCATTTCAAACATTTATCTAACCTATGTTGAACTCCCGCCGTTTCTGAGTCGACACTGGGAGAATACCATACAAAAGAGTCTGCTGTACAAATGCCAAGTTAAGTCACACTTAAACTACGGGTCATAGAAACAATAGTAATGAATAAACTGTAGTATTTGGGAGTCAGGGAAAGATCACTTTGCAATAATTAACAGACTTTAAAGTCAACTTCTTACTTTTTGAAACAATGCTTCCATGGGTCTGACCGGTGGCATATTAGTAAGGGTTCCATTTGTAAAGTAATAAATAATTTCAATTTAATATGTGCAGCCAAACAATTAAGTCTTCAAAGGTGCCTGTTGACATTTCTGCCACCTTTTTCCTAAAGTTATAGAGCAGGGATAGGCAACCTTTGGTACTCCAGATGTTTTGGACTACATCTCCCCTAATGCTTTGTCAGCATTATGAATGTAAGAACAGTTGCAAGGAATTGTTGATGAGAGGCAACTAAAACTGGAGTTTCTATATATCAATCCAATCTCCTGCACAGGAAGAGATGGGAGGGGTTAAAGAATATAATGGGGTGGCTATAAAATGCCGAAATATGGGACCTTCTAATCACCAATTCGACCAAATTGCAATTTTTCAAAAACGAGTTTTCCCTTTAGTGCCTCGGCTCCCTGGGGACAATTGGCAGAATAATTTGGGAAACACTATATAATTTAGCAGAATCAAAGTTTTGGCATGCACATTCATTGTTCTATTCACAAATTATAGCTGCAATATTAGTACGTAACTAGAGTGCTATGATTATTTTCTTTAAAATGTTTTATAGCTAAGTTAAAATAATAACACCTAAAATACTAAAAAATTTTAACAACAACTACAGACCTAATAGAATTAGTCATAATGCTAGGATTTGTTTAAAGTGTTGGCATAACGATGTTCAGCTAAAACAGGTTCTGTTAAGATATAAAATTAAATTCCCACACATATTTACTGTTCAGCAAAAACAGAAAAGACGCCAGCCATGTGTTCAATATGAAAGCTCAACCCAACATACAACAGTTCACTATTTCAAAATAATTGGAAATTGAATTTTCACACTTCAGAATTTAACAATTTGTCAAATGCTGTTTGAGAGTGATGGAGAGAAGGCATCCAACAAGAACATTACTGAGGTTTGGCATTTAAGGTAATAAATTGTATCTGAACAAAAGCCTTAGTGTTTTTACCAGCTGGGTTGTGGTAAAGGTTGCTGTACGGTTAGAAGAAGGACGTTAAGCGAGCATTAGGAGCTAAGGGATCAATTACTTGATGTAGACTCTGTAAATCATAGGAAACTCGGCTAATTGAAATTCTATCTGAGCCCTTCATCTTTGCATTAGAGACATTAGCTAGTCCTACAAAGATGCATATCGATACATGTTGACCACAGGGATAACCCACCATGCAGTTTTTGTGAACTCACTGGTTTAAGGGTGACTAAGCTGTGGTCCTCCATTCCAGAGTTTACTAGGACAGCTTTTTTCACCATCTTCAGTCACCCAGTCCATATTTGGAGTGGTATTTCAAGACTACTAAATTGGAACTTTGTACTCTCTAATCTGGTATTATAAAGATCATTCCTAAACATGATCCTGCGTGAACTGTTTCCCATATTACAGGTATCTTTTTGTCTGAGATCACAATAACCCCCATCATTACCTGTTGTTTTCTAGAAAGCAACAAATGCAGCTGACGATAGCTATTTCATATCTACTCTTTATAGCAAGAGTGGGTAATTGTGACTAATCAGTTCTCAGGTACTAACACGGTTGCTTAAAGGGACACTATAGTCACCAGAACAACTACAGCTTATTGTATTTTTTCTAGAGGTGCTTCCTGGTTCATTGCTGCACAGTGTGCATGGAGACACTGAACTTTGTGTTTGGCTTGTGCTGGCTCTGCCCCTGATCTGCCTCCTTGACAAGCTCAGCCAATCCAATGCTTTCCTATGTGAAAGCATTGTGATTGGCTTTAAATAACACTTCTGATGATGTCAGCCAAGCAGGTAGATCAGGGGAAGAGCCAGCAGACTGGAGTAAAGGTAAGATTTTTCTATATTTAGAGGGGCAAGTGGAGGCCAGGGGGCCTAGATGGTGGTTTTAACATTATAGGATTAGGCATGTAAAATGTATTATATAATTAGCACACAAAAGCATATAAATGTGCTATATGTAATATGGTGGATATGGAAAATCTAAAACCCTGTCCTAAAAACCAAGTGTATTTAAAAGTCAAGGACAGCAGTCTGACACTGGTCAACTTAGAAATAAATAGTTATTGATATATTGATAAATCGAGGAACTCATTGCTTGATACACTTTCAGATAATAAATGAAAGCTAATATAAAAGGTGGCCATTTAATTGATTTTTTTATTTGAATTAAAGTTAATTAAAATTAATATGCACTTATGTATAATTAATGATTTCTTGACTCACTAGAAACTCTTTGACTTTTTTCCGAATTCCACCAGTCCACTGTGATCGCAAAGTGGCAAATAGTCACCAACTGAATTTTACTTAAAAAACAAACAAACAAAAATTCTAACCATAAATGCAAAAGGTTATTTGGAATAGCAGGGATAGAGTTTCCGCTAAAATCTATCCTTTGAGCTGCTGACACCTGCTGCAAATCAAGTGACCCAGGAAATCCCCAGCCAAGTAGTCAAATCATTGTTTAAAAATAAAAGATAGCAAGTGAAGTCAAAAGGGAGATAAGTTACTACTGTCAATGAGGATATAGAGTAGAGCAAACACAAAGGGGCTACTAAAGAGTGGCATTTAGAACTCATTAGCATCTATTCACTTGAAGTTTTACAATCCCTGCTAATGAGCAAGACCAGATAGAGTGAAAACGCCACAGGAAGGGATGTACTGCTAAAGCATGTAGAACGAGGGAGGAATCAAACAGTTAATGATTAATGTTTAATCATCACAACATGTCAGAATGATGTGTCAGAAACACAAAACCTGAGTCATATGATATCTCTTAACAAAGTTTACTTTACTATTTTTCTTGTGTCAGGTATAAATTAAGCTTATAAATTAATTAAACTGAAAACTCTGTGAGCTTCGGCCACCAGCGTATTTTTGTGCATTTTATTTTAATTACTTTTTAGGCCAACTGCTCCAGAAAACACTGGGTTCTGGCTTATTGTGTCAGGTTCCATATTAGCACTCAGTAAAACAATAGTCTTACGTGTTAAATAATGCACATTGTTAAGGAAAAGTTTCCGTTACTTTATAAAATCTCATATTTCTCTTAGGGGCAATTCAATGGTTATTCTACGGCAGACAATTTTTTCATTTTAAGTGAATCATGTATCGGTGTTATACAAAATGTTCACACTTCAACAAGTAAGGGAAAAGCAAATTGGGGGACGCTGGGGTGAGCTCAGATATATAAAAAGAGAAGCGGATCCTTAGATAGAATATACAGGGGTGATGGGTTGAAATGAACAAAGAGGCAGAGAAGAGTGAGAAAGTTAATCACTAAAATAAGAATTGTCTGGAATTTTAAGTCGATTCAAAGTGAATTTCAAATTTAATCCCAAAAAAGCTGAGGTCAAAAAATTCTGGGGAAAAAAAATCAGCTATGCATCCAATACAACTACTGTGGCCTTAAATTTGAAATTTTCTTTGAGTTCCCCAAAATTCTCACTTTAGAGATAAATCTGCTTCCTGATTTGGACAGAACATTGTACACTTGGCCTCAGAATTATGTGCCTGGATTGCCTAGGCTTTATTCCTGCATTTAGGCAAAACGTGTTTTAATTGCAAGGTTTGCAAGTTTAAATTTAAATGAAGAATGTTTGCATACACATTTACCTAATGAGTGACTTATTACCAATTTCAAAGGCAGGAGTTTGTTGCTGGCTGGATACAGTGGTTTAGTGGCAATGTGTGGATGTTGCCTTTGACATCTTTTAAATTTATTTAATCCTTGTTTTCTTGCTCCCTATGATTTCCTTTAGATTGTAAGCTCTTGAGTCATCTCTATCTGCACTTTGTGAAAAAGTGAAATACATACTTGGCTTTACGCTCACAGGCATGGATGTCTATTCCTTTTGTACAAGTTTGTTGAATTATATACCGTATGTTCTTTAACCCCCCGACCTGATGTTAATTAACCAATTAACAAAGGGCAAAAAAGTTGATGATTCATAAGTAAAAGAATCCAACTCTGTCATAATGCTTTAATTTTTCAACTCAGTCCTCAGTTAACACTCAGTTTAGTGAATGCAATAATTCACCATGGTATTTGATTGATTGTGAACAAGACAAATTAATTGTACCAAAAACTTTAAGCATCATTTTATTTATTTTTTGTGAGAATTTGAGACGGCAGTCTGTCTGGCAGATAAGTGAGATATTTTTTCACTTGAGTTTTTTTTCAGCTTTCTACACAACTCTAAGTACTATTTTATAATTTTTCTTGACACTATTTTTGAATGGCCGGTATGTGACTCTCATCTGGGAACAGGATGTGTTTTGCAGTTTTTTTCCCTTTCTCACTGTTATTGTTTAATTCTCAAGTGGAAATTTTATTTATTATAATTTTTTTTTTTAATGGAATTGCGTTCACAGTCCATGTACTGTAATGCATTTGGTGGTTGTGGTTAAGTGTTATTTTAAGCCTTTTTAACAAGACCTCTGAACAATACCGAATTACAATATAATTTCTCTTGTGTGCCATATTGTAAAGTATTAAAAAGAATCTGATTCATACTAAATAATTATCATGAGCTATTTTGACTATTTTGTGCAAATTGCATCTCAATTCATAAAATATTACATTATTTCCGCTTCCACATCTCCATCCTTCTGCCCAACACATGGAGCCAAGTCAAATAACTATGACCTGCTGAGTGCGTAATGAGAGGAGAAAAACTATTAAAGTTATAAGATTCAAATTAATGAGTCTGCCACTTTCATCTCAGACAATTTCTTTTTTCAACTACTACATAACCTCAGTATTTTTCCTGGCTAGCACTTTCTAAAGGAGGACAAAAAGAATAATTGCAGTGTTTCAAGCCATGAATAATGATCCTAGTTTAAGGTTGCACAATAATGTTCCAGGTGAGACTCTATATCAGGGGTAAGCAACCTTCAGCACTCCAGATGTTGTGGACTACATCTCCGATAATGCTTTTACAGTTATAATGCTGGCAAAGTATTGTGGGAGATGCAGTTCACAACATCTGGAGTGCTAAAAGTTGCCTATCCATGCTCTACATCAGAGCTGTCCAACCTGCGGCACCCCAGATGTTGCTGAACTACAACTCCCATGATTCTCTCGCTATCTGTTTCATTGAAAGAATCATAGGAGTTGTAGTTCAGTAACATCTGGGGGGCAGCAGGTTGGACAGCCCTGCTCTACATTATTGCCAGCCATTTTGAAAGAGCAAGGCATTCTGGGTGATGGAAGGAATGATGTGAATGTTTGCCTTATTAAAAAATAAAACACAATTTGTCTCTTTTTTCAAGCCACTGTAGATAGAAAATACATTCCTACTGCTCTAAGCGACATGATGATTTTCACCAGAGCACATCTATTAGGCAGAAGGGATGTAGAAACTATTACAGACATCATGGGTGACATTGAGGATGAGCTATTTACACATACTAACATTCATAATGATAAAGCTGATCTATGTGCTATATTTCTTTCTGAGCAAAATCCATGCACTTTTCATGTAAAAGACATGGCTATTGTGAGCAAAATCCCCAAAAGTGTTCAAAGCACAGAGAGTGGCAAAATCTTTGGATTTCTCATAGTTAAGGTATGGACACTGTGTACACTATGTGATGCACAAGTAAATAACTCAATGAGAATTTCACTTTTTATGCTAAAATAGGTGAGCTGAAAACATAGCTGACATAGAGAATTTTTCTAATTCAGCTATTTTGTCCTTTAATTTGAAATTCAATTTAAATTCACTCTGAATTCTCACTTGAGTGAATAACCTTCATTTTACATGAATAATGTACTTTCAAATTGAAATACAAAGCAATATCTGTGATACTGCTCGGCACAATGGAAATTCTATGAAAAATATTCACAGATCTAAATCAGAATATATTGTATATGGCCGCATACTATAAATTATTATGAACAGCAGATGGCGCTAATTTTTCCTTCTGATTCTAGATCATCTCTATCACCATTAATAACTATTAATAATTTACTAATTACAGCATGAGCGCATAACGCATTACACATTGTACAGGATCTTGTTTGACATTATCCAGGAAAATCATTATTGCACCAAAATAAAGCATTAAAACCATTTTCTGGGGATAACCTTACCTGCACGGAATGCATTTGTAACATAGAAGGTTGTGCATATCCAAAAGATATATTTGACGTCTAACAGCATCTTGACCTAAAAGACAGAAGATGAGTGTTGAACATTGTATCAGTATTAGAAACATACAATGACAATTAAGCATTTACATCTAACAGGGTACACGTTGAAGCAAATGAGAGTTATTCTTACCTCAAACGCTCCCACGCGGATACCACTGTTTTCTTTCTTTGGTTCCTGGTTTTCAGACCTCCTCTGGCCCACATCACTGCGATACTCTTGCACATGTGCGAGAGTACTGCACAGAGGTCTAGGGAGGATCACGCTTGTGCACCATCCTCCATAGACCAATTTTGTGATGCGTGATTAAAATAGCAAGACTTGATGGTGAAAACGGTTTGCCAAGTTTTTACAAGTTCAGACTTGACTTTATGATTAAGACAAAGTACTTTGTCCTATGATATCTTTTATATTGTGTTGGAATGTCAATGAAATTCCAATACAGTCAATATAAGTCAAAATAAGTATAAGTATGTAAATGTTATCTTTATGAAATGCTCAGTAATTGTACTGGAGACACCCTTTAACTACAGTACAGGAGATAAGAAATTCTAAATTTAACAGACTGTGCAATAAAGAAGGTGTAAACATTAGATGTCTCTTTTCAATAAGTGGTTAGGAAGGCTGTGCACCTAACACACAGGGAGGTGTGACTAAGACTGCATTAACAAAATAATTTAACTCCTAAACGGCAGAGAATTGAGCAGTGAGACTGCAAGGGCCTTATCTATACACTAAAACTGCATAATTAAACAAAAGTTATTTTGATGACTATAGTATCCCTTTAAGTGACTTCTGAAATTAAGTCAGTATGGGTGTTCAGGTCAAATACTCTTGATCCCACACTGACTTGATTTCAGAAGTTACTCAAAGGGACACTCTAGTCATCAACATAACTTTTGTTGCCCAGATGTTGTGAAACTACAACTCTAATAATGCTTGACATGTCTTTAAAATGTCTTTAGTATGACAAAGCATCATGGAAGCTGTAGTTTTAAAACATCTGGTGATATGTCTTTTGAACACCCCTAGCCTTGATGTCCCAATATGAACAACTATCCAATGAAAATGTCCAGTGCCATCTTTAACAAATAAAACGATAAATAAAATTAAAAGTAAGATCCCTTGCAAAACAGAGGCAGCCAAAAAGCAGTTTTTATATCCCTCACATTATACACAGCAATATTGGGATTTATGAAAAAAGGTGATCTTAGAAACTCAACTAACCAAGAGTGGCATGGTTGGTGATTGAGCTCCCCTTTTCCTACATACCATGTGTGATAGGACCTGGGTTAAAATGTTAACTGCCACCCCCAATTCTTCCCCTGCTTTCTGTGTAGTGAGTTAGAGGGTGTTCAAAGTGGTGCTGGTGGAACCAGATCCGTTATGGGTTTCAGATCACCACATCTCAATATGTAGTAAACAAACTTCAGTATAATTTTGATATAACTGAACTGGTTTCCGGGCGGATTTTATTATTACAAAATATCAGTCAGTGCCTTACTCCACCCTTGGCCCTATCCCCACAGTGACAAAAAAAACTTGCTAATAGGAAAATCCTGGGAACCTCTTGTTTTGTTCAGTGGCAGGGATACAGATGGGAAGAAATATAAGACTCTCATTTTAATACAAAACACAGACCACAGTCCAAAACCAGCCGAATGCAAAGTAAAGAATGTACTGTGTGCGCCTTTCACCAGCATAATAATTAAAAAATAAATATGCCTAAATATGTGATGAAACATATTAGTGACTGCTAACACTGGCACCCAGATGTGTGTGCACTACAGTCCCCATAATGCTGTGAAGCCTAAACATACTTCACAAATGTCTGAAATGGCCAAAGGCAGTTATTACTCATATAAATGGACAGGACGTCACCTTGTGAATATTGAAAACAGTGATTATTTAAAACACTTTGTGCATTCAGATTACAGGAAAAGTGGTTTTATTTCACTTCCATTAACCATCGACTAATATTCTCAATTGCATGTAAAGGTAGAAAACACTTGTCACTGCTGTGGATTGCAGCCTGTAGTTAATTGAGCATACTGGGAGTTGCAGTTCACATTGTTGGAGGATATCATTCCTCTTCTTGTCTAGTAATTTTTATGTCTATCCATTGTGTACTTTCTTTTATTTACCTTTACAAAGGATCATCAATACATTAAAGGGACGCTACACTGTCCAAAGTAAAAAATATATATATATTACTATTTAGTAGATATACCCCAAATGAAAACTTGCATGGATTTAATTTGGGGGTATATCTAGAAACAGCTTGCAAATGCTGCAGTTTGATTGTCTGGAGCCTTTGCAAAACCCCTCCCCTTTTTCCCCAGCCCAGGTTTTCTGTGACTATCCAATCACAGACCTTCTAATACTGCTCAAGGAGAAGTTTTGCAGGTGCCCTTTGGCAATTGGGTTTAGAGCCACTGAGCTAAACAAACCAGGAAGTAACAGATTCTGTTTTCTGATTGACAGTCAGGTGGGTGTAACAAGATTACTTTATAAAAGTGCCAATTTCTACTGAAATTTGCACTTTTTGTAAAATGAAAATGAAAGAGGACGCACTTTTCACACATAAAGCATTTCAGCAAGCTAAACTACTTTAGGGGTCTGGAGTGTCCCTTTAAGCTCTTCACTCCCAGCCATGTGTTCATATAGGTTTGCATTTTGGTTTTCCTACTCTTTTTAATAAACATTCAGTCTCCTTCCTCCACACTCCAGTGAAGAAAACTAATTCAGTTCTTTTTCACTGAGTATAATGTAAAATACTGCCCTCTCCTTCACTTTACTTGAATTCACAAGGCTACAAAGTACAGTGCTGGTGAATAGCAGCCATGGATATTAGCAAAGTGAAAACATATTGCACACTCTGAGGCTCCAATTATTTATTTAATATAGATGCCTGATTGCAGCAATTATATGGGCATACAGCCTGAAATAAAGTGGCGTTTTGGGAATCTGCATTCTCAGAAATGCCAGATGTTGAAAAAAATGCCAATAACTGGAACATTGGTTAACTTTTATCACATCTACTTCACATGACAGATTTTATCTTTGCATGGAATTAAAGATACTTTTTTAAAAGCATTTTTATTGCCTTAGTACAACTGGAAAGATGATTAAAATATTTTTTTTACAAAATGACATATATATATAGTACATCGTAGTATTACATTTATGTAATAACATCTGTTCTTGTGGAATAAGCCTTTAAATAAGTTGCAGTTAATACAAGTTTTAAAATTCATTATCCATCTGCCAATCCACTAAAATCATTGGTTCTGAGTACACATTATATCTATGCATAGAACTCATCCACTGTGTCTTGTAACTGGATACCATCACTGACAACTAACATCATCAATTATTTCATTGTGTTAGTGTCCTGCCCACCCTTAAAACTGCTACCTCAGTTTCAATCTATTCCACACAGTTTGTAGGGGAAGGCCTGCAATAATTTCTTTTTTCTACTTGGCAACTTCTTCTGCAGGAGTTTACACGTTCACCTCCCCTCCTCCCCCTCCCCACTATAACTGGTGGTCTTTAACAATAACCAGTTGTCAGTCTCTGCCATTGCCTCTTGCTGGGTGGTGATGTGATAGGCTCAGAAATACATTGATTAATTTATTTTATTCAGGTATTCTGAATATACGATTTATTAATGTTAGAGGAGAATTGGGTGGGTGTCATTACTTCCCTTGAGTGCAAAGTATCTCACCAGCCCTGGTGGTCTCCAGTAAGTCATTATTTTCTAACAGCTCATTGACATAAAGGTGTAACTGGAGAATTGTCATTACAGCTGCCATGGACTGCAATTATCATCAGCCTCAGTCATCAGCTACAATACACTGTGTTAGACTGCTTACTGAACCACACAATGTGTGCCACCACAAGACACTATTGTTTAAAATAATGGAAGTATTCTCACAGTTAATATTCCTGATTTAGAAGAGAAAGTGCTGTGTTGTAAGATTGATGTGCATGACATAAACCAAGTCCATATGTATACCATTACAAACTGTGTATTCTATCCACGTGAGATTTTGTATCTGCCTTGCAATATACTCCAAAGGTTACAAATAACTGTGCGGGAGGGCGCAGAACACTTTATTAATTTAATCAATTAGTAGGGGGCTTTCTTAATGGACCTGACCGTGCTTTCTCTGTTTATATTGTCTGCCCTCTCCCTGTATATTGCTACGGTCCACGTGGCGATTAATAATTGGGATCTTTCTTGGACCTTGTCCGTTTTGTACTCTGCAGCCTCCCTTCCTCCTCTCTTTGCAGTCACCGCCCCAGCTGTGGTTCATGGAGACAGCTGGCTTTTGTTAAGAGAATATGATCCAGGACTGCATCATCTTAGAGCAGAAATGAGATCCCCAAACCCCCAGCATCTCCATTCACTGGACACCACTGCTCAGTCTCCCAGTTCTACAATTTGCTTACTTTGCAATTCACCCAGTCACACTCAATAGGATTAAAGATCTAAAGGGGGCTCTGAATAGGACATTATCTTTTATGATCCCACCATCCCTTCCCTCTTTGCAGAACTGTCTTATTTGCCAAGATGAGTGCTTGCCTGCTAGATGCTTTTTCTCTCCTTTTTCTATTTAACTACATGACTGCCAGAAACCCCTGAAGTGTTAAGGGATATAACCCAGGTAAAGGGTTAAACAGTTTAAGCCTTTTATTAAAAGCTGCTAATCAGATACAGTAAGTCATTAACCCTTTAACTAGCACACAGGCCCACATAAACAGCTCTAGAACGTTAGGTACATTGATAATTAACCCTTTCAGTACCAGTGACAGGTAACCCCGCCCATGGCGAACAGCAAGCCATGTATCCATGTATGGTGAACAAATCTGCAATGTGTAACAGCCTATGTTCTGTCTAGTGGATGGGATAAATTTCCCCCATTAGATCTCCCCCCCCCCTTGTTTTAAGGCAATTTCATACGCAGCAAAATCTGCCAACCTGCTTTTTATTTTTTGCTTTGTTTAAAATTCAGTGTTTTGTCTTCAAATAAACAATGAAAAATAAAACAATAATAAGGGACTACAAAATACTCTAGATTAGGGGAAGAAAATAGAAGAATCCCCGGCAGACAGTGTGTTTTAATCAAACAGGGTCCCCGTTTCCCTATATCATTTGTATCTTTTAGGATTCTTTTTAGTAGATGTGAGGACTAAATGGTGTGAGCAAGAGATATGACACAAAAGGGGGTGTGTAGCAGACCTCGTGTTGGCTTTTGCAGTAGTCAAAGACGTATATGTGTAGTTATCTTTTCCTCCAGCAGATGTCGCTGTTGTACCCTCAAACTCCGCATAGTACATTCCTAGACATCCTATGAAAAGCTAACTGAACGGACGAACAATACAATATATCGGTTCTGCGACTCTCAAACCACATCATTCATCCATCTATCGATGATTAGCCAGAGCATTACCACAGCAGGTTAATATACAGCGGCCACTGCGATAAATTATTGTGACATGCAGAGGTTGGGACTTTCTTTGTTAGAAAAGTGTATTTTTTTTTTCCCCTCCTGGTTCTCTGCAGCAGCTAAGCCTTAGAACACATAAAGCCACGCTGTGTATTTAAGAACACTCCAGGATTGAATTGCAATAGTTTACATAGATGCTTGGGAATCCCAAAAAAGCTGAGTAACATCTGGAGGGTAAATATTGCTTTTGACAATGTACACAGTCCTGGGAGATCTAATGCCTTATTTAACTCATTAACTTGTAGGAGTCAATATGTAGAATTTGGTGTGAATTACATGTCTTTAACTTGGGAAGTTAAGGATTGTGTTGCAAACCCTTTTCATGTGAGTTCCAAACTCTGGTAACATTCTCTGTGCATGGAAATATAGTTAACATGTAGCTTTGTCTCTGCGTGTATTACATTAGCTAGTACTTACTGCATCTAACAATGTATCCATCCCAACCATTTAATATATGAACGATGTTCTAATAAAAATTATTTGTTTGTTAAAAATTAGTTGTTACATTCATTCATTTTATTTATTCATTTATTTTTTGGGGGGTTTTTTTTAAACACGTTTAACAAAATTGAATGAAAACAAATGTTTGATGTAATATATGTGAAACAAATAGAATTATTATTTTTTTTAAATCACATTTTTGGTGTGTGGGAAACAAAAAAAAAAAACTAAAAAAGGACAAAGGGGTGCAGTTTAGTTCCATGTTCCCCTTTGTCTTAACTGAGAGCAAAACAAATATCTATATTAATTATTTTTTTGATGGGGGTTCTTTCATAGTTCTAACAAATTACCCCCTGTGTGTTTCTGCTATAAGAAACCTGGTCCCTAATCATCTTAAGGTTTTTTTTTTGTGTGTGTATTTTATTTTTTATTTTTTTTTAAGGGGGTGGCTAAAAACTAAAAAGCCTTTGTGGATCTTTTTTTTTTTTTTTTTTTTTCAGCCTTAGACAAAAGCTTTGCCTCTGCAGCTCTGCAGAATACAGCTTTCCAGGAACATGTTAAGAGACAGTAATAGAACTGTAACATGTCAGCATCACTCCAGACCCCTCTTACATTCTATGAAAGCAGTGTGTAATAATGCTCCATTCATTGCTATGTAAACCTATCTGTTAGATAACAAAGCGTCACATTCAGAAAGTTGAGAAAACACTAATAATGCAATCCACATGCCCAAAAAATTCCCTGGTTCATGAAAAAAACAATTAAAACACATTTTTTTTCCTATATCAGTGAGTATAATTTGATTCTATATTTTGTTGTGGTTACCTGTGTTAAGAAGGACAGTTCTCACTAGACAGGCAGAATATGGAATACAATGGATTACCTTGAAAGGTGACCTATCAGTGTTTCTCCTGCATGAAATCCACTCTAGTAAATTGATCTATTCCAGTGTTGCTGGGTGATGGTGAAGCTGTATATCCCCAGGTCAGTGGATGCTTTGGGTGCCTTCTCTTGGCAAGCTGTTATCACTCTAAGTTTCCAGGTTGTACAATGGCACCTGATCCCAGACCTCTCTCCAGCGTGTGTCTGTATTGAGTCCTTGTGAAAGAAGAACCACTGAGCCCCTTTGGCTGCAAGTTCAAATGTGGGATTTGACACCCCTCATGATTATATCATTATACCGTCAGTGCAGGGGGAAGGAGGGGCCCTGGCACAGGCAAGAGGAGGGCTCACCCACCCTCCCTCAATTCTAAGATTCAGAGCTCACAACCTCACACAAGTACAAGAGACAGGATAGAAGGGAGAAAAGGCAGGCACTACACACAGCTTGTAGAAGTATATTAATAAGATTTTACAATTTCAGTGGGGTTTACTCAAACCAAAAAGAACAATGTATAATAAAAAATAATAAACCATTCATTGTGTGACTGATACAAACTATTCTATTGATTTAATAACTAAGGCTCAGTTCAGTATTACAGGCACATATAATAATAGACATTTAACATTAAATATTTAACAAAATACTATATATACAAACATATACAATGTTGGTGTTTTATAAAAAAAAAAAAGATTTGTAGAAGTGATTTGTAACTTTGCATTGCAGAATGTTAAATGGATTGATTTAACTAATAGGGTAGGAGGTCTTGCTATCAAGCTGTAAGTGTAAACAATGTATCAACACCAGAGTGATAAAAAAAAACAAGTGATAACTAATCATTGGCTGTATTAATTAAGAGTGTGTATTGCAATGGCATCACGTGTAAAGCAGACTCCAGCAGTGAGGCAATCCAACGCATCCACTTAGAAAAAAAAGAGTTATTTCACAATCCATTTACAGCTCCATTTAAACATTTGGAATCCATAATCACTGTAACTCTATGACTTCCAGGAGGCTCTCCAGAACACATGCAGAGGGCTTCCCCCTGGGACTATAATGGTTAATACTGGAGCATTGTCTGACTTTACTTCTAACCCCCAGCTATCATTGCTGAATAGCCCTGTGAGCAACAGATAGACAGAAAAAGAGCCAGATCTCAATGTCTCCCACATCCCTTTTGGCCAGCATCTTTGGAATTGCAATATACTTTTTTTTTTTTAATACATTTAGTGATTAGATCTTTTGGCACCCATTTATTCCCCCAATTTGCATACAGTCTGCCTTAGATTAAAAAAATAAAAATAAAAAAAATGAACAAAAAACCCTACAAAGTACAATGCCAATGAGATCCCACACAGTGAGTTGCCATTGACAAGCATTGCAAGCTGATTTTCAGAATGGGAGCAGGCAGTGCCCTGTCTTGCTTTCTTTGCACATGGAACATGCATTTTCAAGGTAACACCTTTTTTCTCAGAGCCATAAATGAATGAGATGATTTTTGCCTCTGCACATAATGTGTTTGTAATGAAATAGGAGACTTTTCAGCTGTCACTAAGATAAGGCATGTGTTTGTAGTAAGAAAAGAAAGGTTTTGTAAAACCACAAAAGGAAAGGCTGGGATAGAAGCCAGGATCCACCTCTAATCGCCTTGGATTCATTCAAGAGAACTTAGTCAGATGTAAAAAAAAAAATATATATGAAAAGATTGTGTGTTGGCCAGAGTACAGGCATCAGCTAGAACCTCTATTGGATGGATCTAAAGCTCTACTTTCTTTTTATCATATTTACCCACTCCCCAGGACAGCAATAAACTGTCCTTTCATTTTGTCTACAAGTAAACTCTAAAGACAACTTGCTGTAAATAGCTGACAGATTACACACCTGTTCCAAATTCAAACACTGTGAATTATTAAAGCCAGTTAGTAGCTGGGCTGGACTTTGGTTAATACCAATTCATCCTGTATTTGTTTAATAAAATACTAAGTGTCTGTCACTTTGCTCAGCTAGTCCTTCATAGAAAAACAGACTGCAAATCCCATTGTAAAGGTCAGTGACCAACATGGGCTGAGTTGTGACCTAGGGCTGAGTCACAGTGGGTGGCTTCTACTTAACCCTTTGTAAGGCTTCTTCCACTTAACTGGTTAAACAGTAATAAGATCCAATCACATCCATCAAAATTGCAAGGGAGGATTAGGAGTTAGAACTATAATAAGTCTGTGCAATGTCCAAACTGGTACCTAAACTGAAAATCCTCCGAACCATCCTTTAGTTTCATGGAGAATGTGACTTTAATTAGACATTGTGAAGACTGACCGGCATCATTTGTCTTCTCTGTAGAAATAACATGGAATTTACAAAATAATACATGTTATCTCTGTAACATTAGATAAAGCTTTTATGTTCTATTTGAAGCATTATTTATTTATATATATATATATACTTTAAGACAAGGAAGTTGGGTAAATGCTAATGGCAGATAATATATTGTAACCTTTGGAAGGGGCAGGCAGAATAATTGGACAATCACGTGGACTTAAAAAAACAGCTGGTTTCCCACAATAGGCTGTAAAAAGAGACCACCAACACACACACTCTCTCTCTCTCTCTCTCTCTCTCTCTCTCTCTCTTTCTTTCTCTCTCTCACACACACACACACACACACACACTCTCATTCTCTCTCATTCTCACTCTCACACACACATACACACACACACACACACACTCTCTCTCTCTCTTTCACACACATACACACACACACACACTCTCTCTCTCTCACACACACTCTCTCTCTATCTCACTCACACACACACACTATCTCTCACACACACACACACACACACACACACACTCTCTCTCTCTCTCACACACACACACACACACACTCTCTCTCTCACACACACACTCTCTCTCTGTCTCTCACACACACACACACACACACACACACTATCTCTCTCTCACACACACACACACACACACACTCTCTCTCTCTCTCTCTCTCTCTCACACACACACACACACACACACACACTCTCTCTCTCTCTGATTTGATGAGTGGTGACTTTTTCTTGTTATGTGATTATATGTTTTGTTGTGATTTATTGTTAAAAGCAAACCTGGGATACATGCTGCAGCCTGTCACAGTGCTAGGATTGTGCTGTGCATCCTGGGACCTGGGGTTTTACTGACAGTATATAGACATACACACATACATTGTAGTTCCAGGCACATGTACACTAAGACTTCTCCTGACATTATAGAACTTGATTGATCTCCCACCACACATTGTGTTTGAAGCCTATTGAAAAGCCTGTACTTAGCCAGGTTTTCCTGATGGCAATCAATATGATGATGGACACCAGACAGTGCACAGGGCTTAGAGAGGGTGCAATGACAGATCAATATACCTCCTGGGGAGCATGATCTGCTTAAGGTTTCTGTAGCTCTGACATTTTAAGTGAGCCTCTGTATGGGCAGGATGAAGTAAAGATACATAGCTGGCATAAGAGTAACATTAGCAAAATTACATACTTAATATATTATCAAAGGTGGCCAAAAGGTGAATCCCCAGCTGTCATATAACTAAAATTCCCATTATGCCTTGCCAACACCATGAGAATTGTAGTTCTATAACAACTGGAGTTCTACCTTCTGACCTCTGATATAAAATTGCAAAATATAGCTTCCAGTGGTCAGCCTAGCACTGTTTTACTTGCATTTTATAACAAATTATTGAATAGCAACATTACAAATAACTTGTATATTCACAGCAAATTCACAAGTGCAGTTTACAGGCCATCAAAGCACAACTGATTAGATCATCTGTTAACCAAATATATGCCATGTTTCTGGGCACATATATCTGGTATGTAAAGGGTTAAGTACAGATGCCATAGTGTCTCCCAGCTGCTCTGTGTGTCCTGTCTGCAGTCACAGTTACAGTAGGTTTTGTATATGAACACAAGGAAGCAGCAGAGATCTGAGAACAGAGGGCTCACAGCTCAGTGTAAGAATCCTACTGTAAGCTGCATTTCTATGGACATTTCCAGGCTGCTGGATGAACCCCAGGGACATGTGAAAGAGAAACCCCCCTGCAAAGGAATTGCACAATAAATGTAAAAACTATTGGAGAGGTTTCCTTTCTGAATTCACAGAAGCATTTCACATTTTCCTTTTTCAGTAACTCAGTTCAGTAGCAATCATCCTAGATTATTTAGACTATAATAGATTATAATAGACTCCTTGCACGATCTATCTATCTATCTATCTATCTCTATCTCTCTATCTGTCTGTCTGTCTGTCTATCTATCTATCTATCTATCTGTCTGTCTGTTTTCCTCTCTGTCTGTCTGTCTGTCTGTCTGTCTATCTATCTATCTATCTATCTATCTATCTATCTGTCTGTTTGTCTCTCTCTCTCTCTCTCTCTCTCTCTATCTATCTATCTATTCTTCTGTCTTTCTATCTGTATCTCTCTATTTCTGTCTCTCTGTCTATCTATCTATTCTTCTGTCTATATATCAGTCTGTCTGTTCGTCTGACTGACTGTCCATCCATCCATCCTTTATCTATCTATCTGTCTCTCTCTATATCTATCTATCTATCTATCTATCTATCTATCTATCTATCTATCTATCTGTCTCTCTCTCTCTATCTATCTATCTCTGTCTGTCTATCTGTCTATCTATCTATCTATCTATCTATCTATCTATCTATCTGTCTGTCTGTTTGTTTTCCTCTCTGTCCATCTGTCTGTCTATCTATCTATCCATCTATCTATCTATCTATCTATCTATCTATCTATATATATATATCTATCTATCTATCTTTCTATTTTTCTGTCTGTCTATTTATCAGTCTGTCTGTTCGTCTGTTTGTCTCTCTCTCTCTCTCTCTCTCTATCTATCTATTCTTCTGTCTTTCTATCTGTATCTATCTGTCTCTCTGTCTATCTATCTATCTATCTATCTATCTATCTATTCTTCTGTCTTTCTATTTTTCTATTTTTCTGTCTGTCTATTTATCAGTCTGTCTGTTTGTCTCACTGACTGTCCGTCCCTCCGTTCTTATCTATCTATCTATCTATCTGTCTGTCTGTCTGTCTGTCTGTCTCTCTCTCTCTCTATCTATCTATCTATCTATCTATCTATCTATCTATCTATCTACCTATCTCTGTCCGTCTGTCTTTCTATCTGTATCTCTCTCTCTCTCTGTCTATCTATCTATCTATCTATCTATCTATCTATCTATCTATCTATCTTTCTATCTGTA